GAAAAGAAAAAAGAGAAAGAAAATATAAGAATGTGACATTGCCATTCAAATGTTTTAATTCATTTAAAAAAATATATCTAAAATATTACCAAAAAAACTCTAAATTACCATTTGTAGATATTTATTTGAACTATTTTTTTCTCTTACTGATAAGACGAGATGAAATAATCTTTGGGAGCTAACAATAAATAAAACACCAATTAAAACTATATCTTTATTCTTATAAAAAACAAACATCTATTATATTACATTACAATTATTCATAACATTTAAAATATTATGACATTAGATTTAAATTTGTCAAAGCAAAAGTAGCCTAATTACAAATAAAAAAAAAACATTCATTTTTTATTTGTATAAATAATATGGAGGGTAGAGGAGTAAGGAGGAGTCTCTTATATGAGAGACAAGTTGGAAAAGTCGACCTGTATGCTGAAAATAGATGGCGCTAGCGTACGAAAAACCACGATATGAATTTAGCTGTTATAGACGGAGTTAAGTGTGCCGAGTTCAAAATTTTCAAATTTTTCATGACTGTAATTAATGAAATACCAGTATACAAAACCTCAACTATTTACGTAGTCTAACATAATTTAGTGAATATAAACACCCTTGTTTATTTCTCTATCTTACTCTAATTACTTTTGGCGCTTCCTTTAAAATGGGACGTAGTTACGCAAAATGGATCCAACCCCTGAAAACTGTCTTTTGAGTTGCTATCATAAATGGCACCTACATATGAACTTATATACAAAAAATAGATAAAACACCAAATATGTAAGAGAAATTTGCAAAAAAAACTACGGTCTTGTTATTTTGATATACCAATTTTACTAAAATTCCAATTTTCTCAAAAGTAAGTTTTTGTGGTTGGATCTATTAAGCCTAAGCTACCGCAGCGCCACCATTTTTGGACGCTTTTGAAGGACACTTTCATACACAGTGACTCCTCTTTACCTCTACGCTTTATAATAAATAATTAAAAGTAATATTTAAAAATTATATTGGCTATGAAAAAATATGCTAAATATATAAGCAATACATGTTAATTAATCTAGGTATTCATTTAATTTGTAAGTTAGACCTATTTTGCTCTGGCGATCACATAATTATAATAAGCGTTAACATCTTTGACAAAAACTACAACCAATATTTTTTTATAATTATAAAAGCGTACTAAGTCACTGCAATTGATCTTTTTAAAACCATTTTTTTAAAATGGCATAACAAAATAATCGTAAATAACTGCAAATTTAAGCTAAATGGTAAAAGCAAAATAATCCTTTAATAAACATATTTTCAACCTTGGTTAAGTTTTCTTTTTTAATTCAATTTTGAGTTTGAAATTACTACCATAAAGTAATTAATTAAAAAAAGTTTCCATTCGTAAAAACATTATATTTCGCCATTATTCCATTTTGTTCGTTCATTTTCATAATTAATAATAGCTTATTCATTTTCAAATCACATTCAATGTGGTATATATCACATATTTTGATCAGTTTAAGTAATATAATTTAACTATTAAAATTAAAAAGTGCATTAGCAGAGCACTTTGTTTAAATTAATGTTTAAAAAAAATGTTCCTAACTTTGAATTAATAAAAACATAAGGCTGTATAAAACTACACCTTGTGTTATATAAACAGGTAGTTAAAAAAGATATACTAATATTATCTGCCATGTAAATAGTTGGATAAAAGAAAATATTAGTATATTTTCTTATCTTTATTTTCAATAAAATCAATTTAACAACCGCATGAGATTTAGATTTTTTAATGAAATGAGATTTACATCAAGATATCATAACTTCTTGATTTAATTTCTTTTATTTTAGATGCGCCTTACGAGACAAAGGATGTAGGAAGAGAAAATATCATAATATTCATGAATTAACAAAAAAAAATCCAAAAAGTAAAAAATAAACTATTAACCTCCACAAAAATTTATATAAATATTTGAAAAAAAAAAACATTAGAAACATCATTTTATATACAAAAATAAAAAAATCTACTATAAAGAGATGTTTTATCCAACAATATTTAATCGAATAATGCACAAAACCACAGCTTCCTAGGATTATTTAAAAAAACTTAAAGGTAAAGCGTTTACAACGCTGAATCAAGCTAACTTTATACACAAAAAAATATGTAAAAATATGCAAAATAAATTCGTTACATGACTTTGGCAAAAAAATATGATAGTACAAAGAAATAATATGCTTTATTAATAATACATATGTATATATATAATATGTAGGTATATAGGCAAATTGCCTTTTTAAAGTTAAGGTCTACTTATTTAATTTGACACCAATTTTTTTTGTAACCCGCTATTGTCTCAATAAAATAATATTTTTAACCTCCTCAAAGGCTAGAAGTTCAAAAAATCAAACCATTTATTGATTTATACACTGCCAAAATACCAGTGTATGCACCATTCAGGACCATAGTATTTATGCTAATATAATCTATAAAAAGTATTCGATAAAAAATTAAAAAAATATAAAACGTCATAAATGGACTGTAAATCAGTTTTCAAGTTTATTTTAAATTAATAAGTTAGGTTACAAAAATTAGTTAGGAAAGCATAAAAAGAAAAACTTTTACAATTATTTTGATGACATCTATTTTTTCAGTTAAAAATTTTATATATATATATATATATATATATATATATATATATATATATATATATATATATATCTTTTAAGGATATATATATATATATCCTTAAAAGGAAAGTGATTTGAATGGCAACACATTATATAATATCGTCATTAGTTTGTCAGAAAAAAGGTTACAAATACACAATAGGCCTCTTAGACATTTTTAGGTCGTTATAGTCTACATAGATTATATACATTACATTTTTTACGTATGAATTATGCAATATAAAAATATTTATAAAATGCAAATTAAATTCGTTAAAAACAGGTAACTTAAAAAATATCACAATCGTTTCAAAACGTTATCGACAGTAAATTAAGTATCAATCGCGTTAAAAACGCATGTCTCAATTGTCATAATAAAAAACCTATGATAAAATAAAAATAAAACAGAAAAAACCCACTAAATAAAAAAGGTAACAAAAATATAGTTTCATTATCTCTTAACAATGTAAGTAATGAAATAAGAATACCAAAAATAAAAAAAATAAACGTCATTTAAAAAAAATATATGAAAAATTAAAATGAACATATTATAATATAAAATAAAAAAATGTGACACACTAACATGAAAATTAATTACAAATAAGTTTTAAAATCACAATTATTGGCGCCGATTAGATTTCTCTAGAGACTTGAAATGTTGGGACTAAAATTAAATACTTATATTACTTAATCTTATAATAATGTATCCTATTAAATATTATAAATGTGAAAGTTTAAATGTTTGGATGGATGTTTGTTACTAAATCACGCCACAACGGCTAAACGGATCTGGATGAAATTTGGCACACAGATAGATTATAGTGAGGAATAGCACATAGGTTGCTTTTTATCCCGGAAAAATGTGCGGCTCCCGTGGGATAGATTTGTTTTATAAAAACAGATTTAATAATAAGGGGTACCTGTACGTAGATGGAAGTTCTTTGAATTGTCAGCAGAGAATCTGATCAACGCCAATTACGAATTAATAATATTATTATAACTAGAAATAGTCAAGTGAGCCTCATAAACTAACATTTTAGTTTTAAAGGTACATTAAAAAAATCTCAAAACTGTATGAAAATGACTGTTTTATTTTAGTACATCCCTTTTGAATGCTTAGGGAAATTATAATATACCTAAAAATTCCCCTTTCCCGTGCTATTGTAAAAAAATAGACCATTGACAATACTCCATGTAATTATAACTTCATGGTTTTTTATTTCCCTGCGACATATAAGGAATATGTACTTGACTAATATTAAAAATTCTTTCACTCATAGAAAGTTATACCATCTCTACCAGTAAAAGTTTGTAAATATCTATGTATTAATACAAATGTTATAATCAGGTATTTCTATAGAATAAAATATTCATCATATATATATATATATATATATATATATATATATATATATATATATATATATCATATTTTTACTTCTACAATATGTACACAGATATTTTTACTGATATATTTAGTAACGCGTTTTGTATTCAACATTTCGGATATATTTATGCCATAAACTAAAATTACTTTTTATTTTCATAAAGCTCTTTTTTATTTTTTTATATTTGACATAAAATTGAGTATTTTAGACTCGTAAAAAACGTGTTTTCATTGTGATTTCATGATAGTGTACAGCTTTTACATTTTTTTTAACAAATATATAATATAAAAAAACCTCAAATCTCTTTTATTTCATATGGCAATTTTTGTCATAATCGTGATTATTGACATATACAATATGAATTAAAAAAAAAATGTGGATATCAACCAAAACGTCTAAAAATACTGAAAATTGGCTATATTTGTTTTTTTTTATCGACTGACAATAAAATAATGTCTCACAAAATGAACTAACATTAATAAATGAACACAATATGTATTAAAAATGTTTTGGTTAGTTTAATGACTAACTTTTTTTATTGCTTTTTATTTGTGATCATTTGTATTTTCTTATTAACATATACATATTTTTAAATTCAAATATCTCATGCAAATAGTTTACGGGGAAAGTGACTTTTTTTAATATTTAGTATAATATATTATATCAATTATAAAAGAAAAGCTGTACAATATTTTATGACGATATTTCTCACGAAAATGTTGTCACGAAATGTCTCACGTCGATGATTCACGTTTAAAAATCTGATAAAATATTATTTTATACAAAATGTCATTTGAACATTTTTAAGTTTTACAAAATTTTCGATTTTTATTTATTTAAAACCTTCAAAATTTTTTAATTTAACCATTTTATTTTTTAATAAAAAACATCAATACGACTCAATACGAAAAAAAATACTCTAAAACATATATCAAAAAAACAACAAATTATCGAATTTTAGATCCATTTGTCTTCTTTTTTGCCGTTCAACAACGGTGTAGATTCTTCTTTAGTGTTTTTAACTGGACTTATATCTGGTTTTCCATTGAAATATTTTGCTAAATTTGACTTAGAAACTATGTAGGGAATACCAGATAAATCCGACGATAAAGGGTTGTAATACTGACGATAACAGAATATAGCAACCGAAAATCCTAACACGGATCCTACAAGGACATCTGTAAAGAAGGTTTTTAATATATATACATATATATATTTGAAGAATTTGACATCTACAAATTATATGTGAGTAAAAATTTAAAAATTCAATACTATAGAAAAACGATACAATCATAAAATTTGAAATTTATCAAATAACAAAAAATCTAAGTCAACATCTAGTTTTAGTATACAAAAAAAAATTGAGTAGAATAAAAAAGTTTTTGTCTCTTTCTAATAATGGAAAGTTTATACAACATACAAGTATTATGGAAATTTAAATTCATTTACTTAACTTTATTTCTTTACTAAATATCAATGTTCCAAAAAGCCCGAAAAAAAATAGAAAAAAGAACACAAACGAGTAATCCTACAACTATCAAGTACCGAACTCAACAAAAAAAAAATTAAGAAAAAAAAACCAACCAACCTTGCCAATGATGATGATAGTCACAGGTCCTCGATAAAGCTATACACGTGGCCGCCAGCACTGGGGCCAGAATGCAAAGGACTCTCGCTCCAGACCCTCGTCTCCTGGACATGGTGCCCAGCTTCCCACAGATCCAGACTGATGCTATCCCGAGGGAACAGAATGACACTGAGGGTAGGAGAAAAGAAAAAATTAAAAACTGATTTCAATGAACGAAGGAAACATAAATTAAAATATATAAATTAAATATTATTTTAAAGTTGACGTGAGATTTTCAATTATGCGCTCCTAAGTTTAAATGAGATTGAACCAAACCCTCCCTCCCCATTTCAATTATTTTTAAAGTGACTGACGGTGAGGAACATATATTTTAGTGGAAAAATATTATAACACTATTACACAATAAAATGGTACAAAAAATTACAATATCTCTCTATCCGATAGAAAAGGATACAAAATAAATAAAAGAGTGGAGAAGTGCATAAAATGCAAAGTACTTAAAACTTAATTTAATATAATGTAATATGTATATAAAAAAAATGTTACTCATATATACAAACATACATATTATTCATGCATTCTTAATATTATAAATGTGATGTGTGTGTGTGTTTGTTTGTTTGTTTGTCCTTCTTTCACGTCGAACAGAACAGAGAGACGGATTGTCGTAATTTTGTATGTAGAGATAGTCAAAGGGCTGGAGAGTGACATAGACTTACTTTTTACCGCGGGAGATTATCTCATTCCCACGGGAACATTGCAATATGTATATAATATATAGTCTATCTATTCCATACTAACCGTTAAAACGTATTTAGGCTCCTAAGGACGAACCCGAGTGAAGCGGGGTGAGCCGCTAATATGTGCTATATTTTAGTAATATTTCTTACATTTACATATGGACCCTAAAAATTACTCACAACTGCTATGACCGCTTGGAAAAGATTTCCTTCCTTCCATTACATCTGCCGGATCACCTGTACATTGTAGATCAGCTGTTTGTATCCCATCGGGGAAACACCGGTAGAAGAAATCGGGTCGGGGTCGCCCTATGAAAAATAAAATAATATTTAAAGGTAAAAAAACGGAAAATAGGGCAGTGTTAGTAGGAGTAACGCGCTTGCTTTTCAACATGATCACCACTCGCCTTACATTAAGAATTTAATGAGTTTTCTAAAGACATGAGAAATCCGCCAATCCGCACTTGGCCAGCCTGGTGGACTATGGGACGATAAAAAGGGCTCAATACAAAGGTAAAAAAACAAGGTATCATTTTGAAATTATATATCAAGAGTAGATAATTGAATTTAAATAGGTTGTTTACATACAGAATTAAATTAGCTAAATAAAAATGGCGAGTAGTAAAATTTGAACTCAGGATAGCCTAATCTATATGGATAAATACAATTGAAGTGTCTGTTTGTAATGTCAAAATAACAGCGTTTTACTAAATGCATATAAAATTGTAAGAAAAACAGTTTTTAAAATTTTTATGTCTGTTTGTCCCGGCTCATCTCCGAAATGACTGGATTGATTTTGACGGCACTTTCACTGGCAGATAGCTGATGATGTAAGGAGTAACTCAGGCTACCTTTATTTTAGAGAAAGAATCAAGCTTGCACCCGAGTGAAGCGAGAGTAAGTCGCTAGTATCGATTATTAAATTTAAACTGTTTAATAATTTGTTTTATATAACAAGATATAAAGAGAAGATTTAAATGGGAAAAAAATAAGAACAAAATAGAAAAACTTACCTACTATTAATTTAACTGTATCCGTTACTACACCCGTGATACCCAATGCCATAGACCATGAAAGTAAAAACTGGAAAAGGAAAAAATCTTTGTAAATTATATTTTTTATCATAGCATTAGAGTTTTTGCTGTTATAAGGGCTCCACTTATAGTGGAGATGGATAAAATGCATGCACAGTGAATCTCCCATAAAAGTACTGCAAAACTGATTCAAATCATAGAAAATAGAAGAGGAATATTATAGCAATTTTAAAAAAGTTGAATAAATAACACGTTACTTTTTTTCTATTACAGTGAAAGTTAAATAGAAAATGACTATACTTGTCTATTTGTGGATGTTATCAAACATGATCATGTGAAAAAAAATCATTCAAAGCAAAAATTTAAATTAATTATTTATTTTAAAAATCAGTGGGCCACCTCAAAATGTTGAGTATTATTATTATTATTTTTTTAATTTAGTATTTTTTTATAAGCTACAAATTTTACTCCCAAGCTAAGAAAAAAAAACAAAATATTTTTTTCACTCCACCCTAATGTAGAAACAAATGCACTCTCTTAAAATAATTTTCCTGGGGCCATCGGATTGGGGTACACTAGCTACCACATGTGTAGTATGTTGAAATATCATAGTTTCAAGGTAAGAGATAAGATAACAATAAATCAATTCATACATTATAGTGTGCACAAAATTAAAAAAAATATATTCAAGGAATACCTGCTGTTTGGGTATCCTGTGTCATCCATATTAATATTATAAATATGAAAATTTGTGAGGTTGGATGGACTTGTTACTCTTTCACACCAGAATGGCTGAACGGATCTGGATGAAATTTGGCACAGAGATACATTATAGTCTAGAATAGCACATAGCTTACTTTTTATCCCAGAAAAATGTATGGTTCCTGTGGGATAAATTTGTTTTTTCTAGTTAAGATTATATAATTAATTTTATGCTAATAATATTATATTATTTCGGTAGATGTTAATTGAATGATTTACATTTACAAGTATTAACTTACCTCTAAAGCATCATTACAATCGTTACAAATGGCCCAAGCTATTAAAGATAGTATACATGGTACAGACAGCACTATTGACCATAGCATCCCACTTGGCACGTAAGATTCATGTCGAGGATATTTACAGTTGTTCTCCAGTTCTGATGGTGGAATCACTCGAATAAAAGGTGACATAGACTCCATATAACTAAAATAGTTTTATACATATATAGCATGTGTAATAATTATTTAAGAAAAATAATAAAATCAATAATATTTTATTTTTTATGGAACAGCCTTTTTTTACAAATGACTTATAACAATTGGCAGAAGATAAGATTTAATAAAATGTTTATTTACAACAAGTTTCTTGTTACTTTCCATTTACTTCGATTTAATTTATTCTTTTAAGGTTAATTTATTTATAATAACAAATAAATATTTTAAGCATTCGAAATGTAAATATTTTTAACTAAGGTTTTAAGATTTTCAAATGCATAAATAGCTTGTAATAAAACAATATTTTAAAACATATGGACGTGGCTTACCAAAATGCTGAGAAGAGCAATATACGAATAAGAATTTCCATAAATAAACTCGAGCTCGCCGAACGTATGAGCGGCATTTTGACAACTTTAAATTTTAAATATAACACGAAACATGTATTTTTGTTTTACAATTTCATCAAAACAATGTATGTAGTGGGGAAAGTGGAAACCAGTCCTTGACTGCTGTGCTGTTGCACTCAGCCCCGGCCGAGCTCCATACAAGCGCATATTCATAAAACCGAAGGCGAATAAGACGAAGCGGGGGCCGGGGGGGTCAAGATAATCAAAGAAAGATTTTTCCCGATTTAACCATTATAAATTAAAAATAGCTACATGGGATATGTTAATTAATATCTTATTATATTATAAAATATACTTAAGTTAAATATGCTTAAAATGTTTTTTTTTATAAATCATATGTGCTATATATTGATTTATATAATTATATTCTAAATGATTTTAACTATTATCGAATATCTTATATTTTAATTATATTTCATATCAAACATAAAATATCTATTAACATAGGTTTTTATGTTATAAAAATTGATTTATATTTTAGAGCTGTGTCATGATATTTGCCTTAATATGGGGACAGTTATGGCATAAATGGCAAGTCAAAATATGCTGTCACTTTCACGGCTATTGTATTTCTTTTGAGTCGCCACGCATCTCTTTCTAAGGGTATGACGTCATATGCGAATCTGGGAGAATTTAGTTCGTAGTGATGTAAAAATCGGTATCCTTAACGATTACGATTAAGTATGGGATGTATTTTATCGTAATGTTAATCGGTATTCAACAACTTTTATCGGTTTTATAGTAAGGTTTTTCATTTTTTATGATATTAATTATAATTAGAAATAAAATACAAAGATATGGTTTCTCGTTTTTTTATTTTACTATTTAATGCTACCACTAGTTCGGAAAAATGCCTCAGACCTGAGAAGAATTAGCAAGGACTGAGGTCCTTGACGGGATAACCTTTTTTTTTAACATTTATAATACGTTGTTATTACAATAAAAGGACATTTTTAAAGAATTTTATCAATTGAATACAAAATACAAAAAATATAAATTAGTACAACGATTTGGGTATAAAATATTACAATGCAATAAAATTAGAAGTAACATAGAACAATAGTTTTTTGTTAATAACAATATCATATTAAGCGAGTAGTAGGTTTAATTGTAGGTATAAATTAAAATCTAGCTTTTGTTTGAAGTTTTAGCTCTAGAACCACCTTCATCTTCAGTTTATAAAATGCAAAGATTCGAGATTAGCGCATTAGAAAAAACAAACATTTTAATCTTATATAAATTTAAAAAAAAATGCAAATTTCAGTAAAAAAAATGAATAATAAAATTAATTTTCTTAAAAGCTTAAGAAATTTAAAATCAAAATGTACATAGTAATAGTAAAAATTTGGGTGTAAAAAGAAATAACAGCTAAACATACTCTAAAATAAAATTTCTAAATACATAGTTCTATCAAATGTAACAATTATAATTAATATATTAAAATTATATACTGCTATAGTAGTATATTTTAAGAAATTATAATATTATTTCACAGAAATCAAATGAAATATTCATACATTATTTTTATACTTAATAGAAACATAATGAAAATGGAAAATTCTAAGTGATTATCTTTTAAATAACCAAGAAATGAAAACAAACAAGAGTAATAAATATTAAAGTTAATTAATGAAAAAATATTGGAAAATCATTCACTACTTCTGAAGACTAGATGATTTAGACCATAGCTAGGGCCCTTCTGAAACTTTCATATTAAGCAAATTTTCTATTCCAGACCCTTTTTTTCTCGAATCCACTTTATGCATTCTTCAATTAAAATTTATACACCTTTGTTTAACTTTTATACATATCATAAATAATGAGAATGCTCTTAAAAATATTTCTCTATGATCTACACAAGTGTACCAAGAGGTATCAAGATTTTCAAATGCTTTTATTAAATCGGGAAATATGTAAACTTCACAAATCTTTGGTAATTCTCTTTCAATTATGTAAATTGCATACCATACTAGAGATGATAGATTCTTAGAAGGATCAAGTATTTTATTATTAATGAATAAAATAATCTCAGCTGTGAATAAGCCATTCTCAATATTTACATTTAATGTATTACAATAATTGTGTTCTTCCTGGAAACTAAAAGCCTTTATCAGGAGACTTATAGATGTTGAAACACTTCAACTGCTGAAACACCTGCGCAGCATATACTTCACCTGTAAATATATTATTATAAAAATTAATGTAATACAACAAATAGTCACCATAACTATAGTATATGTACTAGTAACTACTATAGATGAATAGTAGCTTATTTAAATATAGTAATAGTTTATTATAATTAGGGTCTAGGTAGATAAGCCAATTAGGCCCTTAAATAGCTTTTAACATTATACGATAGGCTATATAGTTGATAAATTGTTTTTAATGGACTGAGCATTACATGGATAAGTGCATTCAAACAATAAACAAACTCTTCAATTTTACATATTAGAATAGAATAGTATAATAATAAATAGTATAATAATATCAATAGCTTCAAGAAGTTTCCTTCTTAAAAACAATTTCATATTAAATATAAGATAATATCCAAGATCTAAAGTAATATAATAATATCTTAATTTACTTAATTTAACAATATAGTTACCTTCATCTTAACAAAAGAGTTTGGATAAATATGCCTGTCAGTAAGTTTGTTAGCCTTGCAGCACCTTTATGGTCATCTACTTTATACAACATATGAACATAATCCCATTGAGCACGCTGACTGCCTAGGAGCAAATTCTTTTTCTGAAAATTATTACTGAAACATTTCAGTAAATGAGGTACATCATACTTATGATAGGTTTTGTTCCCATTAACTTCATAATGGATAGCACTTGATGCATCATTGGCACTACAAAGTATATTTACCTTAGTATCAGAAATTAATGAATTTATTGCAGCTACATTAGCAGAAACCTGGTCAGATAGAGTTACTCTAGAAATAAATCCTGTTTATAAGAATTTCTATAAGTATACGTTATAAATTGAAGTGCATCTTTATAAGGCATTCTATGGCATGAAAAACCTGTTCCCTCCTGACAATTCGGAATTATAATGCTTTCCCATGATTACACAACATTAATAAGAAACCAATAAAAGGAAGAGAAACACTAATTAAGAAATCACAAATTTTGTATCCAAGCACAAATCTTAACTATATCACTGATCTACATTAATCAGCACTTATCCACATTAATCAATACTAATCTACAAATTGATAAAATGTAAATTTAAAGTGTAAAATAATATAAAAACTGCAAGCCCTCACACCCTAGTCCCCAGGGGCGAGTAATAACAACGGTTAAAACTTGAAAATTTCAAAAATGACAAAATATTGCAGTGACGTCACAGTAGTGACGTATGTAACTGCGACAGAAATAAGTTGTTGTCCCACTCGTTGTCACCAAATGTAGAGATAGCATGCTAGTTACCAAGCAAATGAAAGGGATAGATAGATCTACCAAGAGCTCGTATGGAACTAATTCATCTATTTTATTTGTCATCCATGGTTGCACTTTACATTTTTAACAAGTTGACAGTGACAACTGACTTCTGATAGCAGTTCCAAAGTGTTGCCAAAGTATAAGAATTTCCACTTGTTATAATAATTTAATAATACAATAGTTTAGGTTTTTTGTAGTTTACTTTTAGTTATTTAACAAACCTTCTATGTAAAATCACTATGTTCTATATTTAATTTCTGTACTTATGAATAAATAAAGTTAAAAAAAAATTTGAAGGCAGTGGTAGCCCAGAGGTAACGCGCTCGCTTGAGAAACTGAGTGACGCGGGTTCAAATCCCGGGTCTCGTACCTCTGATATTTTATGTTCAAATCATTTCCAACATGATTGTCATTTGTCTTAACGGTAAAAAAAAAACATCGTGAGGACCTGTATGTCTGAGAGAACCTAGCGAGTTTTCAAAAGACATGTGAAGTCCGCCAAACCGCAATTGGCCAACGTGGTGGACTATGGCCTAATCGCCCTCTTACTGATGGGAGGCCCGTGCCTAGCAGTGGGACCTTAAAAAGGGCTGAATACATAGGGGCGCTTAGGATAAGATAATTTTTAACTTAGGATGGATAGCCTATTTATTTTGCTTCTTGAGCAGGTGCTGTTGAAAGTATGTGGAAAACATCTACTGTAACTAAAGAAATATGTATATGTAAGCAAAACTTTTGAAATGACAAGGAGAGCAACATTGGTATGACAGACATAATATAGTTAAGGTAAAATTATAAAGGTCATCCATTATTAAATTTAACAATAGACGTAGAGAATGGACTGAGCAATACTGTCATAAAATTGATTTCTTTTTAGAAAGAGAGGAAGCGAATGTGCGACCAATACCTCTTCTTTTATTTCAAATTGAATTTTAAAATCGAATTAAAAAAAATATTAAACAGTGTAATAGAAGAAAATGGTTATAAGACGTATCTATCTTCAAATTGATAGTACTTCAATTAATAAAGAAGGCTTCTGGCCTCACATTCGTTTTATCTCTGTCGCGCCTTTCCGCCATTTTAGTTTATGGATGAAACACTGAGTCCACTCTCTATCTCTACATTGTTTAACCACTGGTGGATAAGTGATTTAAGACATTTAAAATTATTTTTTAAATTATCCTGCATCACTCACCCGACATCTTTCGTACGTTGCCAGTAACCCTCATAACAGTAACTTATTAAAATTCAACCATAATTTGATAAATGTTTTGGAACGTAGGATGTTACAAACGGACAAGTTTTTTCATAATCTGGCACAGACAGTTTCCTACGTTAGTACGAATGTTAAAACTATATACAGAGAAAGGAAAATATAAATAAAGTATAAACAATTTTACATCTTTTTATTATTTGCTTACTAAAATACACTTTGTCACACTTGTCTTAATGCGAAAAAAAAACAATCACAGAAAAGTCTTCTGTAAATCTGACACAAGTAATTTAAAACGATACTTTGATTGAACGTTTATGTTTTGAATTTCTATGCAGAATATAAAAAGAACATATAAAAAAAATATAGGACTAAATCTGAAATATGGTTTTATTGATATAAAATTACAAAGCCTTAACCTTAAAATTAAAAAAAAAACTAATTGTGTCAAAATATACAACAAACTTAAAAGTTTGTATTTATTGGGATTAGCTATTACCTAGCTTTTAAATGAGACGTATATTGAAATTACAAAATATTTTTTTATTCCCCTCTCCTTTTTTAAAACAGTCCACACTCTGGTTTTTTGACAGTAAGAACTAAGAAGTTTACATACAGATTTTTATATAATATGCAGAAAAAATAATAATTTAAACATGTACAATCATTATTATCATCACATAAGGTTATTCACGAGGTTTGTTTCGTTGTACAAGAAAACGCGGGCATACATAATATATATGTCACTCGCACATGGCAGTAGCCACCTTTGTAAATGCTCATTTTCATAACGTTTACCATATGTAAAGTCAAAGTAAAGGAAGAGGAGTTAATTAAAATACAATTCCAATATGAAAAAAAACCAGTACTATTTCAGATAACTTAATATGACGTATACTAAATATACAGACAAAAAAAACCTTTTGTTATAGGCAAAGAGATAACATTACGAAAAATATGCTATTTATTAAGTACTTCACTTAAAAAAATGATTTCATAAAAAAAGCTGGCAACATTAAATAACTATACGTATTAATTAAAACTTAAAAGTACTTTGTTTTGAAAAATGATTTTGCAGCTTAAATTATAACGTTAAATTAAATATTGTAATGACACTACAGTACACGATAGAATAATAAAAATGAATATTATTAATTATTAATTTTACCTGTTTAGAAGAAATCATAATATACGTTTGAAACAAATTGTGAGAACTTTATTAATGTTTTTTTTTATTTACTCTATATATAATATATAAACATAGAAAAAAGCGACATAAAACACGAGAAACTAAATGATGTGCGAAGATACCGAGTTCCAAAGTAAAATTATACAATACTTATATTAAAAATATATTAAGATTTATTCCCAAAGATAAAAATGTTTTTTTTTTTAATTCCAGAACTACAATATTCCAAAAGCTACCATAATGCGCTAAAATATGTAGGTACTAATAATATAACAATAAATAAAAATATAATATATCAATTAAAATAATTATAAAAAATGTAATTTACTATTTTTTTATAATTATTTTAAAAAAACACACTTTTATTTACTCAACTATCGATTAATAATAATTATAGCCTTTTTCCACATAAGCATAAAACATAAGCTAAGTAATAAAACTAATCAGTATCATTCCTGTGACTTATACAATATATAATATAAAAAAATAAAAATGTCAAAATTTAAAAAGAAAGTAGCTTTCAAGTTTCTTAGCACAGATAATATAGCAATTAATTGTGTAACTACTTTAATAAGTTTTTAATGGTCCCTATGAAGAACAATTAAAGGCACCGTAATGTAAAAGGTTACAACACATAATATGTTTAGATATCTAACTTTTCTATATTACTATTGCAAGTAAATGAGACAGTGCATTATTATTTGTTTCTCTTTTCTTACTACTCCATTCGATTTAAATATGGGTCGCGATTCTAATGTAGGATTTTTTTCATTTTATAAACAATAAATATGTCGGGACTTGAATACACAGGACCATCTAGTTCCATGGTAAGCTACGAGACTTGTGTTACGGATACCAGATAGTTGATACACTACACATATATGTATAACTTTAAATACATACATATTATAAATATAAACACCCATGACTGGAGTACAAACATTCGTGCTCATCACACAAATGAATGCCCCCAGCGGGACTCGAGCCCGCGACCGTTGCGCTGGCACAGAAAGTAGGGTAACTACAAACTGAGCCAAACGTATCGTCCAAAGTTATATATAGTTTATAAACTATAAAAAGAATGTTTTGTGTATTATAATTAACAGTACTGCATTGAAAGAGAGAGACTAAGTTCCTAAGCATTTTTTATGTGTTATTTTACAGAATAATTTCAATTAAACATGCTAATATATTACAAATATCTTCAAGTTTTATTGTACCTATATGTTTATAGGATTTTATTTTATTACATCAAAGTTTTAAAGGAAATTTTAAATTATTTAAAAAAAAAAGCGGTGCTTCGAGCATATTTTTTTGGGTTTTGTGAGCAAAAGTTTAGCAGTAACAATAACCATAACTCTGATAGTATATATTTTTTTATTAAAATAGGAGATATTAAAAATAAAATGCAAATATTCAGTTTATAAAACTATCTTTCGACTAAAAATGTAAAACAACAAAGTCAAATATAATTTAGATAAACAAAATTTAAAAAACTTGAGTGCACTGATTTCAAGCACATCAAAATGTTTAAATTTAACGATTTTAAATAAATGATTTTTTAAATAGTAAAATGCAAATCTTGCAAATTACATTCAAATCATTAAGACTTCGTTGCGAAAATAAAAAAACGAAGTAATGTAAATAAAAATACTCTTTACAGATAAATAATAAATAAAATAACTATATATGCTATCTCAAATACTAGCACAGATGTTATTCAAAATATTTGTTTAGAATATTTTAATTATGCACATTTTAAATGCAGATCATATAATATAATGAGAAATAGTGATATTATTAAAGTTTTGTTCTATTTCATATTTGTTTTCAAAATAAAGCTTCAGAGCCAAAATGGTCTAACTTTATATCATTAATAATATTTTAAATGCAGATCATATTGAAATTGATGAAAAATTGACATATTTTTACTACTTTGTTCTATTTCATATTTGTATTCAAAATAAACCATCAGCGCAAGAATGGTCTAACTTTACGAGTTTATCATTAAAACGTTTATTTATATATATATATATATACGTATATATATATATATATATATATATATATATATATATATATATATATATATATATAGAAGCAGTTTAAATGAATTTTTCATCATGATATTTTAAATGTACTTATGACATATCTTAATAATTATAAGATAAATCTATGGAGCCTAGAAGTAAGGAGTACAATCTCTGTGTATGAAAAAGTGTCCGTCAAAAGCTTCCAATAATAGTGGCGCTGCGGTAGCGTAGGATACATTTTAAAGGAAGCGCCAAAAGTAATTAGAGTAACATAGAGAAATAAACAAGGATATTTATATTCACTAAATTATGTTAGACTGCGTAAATAGTTGAGGTTTTGTATACTGGTATTTCATTATTTACGGTCATGAAAAATGTGAAATTTTTGACTCAGCACTCATCTCACTCACGCTCAGCTAAATTCATATCATAGTTTTCGTACGCCAGCGCCATCTATTTTCAGCATACAGCTGAACACTTTTTCAACTTCACCCCCATTTAAGTGACTCCTCCTTACCTCTACCTTCCATAGACAAATTAAGTTATTTCAAAAAAAAGTATACCCTCCAAAAATAATGTCAACTAAAAGGGTATAAAAAGTGTTACTTTCTTAGAATTACGCGAATATTCGACATTTTAAATAAAACAATATTTTTGGATTTTTTCGCTTATTGATTTAGAATTTTTTGTTCTCGACGTTTCGAATGCTTTACAGAAATTATGTTCACGGGAGATTTCTATCTCCATGACCTCTCCCGTGACAACGCTTGCTGTGAAACATTCGAAACGTCGGGAACCAAAAATCAAAATAAATCCGCGAAAAAATCCAAAAACATAGTTTTAGTATAAAAAGCAAATAGTATGTGTACTTATGTATTACAGCATCAAATCTTTATATCTTACTATATAATACGGAACCAAAAAACCAACTTGAGTTGTAGCTTTATAAAAAAAAATAACTTATCAAGTTATTCACAGATAATATCCCATAGTATGTGTTCTGGCGTTCTTGTAATAATCAAAATATTCTGAAGGTGAGTGCGAGTGTTTTTTTACAACATCATCTAATTGCATCTGATCTCCCCAGTCCGCCTGAAAATGATATTTTATTTAGTTTATCCTATCTATACTAATATTATAAAGAGTCATAGTTTGTTTGTTTGTATGTTTGTTTGTTTGTTTGATTGAACGCGCTAATCTCAGATATTACTAAACCGATTTGAAAAAAACGTTTTGCATTAGATAGCCTGTTTATTGAGCGAGGCTATAGGGGCTATATATTATAATGTATGCCTCAAGCGGGACTCGAACCCTCGACCGTTGGTACAAGAAGTAGGGTCACTACAAATTGAGCTACACGTTTCGTCATTTAATATTGTTTTAGAGTTACATTATTATACATATTGATGAACCGTGTGCGAAAATTTGTGTTTCTATTTCGACAAATACATCAAGTATATCTATAACAACTAAATATCTGCCTAAATATCATAAACAATACTTACAAAATTAGGGAATAAAGTTTTCTTCTCATCAAACTTTCTTTCACTGACGCATCGCAAAAGGTACAGCCTTTCTACCCACGGCCATATCATATAATCGAGCATACCTGGTTTGTCACCACCGAAGTAATTTGTACCTGATAATAAAAGTTATGGTTTAAAAATTGAAGTAATAGTATAAATTTTTTTGCATTTTACTAGACTTCCGCGACACCATTCAGACAAAGAGAGACAATAGCATTCCCAAGGAGGGTTGACGTCAGGCGGCCGGTCGTAAAACTTTTGCCAAATCCTATCAGCAGTACACAAGATGTACTGCGCCGACCCCAAGTGATTGGGGAATGGGCAGGGAGATGAAGAAGAATAATAGTTATTGTTTATTTACACTTGCATATGTTATTACTGCGTGTACAGTGCAAGTGCTTTGGAATCCCACTTCAGACAAATATTTAAAGCAGAATACAAATAATTAATAGAATATAATAAAATTGTAACTAAGCCCAATCTGTACTTTAAATTTTTTTGGAAAATCTTATTGAAATAGATGTTATTATCGATACAGAGGCCGAATCTATAGTTTTTAGAATTTTTGTCTGTCTGTCTGTAACCGCATCACGGAAAAACCACTCGAGGGATTTTGATGAAATTTGGTATGATGATAGCTGGTTATCCGCGTCAACTTTTTACCGCGGGAAAATGTCCCATTTCAAAGAAAAAATACAAAAACTGCAAAGTAAGAGTATACTAATATGTAAAACCTAAGAATTTGGTTTTTGGTCATCTGAACGCGGGCGGAGCCGCGGCAATGCTAGTTATTGGGCTCAGGGGACGTTCGCAACTCATCAAACGATTTTTTCTCTCCGTTTTATTTTGTTACGATAGTAAGTCACCCGTTTCAATTTTTTTTTGAGTTTGATATTTAAACATTGAGTGTATAATATAAAATTAAAAAATATATACATTTTCTTGCGTGTGAGAAAGATTCAAAAGATTAAAGCGATGAATAAGTTAATAAGATAACTTAGTAGAAAAACTACATCATCTAAATCAGCGGTCGGCAAGTAGTTTTAGGTGGGGTCCGGATACTGTGGGAAAACTTTAAGGAGGTCCAGAAAAAAACAACCGATAATAATTAAGTGCTATGTATTATTTTAGTTTCAAATCAAATTCTGAATTATAAACAAGACCTAAAATTAATGTGAGAAACTACACCGTGTTTCGTGTGCGTAAGAAAGATTTAAAATATTTAAATCACGTCAGTTATAACTAATTCGCACAAACATACGCACACAGGCTAGATAGGAAACTAACCCGATTAACTAATGATGACAAAACTAATGACGATTCAAAATAACTTGTACGAGTATATACTTTATATTTGAATAAAGAATATTTTGATTGATTGAATCAAACCATATCAGTTGTAGGTACTTGTAAAACAGGTTAACTAGGAAACTTAAAATAGAATAAGTACTAAGTTAAATTCTGTGGCTTAAAAATATTATTTTAATTAATAAAGCTATAGTATAACTTATCCACGTATTAATTTATACTTGGTATACAAAACAATACAATATTTGGCGGTCCGAGGTTCGACCTGTCGCGGTCCGCAAACGGACCGCGGTCCGCCTGTTGCTGACCGTTGATCTTAATTAAACTTTTGAAAATTGCAAGAAAAATTATAATCAAAATACTATAGAAAAGTCTGTGAGGATGTATGGATGATGATGTTTGTTACTCTTTCACTCAAAAACTACTGAATGGATTTTAATGAAACTTTACAATAACATAGCTCATACATCAGAATAGCAAATATACCACTTTTTATCCCGGAAAAATTTACAGTTTCCGTGGGATAGATTTGTATAAATAACAAAAATGCTTCAATTAAATATATTAAAGATCGTGAAAATCTAGAAAGATACTATGTAGAACTTACTATTGAATATTTACAATTGTCTTTTAAATATTTATTTTTACAGGTCAACGCTAGCTCCTAGACTATACATTGATTTCACTTTATAATGGAACCACAAATTTTATTTTATACTATTTCAAAAAAATATATAGTGTGTTCTCTTGACCGATTCCGGCCACGGCGGCCAATCTCATCGAGACTAGCCAACTGCGCAGGAGATATTATAGTGCAGCGCGTGTGGGGGAGAGCGCAGACACTGCGTGCGCTCTCTATTCCTGTCACTCTCATACTCCGGTGGGACGACACGAGCCACGACCGGTGAGAGTGTCGGCGCAGGACTTCCCAACTCCGGTCTGTTACTGAGACTTACTATACAGGAAAACTCAATAACTAAACTTGGCCCGACTCGGGACTCGAACCCAGGACCTCCGAGTGTGCAGCCGTACTTGCTAGCCAATACACCACCGAAGCAGTTAGAATATATATATATATATATATATATATATATATATATATATATATAAGTATTTAAAAATAATTAGTTTGTTTAAATTTACTATTCAAATATTTTGAATTTTTTAATTTAGACAAATTCAGTAATAATATGAACATTAATTACCTCTTAAAGCCAGCTCCTTTTCAAAGATATCCAAAGTCTGAACAATTTGCTCGCTGCCGAACGCGAAGTTTGTGTCGAAACACTCTAAGCTGCCTTTTATTAACTGAAAATTAAAAAAACATACATATATACTCGTACATATTGATTTGAGTTATCTATACATATAATAAAATTGTAACTAAGTCGAATCTGTACATTAAATATTTTTTGGAAAATCTTATTGAAATAAACATTATTATCGATACAGAGTCCGAATCTATAGTTTTTAGAATTTTTGTCTGTCTGTCTGTCTGTTACCGCATCACGAGAAAACCACAGGAAAGATTTTGATGAAATTCGGTATGATGATAGCTGGTTATCCAGGTCAACATGTAGGATACTTTTTACTATGGAGAAAATATCTCATCTCTAAGAAAACTAAACGTTAAAACATAACTAGGCGCAAACCCGAGCGAAGCAAGGGTGAGTCGCTAGTATATTATATTTTGGTAATTCGGTCAGGGGCACAAACGAATTCGGTCACAACCTAATTGAAATTAGCGAACTATGCGGGAGATAGCGCACAAGTGTGTTTACCCTCAGACTTAGCTATTAATATTGCTTCCTTAGACTGATTTAAAGAACACAATTCAGAATTAGCGAAAATAGCGCATAACATCATCGATCAAAAAAGTACTAGGATACACAATCAGCGACAAAAAATGTCCTCACCGAATGAGCGCCCATTTGAACATTTGAGCGCACTCATATTTTTTTGTAAAAACAACTTTAAGCATTGCGTTTAAGGTTCAATTTACATTGTTGTATATTTATTTCAACTAGAACAATTTAAGAGAACTTTTGCATGGGATTGTGTATATAGTAGTTTTTGATCGATGCATAAAATACACAAAAAATAGAGAGTTTTACCATCAAATAAAACTTACCTATTATTTTTTCATCAATATCCGGAATCCATCTTGAGTCAAGCACCTATCTTTCTGCCTGTTGTCAATGTTTTTCTACTTCCTCTCCGCTGGTAGCGCCGCCTATACTTGCATTTTGGCGCCAATAACCGGCAGCGCGCACCGGGTGACCGTATGATTTAACCATTATAGAACTCATGATGCACCAGGTAGACCTTACCTGGATTCCGGATATTGATGAAAAAATAATAGGTAAGTTTTATTTGATGGTAAAACTCTCTATTATTTGTTTTGTATCAATATCCGGAATCCATCTTGAGTGATGTGTTTGTTATCACCTGGTGCGCTGAACCCAAAGACGCTATAATGTGTATGATAATTAAATATTGGGTTAATAAAACGCTATGTTTTGATGTACATGTATTAGAACAATTAAACAAGTATAAAATATTTCATATACTTACAAAACACCACTTCATATAAAAGAAGAAACATATATAATGTTATACTAATATTCTCATTTCACAGCATCAAAATAATTAGATAATGATACAGAATTATTCACAAAATTAGAATCATTGTAAGTTATTAATTCTCTTTGATAATAGTTTTGAAAAGTATGAATCATTTTCCAGTTACTAGTTGCTAGAATTTGATCAATTGGAAAGTTTTCTACAAAATTGAGAGAAGCCACTGCAGATCTTACTGAGCCCGGTGTTGCATTAATACCACTATCCTTTAAGAGAGACCTCACCCATCCACCAATAACAGTTCTAGATGCAGGCTTTATATCACCTCTAGCTGTAATAAACAAGTGATTCAAATTTTTTCGACGGTCAACAGTTATATGTAACAATTGTCTTAACCAATAAATGAGATTTAATTTTTTATCAGGGTGCTCTCTAAGCCTCCATCCAGACTGTCTATGGTTATGGCTATCTGTCTTTGAACCAAATACAGGCCAAAGCACAATAGAGGTTCCTTGATCAACTAAACTAGTGCTATCAACTCGCAACAATGTAAGGTCGTGAACCCTGCGGCCTGATGCTAACAGTAAAAGAGTAGCAACATGCCTTGATACTTGGTAGAGATTATTTTCATTAAAATTATAAGAGCTCATGTATTGCAATAACACTTTAGGATTCCAAATAGGTGGCTTAGCCGGCTTCTCTCGTGCTACAGAAATAGCTCTTAATACATGTTTTATAAAGAAATTATTCGACAAGTCAATATTACCTGTTAAATGTGTGAAGGTTGAAATAACAGATTTATGCACCAAAATAGTTCTGTATGCAAGACCTATATCACAGTGTAAATGTGCTAGAAACCGAGCAACTTGATCCGGGGTAGGATATTTATAATCAATTGAATGAGACTCACACCATTGCCTCCATCTGCGCCACGCGGGTTTGTATGTATTGATCGTAGAGCATCTCCAGCTTGACATGAGAAGTTGTTGTTCTTGATCTGTCCATTCTGTCAACATATCTGGCCACCCGAAATCAGCCATGCCTCCAAGTGTAGGTCTTGCACTCGTGGCGGATGCGTCCCAGTTCTGGTATCTATAAGAGCGTGTGCCAGATCTGGAATTAGATACGGGGGATGTCGAGCTCGCTGTTGAACGTCTGCTTGCCAAAATACCTTGTTCCACCTCGGGGCAATCAATATGTAGTCCCCGCTGGCGTGGTTCAAGTGTCTGAGAACTCTGGGTATCAGATTTGGGGGCGGAAACAACCAAGCTAGGTCGTAGTGCCACTGATGACAAAACGCGTTGTGGTTTTGTGCTTCCTGATCGTCTACGTCCAACGATGCATACCTTGGTACTACGTGAGCTGTCTTCGATGCGAATAGGTCTATCTCTGGCGTGCCCCACATTAGAAAGATTTTCTTGGTCGCTGACCTCGTGAGATGCCATTCTGGACAAGTTCTCTGCCGAGACAGAGCATCTACTTCGGCATTGAATCTGCCCGGGAAATAATGCGCTGTCAGATGAATATTCCGCTTGTCTAGAATTGCCAGAAGTTGTCGAGTCTGTTGAAGAAGCTTCTTGGATTTGGTGCCACCCTCCTTGTTTATATATGAGACTACTGTCCGATTGTCGGTTTGCAATAGTACCTGTGCATTCTGGAGTTGATGTTGATTCTGGCGTATAGCAGCATAAACGGCGAACATTTCTTTCTTGTTGGCATGCCAGGCCCGCTGCGAATCTGCCCAGGTCCCCATAATATTTATGTCGCCGAGCTGGGCACCCCAACCGATGTCTGATGCGTCTGTTGTCAGTAGGTGTGTCACTGCGCTTACGTGTATCGGCATAGACTTTCCTATAGCTTGGCACCACCACTCCATCTCCGACCGAGCAGGTTGAGGAATGGTCATGAGCCGGTATGGGTGTTTCGCCGGCAGCTGTCGGCTGTAGTATTGCAGAGTACGACAGTGCAGGCGACCTCTCGGTGTTACAAATGTTGCAAAGTTGAGTCTCCCCATTAGACTTTGATACTGTTTGAGGGACCACTTGCTTTTTCGAAGCTGTTGATGAAGTGCTTTGCGTAGCGTTAAGCACTTCGGTTCCGACAAGGACTTTGCGTTGCGTTTTGTGTCCCATGTTATGCCAAGAAACTCGAGGCATTGTGTCGGAACCAGAACAGATTTTTCGAAGTTGATCGTCCAACCTAGTAAATGCAGTATGTTTATCGTGAATGCGACGTCGTCTTGTAACTGCACCTTTGACCGATTTGCTAGGAGAAAATCGTCCAAGTAAACTACGCACCGGATCTTGTGACTCCTCAGAAATTCTGCGACCCAATTGGTTATCGAGGCAAAAGTTCTGGGTGCCGATGAGAGACCGAACGGTAAACAAGTCATTTGAAGCAGTTGATGCTGATGTGTGTCTTGGTGATAATTCAGTCTCAAGAACCTGCGATGTTGTCGTGCGATCGCTACGTGGAAATAAGCTTGACTCAGATCTAGCTTGGCCATCCAATCTTGTGGTTGTAAAAACGATGGTACTCGGAAGTGGCTGAATAGTTGAAATGGTTTGACTACTACGAACTGATTTAGTTGTCTCAGATTGAAGATAGGACGAAAGGTCTGATCCGACTTGGCCACCAGGAAGAACGTGGAAAGGTAACTCGGTGTCAGTTCTGCAGGTTCTAGCACGCCGGACTTCAACATGGTTTGAATCTGTATGGTCATATTGGGCGAAGTCTTGGTTCTGTATAATTTCATGACTGTGGGGCTCGGAATTATTAGTGGTGGTTTGAGGATGAAGGGTATACGTGCACCATTCAACAGGCGGCATATTTTGTCTGGCGCACCCAGATTGCTCCAAGCACATAGAAATCGTTTCAGACAGCCGCCTTGAAATATCTGATAGTCATTCGCGATGCTTGTTTTTAAAAGAAGCCTGCGATTTCTTTCCTCTAGGTTTAACCCTGGGATTGTTTGTCTTGTTTTTGTTTTGACGAGACGCCTGAGGGGAATGTTTTTGACTTCTTGTGAAGGTATCTCGACGAAAAAATCTATTATCAACTTGCTTACTAGTAGATGGCTTCTGGTTTTGATAAAAGTTATCCTTTGAATAAGTCTGGGGAACTGATTTTGTTGATGTAGTTAATTTATCCGGCCCGCCTATTTTTTGAAGGTATGATTGAACGGCTTCATCATTAAAAAGCGATTCGGTACTAGGAGGAATTTTATGTAAAACATCACGATGAAAGCCTTCAGATATCTGGCGTAACATAGCCTCGCGACGTATATTTATAAAATCAGCTCTTCTACCGCACACTATTTGTAATAAATCATCCGTCACCTTACTATATGAAGATTCTTTAGAAAATAATTTTTCAACCTTTTCAAACAAAGAACTAGGCGTCAAAGATTCCCTAGACTCATTTGACCAATCCACCAAAGATTGTAAAGTTTTATGCAATTCATCTTTTTGACAAAGTATAGCATTCGTCAAAGCCGCAAAAGATCTTTCTAATAAATATGAACGTGAATCCTCTTTAAGCATTGCCAATTCAAAACGCTTTAATTCGTCATTAACGCTTAACTCGACAAAACCGGGGGTAGCTAAATATTTCTTTTGTGCATCCGAAAAACGAACGGCATACCAATCCTCACATTTAAAACGTTGTAATTCCGATAATTTTTTAAGAAACGTATCATTTGCCTTAGGGTAGATTGGGTCTTTTACCGTCGTACTGATTTCCGACAAAATTTGAAGTTTACCATTCTTATTTATATTATCTTCAGGTCGCCGCAGATTTAATTCATTTATCGAAACGGACGTAGTATTCTTATTAATTGAATTTGTATGTTCAGTGTCGGTATTTTTAGATATTAGGTTAGCTAAGAAGGCCATTTGCTGCGATAAAAACTCAAAGTGTGCATAACTCACGGTTTGAGAGTCCCTTCTTGATTTACGTTTCTTTGGTCTGGATCCACTACTCGAAGAAGAATCACTATCACTATCTTGAGCACTTGTTACTGGCGAATGTAATCGCTTACGAGATGATGAGCCACCATTAACACTCTCTGACTCCACATCATTATTGAGATTTTCCATAATAACAACGGAGAGGAACAAAATTTAATCGAACTATAATTATTTTATAATAATATAATCAATTAAATATTATTTAAACTATAATTAAGAAAAATAAGTAATTTCGCGAAGTTTAAACAACACTAACAACTGAACGGCGCGAAAAACGACGCTATAATGGTTAAATCATACGGTCACCCGGTGCGCGCTGCCGGTTATTGGCGCCAAAATGCAAGTATAGGCGGCGCTACCAGCGGAGAGGAAGTAGAAAAACATTGACAACAGGCAGAAAGATAGGTGCTTGACTCAAGATGGATTCCGGATATTGATACAAAACAAATAATACTACTTTTTCGAAGTCAGTCAATTATTCCCTCAACGACCGCGGGCACACCGGTGTTACAGTTAACAATGAATTTCTTAGAAATTTAATTAATTTCTTAGAAATTTACCTGGAGGAGTTATAATACCTACCTCATTAAACCTTTCTATAAGCAATCTATCCTGCGCCTTCACGTACGGATCTCTGGAGTGTAGATGGTTCCGTCCGTATTTCTCGTCCAAGTAGTCACATATAACTACACTCTCGAATAAATATTTGTCACCTTGGTCTGTTGGTATTTCCAGCACTGGAATTTTTACTGAAAAAAGAAAAAAAACGTGTGTGTGTATTTATGTTTGCACGTAAGAAGTTATACTTCTTTGGCGTAACAGAACAAAAGTAGTTAAAGATTTCATCCCGTATGACACAACTCTCTGTTTGTAAAAGGAATGCAGCTAACTTCAATATGTCGCTTTTTGGCTGTCGGTGCGCGCGCGCATCGTAAAAATTTTACTCAACTTTTTTTAAACGTGCGTTTTAAAAATAGTCTACATTTATGTATAGGTCTAGGTGTATAGATGTATGGATGATTGTTTCTCTTTCACGCAAAAACTACTGAATGGATTTTAATGAAACTTAACAATAATATAGCTCACACGTCACAATAACACATAGACTATTTTTTATCCCGGAAAAATGTACGGTTCCCGTGGGATAGATTTGTTAAATAAATAATAGTAAAAAAAACATTTTTAAAACAAACTTTTATTTAAATGCACCAAAAAGGAAATAAACTTTAAATTCCATACATCAAACCATCAATTTATTACGTTACATAATAATTTATATGCTACAAAAGTTTGTCGCAAAGTTTATTTTCTTTTTTTTTAAACATTTAAATAAAAGGTAACTTTAAAAATTATTTTTTACTATTAATTTATTTTACAGTTTTTATTTTTTATTTAATTCGTATTCTTCTCAACGAACCCTTTCATTTGATATCATGGCATTGCATAAAAAACATATTCCCCCATCTTTGGGAGTCCGCCATATTGGATTTAGAATGACGTCACTTAACTAACCATGCATTGTCAAACAAACTAAACGTGTATGCAAAATTTCAGCTCAATCGGTAGAAGATAACTGCTTTAAAATTCAGTTGTAAGATTTGCCTTGAACAAACTGTTGGATAGTGTGTAAACCTCATTATTGTCTATGGTTAATTAGTATTAAGAAATAAAAAATAGACACTTCCGTCTGGTCAATGGCTTCAACGTGAACGCTTGTTTCATTTACACCCGAGTCCTAGTAAATATTAAATAATAATAAATACATAGAACATAACATGGTGTCAGAAGTAAAAAAGGAAAAGTCAATGAAATAAAAATTGAAAATGTCGCACACGCAAGCTGCAAAGAAATCTACGAAATCTACAGACGACATCATGGCGGACGCTGGACAATCGCATTTTATACAATCGTCTTCGTCACTTATAAATAATATCGAAAAACTGAATATACATGCGTCAAATATGCCGCTGACTTGGAAGAACTTCGCCACGAATTTAAAAATTTACATGCGGGCAAATAACTTTGAAAAGGAACCTGAATCACGTAAGGTCGCCATTTTGTTAGCATGCATCGGCAGCGAGGCGTTAGAAATATTTTACTCATTTAACGTCGACATCGATATCATCTCTTTCGAAGAACTCCTTAAGAAATTCGAGGATTTTTTTCTGCCTAAGGTAAACATAACAATGGAAAGGCACAAACTCTTCAATAGAAAGCAAGGTCAAGACGATATTGCTAGATGAAGTATCCTCAAAACTTTGTACATTTAACACTCCTCAAGGAAGGTATCGTTTCTTAAGGCTACCCTTTGGTATTAATGCAGCCAGTGAAATCTTTCACAGTGAAATGGTTAAAAGATTTAGTGACTTGGAAGGAGTAAAAATAATGATAGATGACATTTTAATATATGCTCCTGATAAAGAAACTCATGACAAACGTCTAGAAAATGTTCTAAAAAGAGCTAGAGAGATAAACATTAAATTTAATAAAGAAAAGTCAGTAATTTGTAAAGAAGAAGTCCGTTATTTAGGTCATGTTTTTAGTCAAAAAGGTGTGAAAGTCGATGAAAGTAAAGTCAAGGCAATTTGTGATATGCCTACACCTAGTAATGTCAATGAACTACAAAGATTTTTAGGAATGGTCAATTATTTAGGTCCATTTATTGATAATTTGTCCCAAAAAACGTCTTGTCTAAGGTCTTTACTGTCAAAAAACACAAAATGGTCGTGGTCACATGAACACAACACAGAATATAACAGTCTAAAAGAAATTATAACAAAAACTCCAGTCTTAGCTTATTATAACCCCAATAAGGATATTACACTGTCAGTCGATTCGTCAAAAGATGCAATGGGTGCTGTCATTTGTCACAATAATCAACCAATAGCATATGCATCATCATCATTAACACCTTGTCAACAGTCATATTCTCAAATTGAGAAAGAACTCTTAGCTATATTGTTTGGGTGTACTAAGTTTCACCAATACATATATGGTCGTCAAACACTGGTTGAAACTGACCATAAGCCAATTGTCTCATTAATGAAAAAACCTCTTCATGAAATACCACCTAGGTTACAAAGAATCATGTTAAGACTCCAGCCTTATGATCTTAAAGTCTCATACAAGCCTGGTAAATATTTATATATAGCAGACACACTGTCAAGAGCTGCATTGTCAGAACAATCTTTGAAAGAAGTAGATGAAGAATTAGACTTGCACATAAATATGCTAATTAATACATTGTCAGTCAGTCCTGAAAAACTAAAAGAAATCAAAGAAAACTCAATTAAGGATGAAGTCCTAAGTCAAATAATTACTTACTGTCAAAACGGTTGGCCTGAACACAAAAGATGTGTTTCAGCATCAGTCAAACCATACTTTGATTTAAAACATCAAATATATGTCATAGATAATATTGTATTCAAGGATACAAGTATAATAATTCCATTCAATATGCGTGATTATTTACTTAATTTAATTCATGAAGGTCACCAAGGCATAAATAGCTGTATAAGACTAGCTAAAGGTACAATTTATTGGCATAACATTAACAAAGATATAGAAAAATTTGTCAGTCAGTGTCATACATGTCTTACATTCCGCAATAACAATAGTAAAGAACCACTAATCTCTCATGATTATAAACTTTTAGCATGGAATAAAGTAGGTATGGATTTGTTTGATATAAATAATAAAAAATACTTAATTGTCGTAGACTACTTTTCAAAATATCCAGAAATAGCACTTTTAAACTCATCTAATTCTAGTAGTGTCATTACTCATTTAAAGTCTATTTTTGCACGTCATGGAATCCCTCATATTGTCATAAGTGACAATGGTCCTCCATTTAATTCAAATGAACTAAGTGATTTTATGAGAGAATGGCAAATTCAACATATAACTTCTAGCCCATATCATAGTCGCTCAAATGGACTAGTTGAACGTTCAATCAGAACTATAAAGAATATCTTAAAGAAATGTTATTCTGATAAAAAAGATCCCTATCTTGCCATATTACACTATAGAAATACTCCTAAAAGCTGTGGTTATTCTCCAGCACAACTGTGTATGTCACATAGTCTTAGAACTAGGATACCTATCTCAGATTCTAACTTGAAACCTAAATGTATTGATTATAGGAGAATGAAACAACACATTGATACACATAAACAAAGAACATCACTTTATTATAACAAACATACAAAGTCACTTCCTTCTTTAAAACAGGGTGAAAAAGTTTACTTCAAAAAACAACCACATAATAATTATAATGCTTGGATTCCAGGAATCATTTCTAAAGTAGGCCCAGAGCCACGTCCTTATATAATTTCAAGTCCAGAAGGTGAATTTCGTAGAAATAGAAAACACATTTATTCACCAAAACATGCACCGACTATTCAATTTCAATCAAAGCCATCAGCCAATTCACATCATATTTCATCAAATTCCAATCCAACTTTGTCTTCTAGAACCGATTCTTCAATAAAATATTCCAGATTTGGTCGTCAAATTCGTAAGCCCAATAGATTCAATTAGTTATTTCGTAACTTTGTCTTATTATGGTAATTTTCGTTTATTTTACTTGATAATTACATTAGTATTAGTTTTAATTTCAAAAATTTAAATTAATTTGTCACTTGTCATAGTCAAACTGTCAAAATCATAATCAAACGTCACTTGTCATTGTCATATGTCAGTAATTGTCAACTTCAAAAAAGATGTAATTTCTTCATAGTGTTGCAAGCACAATGTATACATAATATTAAAATTGTATAATAAATGTTTTTTTTTTGTTTGTTCGGAGGAAAAATGTAATAGATATAGAGTCATATAAGGATTGTATAACTATGTATGTAATGTAACAACAATAATTTGTAAAATAATTTTGTATTCCTTCAACAATTGTAATTCTGCATAAAATTTTATTTTGTAAGGGAGGTGTTGGATAGTGTGTAAACCTCATTATTGTCTATGGTTAATTAGTATTAAGAAATAAAAAATAGACACTTCCGTCTGGTCAATGGCTTCAACGTGAACGCTTGTTTCATTTACACCCGAGTCCTAGTAAATATTAAATAATAATAAATACATAGAACATAACACAAACAAACATTGCAAGTTAAATAAAAGCTTATAAAACCCAAAAAAATCACCTAAAACGAAATCTATACATATAATAAAATTGTAACTAAGCCGAACCTGTACATTAAATATTTTTTGAAAAATCTTATTGAAATACACATTATTATCGATAGAGGCCGAATCTATAGTATTTTAAATTTTTGTCTGTCTGTCTCTCTGTCTGTCTGTTACCGCATCACAGAAAAACCACTGAAGGGATTTTGATGACATTTGGTATGGTGATAGCTGGTTATCCGGATCAACATATAGGATACTTTTTACCGCGGGAAAATGTCTCAATTCTGAGAAAAAATACAAAAACTGCAATGTAAGAGTATACTAATATGTAAAACCTAAGAATTTGGTTTTTAGTTATCTGAACGCGGGTGGAGCCGCGGACAATGCTAGTTATTAACATACTTACGTCTTGGATTTTTTACTCGAAACCATTCAGGCAAGTGTAGTGGGTCCAGCTTGTAAACTTCATATTTTGCCTTTTTCGCTTCCAATATTAAAAGAACTCGGTGGCCATATGGATTCATATCGACATGGTATAGACGAAGTTTGTCTATTAGTGGCGGAGGTGAAGATGAACCTGAAAAATTAAAAAAAAAAACCTTGTAAAAATGTATGTATTCAGCCCTTTTTAACGTCCCACTGCCGGGCACGGGCCTCCCTTCAATACGAGGGGGATCAGGCCATAGTCCACCACGCTGGCCAACTGCGGGTTGGCGAACTTAACATGTCTTTCGAAAACTTGCTAGGTTCTCTCAGGCATGCAGGTTTCCTCACGATGTTTTTCCTTCACCGTAAGGCAAGTGGTAATCATGTTAGAAATGATTCGCACATGAAAATATCAGAGGTGCGAGACCCGGGATTTGAACCCGCTTCACTCGGTTTCCCTAGCGAGCGCGTTACCACTGGGCTACCACTGCCTTCAAAAATAAAACCTTAAAAAACAAAAAATACAAATCAAATGAACGAAACTCGAACGAAATTTTTATTGGAACAGCCGCTTCTCGAGCGATGTATCATATATCTACGATTAAACAGATTCACTAAAAGTCTTTAGATGTTTTAAATAAAACTATTTTTTCGGATTATTTCACGGATTTATTTTGATTTTTGGTTCCCGACGTTTTGAATGCTTTACAGCATCCATGGTCACGGGAGAGACTGAGGTGTTACATGTCTCGAAGGTATAGTTATTACAGACAGCCTATCCACAAATAACAAAATGAATTCAAAAAATTGAAAAATGGCACCAAAGTACCTTACAATATTTGTTAATTTAATTTTAAAATATTATTATTTACTTTGAGATATCTAACACCTAAAAGTAGAATCAAAATCTATAAACTTGGACTTCGAAGCTTTATTTACAATTTCTATTTAGAAATGATAAGTGAAACTAGTAAAAGTTTAAAAAATACTTTAAAATGTCTACAGATAAATAAAATTGAAGTGTCTGTTTGCAATGTTAAAATAACAGCTTTTTACTGAATGCATTTGAAATTATGAACGATACTTATAAGAATAACAAACTTTTTAACTTTTTGTCTGTCTGTCTGTTTGTTCCGGCTAATCTCCGAAACGGCTGTACTGATTTTGTCGGGACTTTCACTGGCAGATAGCTGATGTTATAAGGAGTAACTTAGGGTACTTTTAGTTTAGAAAAAGAATCAGGTTTCAGCTCAAGAAATTTAAAGTGTACCTAGGGACGCACCCGCGGTAAGTTTCTTGTCTATACATCTATACAGATAAATAAAATTAAAGTTTCAAGTGTCTGTGTGTAATGTCAAAATAACAGCTTTTTACTGAATGCATATGAAATTATATACTGTACCTACTTATAAGAAAAACACAATTTTTATTTCTTGTCTATCTGTCTGTTAGTTTGTTTCTGCTAATCTCCGAAACGGCTGGGCCGATTTTGACTGGACTTTAGATAATATTTTATAGGGATTAACTTAGGCTACTTTTAGTTTAGAAAAAGTATTAAGTTTCCGTTTGTCCCTAGGTACGTTTTAAATGCCTTTCTTTAAACCGTTCCTAGGGACGCATCCGAGCGAAGCGAGATGAGCCGCTAGTGTTAAATATAAATCGAGTAATATTTGATTGAGTAGTACATAATATGTATATATATATATATATATATATATATATATATATATATATATATATATATATTAAACGTTTAACCTGTAAGTAACTATCGATGCAGGTACAAATGTGATCGATCTCCAACCACCTTGACCTGAATGCATTGTTTGTATCTACGACGTGTCTAAAGTCTAAGCATATAACGTGCTTAGAGTTTTATATCGATCATTTTATATCGAAATAGTATATAGTAGCAAGTTTTACTCCGACAGACCTTTCTTGTATACATCTATATTCTATACATATAATAAAATTCTAACTAAGTCGAATCTTTACATTAAATATTTTTTGGGAAATCTAATTGAAATAGACATTATTATCGATACAGAGTCCGAATATATAGTTTTTAGAATTTTTGTCTGTCTGTCTGTTACCGCATCACGAGAAAACCACTGGACAGATTTTGATGAAATTTGGTATGATGATAGCTGGTTATCCGGGTCGACATATAGGATACTTTTTATCGCGGGAAAATATTTCAATTCTGAGAAAAAAATACAAAAACTGTAATGTAAGAGTATCTATACTAATATTATAAAGAGGTAAAGTTTGGGATCTTGTGAGTTTGTGAGTTTGTGGGTTTGTGAGTTTGTGACGTTGTAGGGAGTAATCTCTGGATCTACTGAACTGATTTTCAAAATTCTTTTACCAATAGAAAGCCACGTTCTTTCTGAGTGTCATAGGCTATATATTAACCCGAAGAATGAAGAGACTTTTTCGTGGTAGTCGGATTTGCAAAGTAAGTCGGAGAAAAGACGGTCGAACGAAAACGTTTCTTACGAACGCTGCCTTAACGATGAGAGATATATGATTATGTTCTAGAGAAAAGCTGTAGAGCTTAATAATGCCTACAAAAAAGTCAGCGACAGCATAAGTCTAACTTTTATATTTACGTCACAAAAAGTAGTTTTTTATATTAAAAAAATAATTTAAATCGGTAGGTCATGTTTATTGGTCATATTATCAACAATTATGAATTCTTATCAAAATAAGTAAATTTATCGTATAAAATATTTAAAACAAAAGACTTTTCCCTTTTACTGCATATAATTTGGACAAATGGTTAAAGAGATAATACAACATATTCGTAGGTATGGACGAACCCGAGCGAGCTGTTTGTCTGTTTTTCTGTTTGTACGGGCTAATCTACGAATCTATTGGACCGATTTAAATGAAATTTTGTATCGTGGTACCTTATATCCCCTGGCAACATCTTAAATACTTTTCATCCCGGAAAATTAAAGAGTTCCCGTGGGATAGTTAAAAAACTATAACAACTTATACAGCTTAGTACACAAAAACTACTGATTGGATTTTAATGAAACTTTACAATAATATATTTCATACATGACAAAAACAAATCAGCTACTTTTCATCCCGGAAAATTAAAGAGTTTCCGTGGGATAGCCAAAAAACTATAGTAACTTATACAGCTTAGTACACAACAACTTACGCACCTAATTTCGTAAAATTTGGCATGCTGATACCTTATATTGCCGGTCAAGCAACAGGTTACTTTTCATCCCGGAAAAATGAACGATTCCCGTGGGATATATTTGTTTGTGCTTTTCTAGAGGTGAACCTGAGCGAAGCGAGGGTGAGCCGCTAGTACTAATATGTAAAACCTAAGAATTTGGTTTTTGGTCATCTGAACGCGGGCGGAGCCGCGGGCAATGCTAGGTATTCTACAAATCGTACACTTTAGAAACACGATTACTTTTAGTTTCCTCGAGAGAAAGAAAATCCAAAATGATCTCTAAAAAACAAAATAAACCCTTAAGTGCGGCGTAAATAATTCAAGGAAGTTCATCAGTTTTTTAATAATAACAAAACTATACGTTTTCTATAACGTGTGTATAACACATATTCACAATGTGTATTTGTGAGGAAATATCCTCTTTATAATATAATTAGTGACTCACCCTCGCTTCTCTCTGGTTCGTCCCTAGCTTGATTCTCAATACAAACTTTCATCCCCATTTTTACCCCCTTAAAAGATGATTTCCGGGATAAAAACTATCCTATGTCCTTCCCAGGATCTCAAACTATCTTCTTACCAAATCCCATCTAAATCGGTCCAGTAGATCCAGAGATTACCCCCTACAACGTCACAAACTCACAAATTTTACCTCTTTATAATATTACGAATAATAGGTATAGATATAATAATATTTTTTATCGTTCATTCCATCAACTAAGGCTGTTGACTTTCTTTTATCAAAATTCAAATATATAATTAAATGTAAAATTTTATCTTCTTTCATAACAAAAGAAACCAAAGGTTATTGTGTGTGGGTAACAAATATTTAAAAAAAAATATGTCGTGGTAACGCGCTCGCTAGGGAAACCGAGTGAAGCGGGTTCAAATCCCGGGTCTCGCCTCTAATTTTTCATATGGGCATCATTTCTAACATGATTACCACTTGTGTAGTAAACAGCGTGAGAAAATCTGCATGTTTGAGAGAACCTAACAAGTTTTCGCTTTGGTGTAACCTAGAAAGGTTACTCCGGAACGAAACGGCTTGACTGATTTTGACGGAACTTTCACTGGCAGATAGCTAATGTTATAAGAGGTAACATAGGCTACTTTTATTTTAGAAAATAAATTATTATCCCGCTGGATAAAATGTACCTACGGACGCATCCGAGCGTAAGTCGCTAGTCTATACTAATATTATAAAGAGGTAAAGTTTGTGAGTTTGTGACGTTGTAGGGGGTAATCTCTGGAACTTCTGAACCGATTTAGTTGAAATTTAATAAGAAGATAGTTAAGGATCCTGAGCTGGGCATAGGATACTTTTTATCCCGGAAACCATCCCTTAAGGGGATGAAAATGTGGATGACAGTTTGTATGGGGAATCAAGCTAGGGACTTACACGAGCAAAGCAAGAATGAGACGCTAGTTTAAAATAAAGACGCTATATAATTAAAGCACGGACACGACTCTGTTTAATTTGATTATATCTAAAGGATATGCAAATATTAAGTTACTTTGACCGATTTTTTAAGAGAAATTGGGCAAATTTTGAATCGGCATTGCCATTTAGCGGGGAATGCGGATAGCTGTAATAGTGCTGCAACTACATACATGACTTGTACAGTAGTAATTAAGTATATATTTGTATATGTAATTAAGCATACACATTTGTAATTTCAATGTATTTTTTAATGGCACTGACTTCGAAAATAATATCTAATTAGGTATCTATTCTAAATGAAAACCCCCGTTCAGTTATATTTTACATTTTAGTGTCTGGAAGTCGGTTTTTTTAAAAAAAGTTTCTATTTAAATAAACAATTTTATTAAAAACAATAAGTTAAAAATTATTATAATCTAGAGTTTACATATTCACAATCTTCGGGTACACGTACTTAATTATCATCATTGATGAGTCATACACTAAAAATGCTCACCTATCTAACGTTAAACAAACCTAATATGTAAATTTTGTAAATCCTTACCTACCACAGAATATAAAGAAGTAGTCATTTGCATTTCTTCGTATGAAATCTATACATATAATAAAATTGTAACTAAGCCGAATCTGTATATTAAATATTTTTTGGAAAATCTATTTGAAATAGACATTATTATCGATACAGAGTCCGAATCTATAGTTTTTAGAATTTTTGTCTGTCTGTCTGTCTGTTACTGATTTTGATGAAATTTGGTATGGTGATAGCTGGTTATCCGCGTCAACTTATAGGATACTTTTTACCGCGGGAAAATGTCTCATTTCTGAGAAAAAATACAAAAACTGCAATGTAAGAGTATACTAATATGTAAAACCTAAGAATTTGGTTTTTGGTCATCTGAACGTGGGCAGAGCCGCGGGCAATGCTAGTAATGAATAAAATTATAAAATGAGGTATCTAATTTTAGAGAATACTAGCATTGCCCGCGGTTCCGCCCGCGTTCATGTATCCGAGGATTTGAAAAGGCCTCGCGTGATTTTCCAAGCGAGCGCATTTACTAGTTATTTACATATATTATGTACAGACATTCTCTATCTCGCAAGGAATATTGTGTAATATGCCACTTACACTCGTTTCGCTCGGGTGCGTCCCTACGCGACTTTCGTATTTATAACATCACTAGCGACTCGTTCTCGCTCCGCTCGGATTCGTCCCTACTTACGTTTTAACGTTTAGTATAGATTTCTCAGAGATGAGATATTTTCCCGCAGTAAAAACTATCCTGTATGTTGATTCGGATAACCAGCTATCATCATACCAAATTTCATCAAAATCTGTTCAGTGGTTTTCTCGTGATGCGGTCACAGACAGACAGACATACAGACATACAGACATACAACAATTCTAAAAACTATAGATTCGGTCTATGCATCGATAATAATGACTATTTCAATAAGATTTTCCAAAAAATATTGAATGTAAAGATTCAGCTTAGTTACAATTTTATTATATGTATAGATTTCAGGGGGGTTTTGGTGGCAGTTTATTGTAAAGTATATGAGACGTGGACTCTGGAGGAGTGGATGGTATTTTTAGATAGGGGTAGAGAGTAAGCGTAGAGTATTTTTAATATATATTAATCTATAGGTCAGGTGAAGCACATAACGACACTGCCTGTCTGATTTGTGATCAGTATCTCCTTCACCCCAATACTCTGCCGGTAACCCCACGGCCAAATCTATAGGTACATATAATAAAATTGTAACTAAGCCGAACCTGTACATTAAATATTTTTTGGAAAATCTTATTGAAATAAACATTATTATCGATACAGAGGTCGAATCTATAGTTTTTAGAATTTTTGTCTGTCTGTTACCGCATCACGGAAAAACCACTGGAGGGATTTTGATGAAATTTGGTATGATCACAGCTGGTTGTCCGGGTCAACATATAAGATACTTTTTACTGCGGAAAAATGACTCATTTCTATGAAAAATACAAAAATTGCAATGTAAGAGTGTACTAATATGTAAAACCTAAGAATTTGGTTTTTGGTCATCTTTCGGAGCCGCGGGCAATGCTAGTTTATTTATAATATGATCAATTATTATTAAGCTAGTTAAGTTATTATTATTAAGTTTCATCCACATTTCATCGCCGGCATCATTTTTAGCATGAAATTTTCAACTTTTGAAAGTGGGAAACGTACCACATGTTATCTATCATATTATTATACAAGTATTCGAGATGCGTGTAATGCATGAATAGGAACATTTATAAATAAATATGAACTATATCCGTTAATGTCGACCTATTTAATATTTAATAATAGCTAGTGCTATGCCCGCGGGTTCGCTAGCAAGATAAAGGTTCAGAGGTTTTAATGTGAAAAAGAGATGGGTTTTAATTTTTTGCCCTGCCCTGCCCTGAAACCCTAATTCTTTTTCCAAAATAAAAGTAGCCTAAATTACTCCTTGTAACATCAGCTATCTGCCAGTGAAAGTTCCGTCAAAATCGGTCGAGCCGTTTCGGAGATTAGCCGGAACAAACAACACATGCTTCAATTTTATTTATCTATATACAGTATAGATAAGAGTGTGGACTAGATTTAGATCCTAGAAAATCCGTGTAAGTACTTCGCGCAGATTCGTAATTAATGCCAATAGATGGCGCCTTTTATATTATTGGTAAAAAAACTTAAGTTTTATTAATGAAAACATTAACTCTTACACTATTTTCATTTTCACTTAATCATTAAAATTCTTAAAGTATTAAGGGAGGTACGACATACAGACAGAAACTCCTTTCATTAATAATATATACGCACATTATTATAATTTTAATAATAAAATTAAAATTTAATAATAAAATGAAAACTAAACTTTAAAAAAAAAATAGTTTTTATTTTTCCATTTTTAGTGTAGACCTAATAAGCAGGTAATTTGTAAGAAGAAAGTTTTTAATAACATATTCGATTAAACAATTTATTTAAAAAATAATAATTATTATAAATTAAAAATTTTAAAAAAGCCCTACGCAAATTAATTGTCATTTAACGATTACACTGGCACGCGTGAAGCACTTAATCAAGTAATCATACGCCAAAATGCCTTACATCATTTTGGAAAAGAGCTGATTCTCTTACACTGCTGGACGGATATTAACCAAACATAGCTAAGAACCACCGCAAGGAAACTGGCTTTCAAATAAAAAAACCGCATCGAAATCGGTCCAACCGTTTGAGCTCTCTCGTCTCGTCGAGCGTTCTCTTCTCGCCAGTTCTTCTAAGGTCTGAGGCTTCTTCTTTCCGAACTGGTAGTAGACTCATAACGTTCAGTAAAAAATTGTAATAATTTAATGCTGAATAAAATATTTTGATTTGATTTGAGAGCTACGATGCCACAGATAGACACACACGCACAGACAGACATCGACGTCAAACTTATGACACCCATCTTTTGTGTAGGATATAGTGAGAGCGAGAACAAACTACGAACAAACCACTAGTATAGCTATAGGTAGCTACTGTAAAACTGCATGAAACTTTAGTCGTCGAATTAATTATTCTTTATATTCAAGGTCATGGCTACTATGGAAACAATGTATAATAAATCGAAAATCTTTTATGATTAATTAATTAAATTAAGTATATTATAATTGATGTAAAAAAGATAAAAGATAATTAAGTATTTAGATATGTATTATAGGTACATTGTTAAGTTACTGGTCACATGGCGCGAGTTATTTGGGTTATTTAGATTTTAGACATTACTTAAACACAACGAAACATTTAATTATGTTTTTAAAATTAGTTGAATATTATTAATTGAAAATATGATGAATTATATTTTATGAAATTATAAATGCAATATGCATTTTCAATGCAAAAACGAAACGTTGCACCGTAATCCTGATTACTGATGACATCACCTTAAACAGCTGTTTTATATTTACACGTCTTCTTCTGTATGTTAAAATAATGAAATTAAAAATAAAATAATTTATTAAATAAAAAACCAGAATAATCGTTATAATTTAAACCTTTTTTAAAAAAAATAATGCTCGCAATAAAAATCGTATAAATCATTAAAAAAACCTTATTGGTAGTGTAAATAATAATAGAATAACCAAATTAATTTTTAAATTGAAAATATAACAAAATTTGCCAAAACTATAATACGTGTTCAGTATAAATGTTAAAATTTAGTGCTTTATAAATAAAAAAACAATACTTATATGATACATACCGGCTGATCTACGTGAGTAATACGCCATTGCACTTTTGTGTTTAAATTTCACTTTAAATTAAATATTTCTTTCACAGAGTTACTGCTGCTGAGATATTCAATGTTGAAATACCGACGTCACATTTAAAATAAGCATCTATGACATCATTCCACCATTCGACCCGTTTATCAAAAACCCTATCATATTGTGAAAATGTAAACACACGAACAAAAATAGTATCTTCGAAGCGTATTTAACTTGGTCGTATTATAATAATTAATAACGTGAGGACGTTTTTTTTATTGATTTACCCGAAATTTTGTTAATATGTTGATAATTTTGCTGTTTATTTGAATTTTAGTTTTGAAGCTATTGTAATAATTGTTATATTTAACTTTCTTGTTAAGTTCAATTGTTAAATTATATGTTCAGTCACATTATATATTGGATATTATTATATATAAATTCATTATTATGTAAATATGTATATTTATTCACTTATTAGAATGATTAGTTTTATGTATTGTAATGTAAATTTCTTATTTATATGACCCAGGTGTTATAATGTTGCCACATCATGGTATTTATCCGACTGCGCCCCGCAAGGAGGGTAATGTGTTTATCAGTTTATATGTGTATGTTTGTTTCTATATGTATTTTTATGATTCAAACGTCGTTAGATTCGTCATGATAACGCGAGTGTCATACGCTATATAAAAATAGTTAAAAATTAAAAATAGCCGATTTTAGGTGCCAATTTGTGCCTTTGAAAATATCTTTTAAACTAATCGAATGGGGTATCAATATAAAGGGTTTTAAGAGGTGATCACAACAATATATACAACTTATATGTTTAAAAGTAATTTTAGATAAAAAATTGCTAATTATTACTTCAAATGTCTAATTAGCTAAAACTAAAAAGCTGTCAATAAAAAATGAAAATATATTGCTAAAATATAATAGCTAACTTAAAAGGTGAAAAAAAAAAGTTGACTAAGTATTATAATATTATGCAGTCGGAGCAGTCGCAAACGGAGGTATTTAAAAAACGAACGTATATTGTTTTAACAATTTTTACTTACTAAAACTATTTCCTCTTCCGTGTTTATTCAATTCTCTAGTATTGCAATCAGTTTTCAAATATGATAATTTGAATATAATTTTTTAACATCTCTCTGTTTTTTTTTATTCATGAGATTTGCTTAAACAAACCCAATTTTGAATTACTATGATTGATGATTACTAATGACAAATTTAAAAGCGACACGTAGGCTAGAGCTAGTTCACATAAAACAAAATAGCGCCTGGCAACACTAATTAGTAATTAGTCTGTCATTTTGACAGCTTACAAATATCGAATTTTTTTCAGAGTCCATGTAAACAATTTAATTTTATCAATAATTAATACACATTTATGTGTACAATATAAATCATAATTCATTAATATTGTGTTCTAAAAGAATATCGTGGAAGAAATGCTAAATTTATAAAATGTACTTAATTATAATGTTATGAATTGTTAAAAAGTGGTCTAACTAGTTATGTGCAAACAAGCCAATAATAAGATTGGATAAGTTCTTCTACATGTAGTTAAGCCTTTAGGTATAGTATTATATTCTTATGTCAAAAGCGTCTTTTATTTAGTTATGTAAATCTAAAATTAATTCTGTGTTCAAAAATCTAAAGTCCATTAGTAAAATTTCTAAAATGGTTGTATTAATATATTAATTTAACCTATTTCCAATTAAATATTTATTATTTTTTATTAATAAAAAAATTAAAACAAATTAAGTAGTTTAGTTTCAATTATCAAGCATATTTCTTTCTTGGTTGACTAATTACTAAAGTACATAATATATTTTTCAGTAGGAATAATATGGAAGATCTAGCTATGCAACCAGTTGAAGAAATAGTGATAAAATGTGAAGTTATAGAAATATCTGATGAAGAAGAAGGAGAACCAGTAAAGTTTGTACAATTTCTCATACAAATATTATAAATAAAACAATATTTCATACATTTATAATTCTCAAGATATTATTGAATCAAAAGCATCCACTTAAACATTTTTTTTTGGCACAGATATATCCTGAATTAAGTTGATAAGAATAGAAATATTAACTGTTATCTTCTACTACATTCAGACAAAATCGGCTAGAAGATATTGACCCATGGTCTTCCAAATTATTTTAATGTTTAAAGGTTTAATTTTTCTATTATATTTGCCTTTAAATCATCATCAACGTGTTTTTACTTCTTTAGTCACAACCATTTTATAATAATGAGTACATATTTTTACAGAAAGCGCCGTAAACGTCTAACACCAAAGGAACCACAGCCCTGCGATATTTGTGGCAAAACCTTTCAAACTGGTTATGAGTTGAAGAAACATAAACGAACGCACACTGGTGAAAGGCCATATATGTGTACTACATGCGGAAAAACATACACACAGCTTGGCCATTTAAGTATACATAGTTTATCACATAAAGGTAACTTTTGTTTATTTATTTACTTACTACTAGCGACTTTCACTTTTAATTTTTTGAGCGGAATCTTTATTCATTTTCTAAAATAAAAGTAGCTTAAGTTATTCCTTATAACATCACAACAGCTATCTGCCAGTGAAAGTTCCGTCAAAATCAGTCCAGCCGTTTTAGAGATTAGCCATAACAAACAGACAGACAGTCAGACTGACAGACACACAGACAGACAAAAATTTTAAAAATTGTGTCTTTCTTATAAGTACTGTATACATATATATAATTCCATGTGCAATCAGTAAAAAGCTGTTTTTATGACATCACTAATAGACACTGTAATTTTATTAATCTGAAATAGATTAGATTTTTTTATCATTTCAACTTAGTATACTTTTAAACATATTAAAATAGTTGGAAGTTGGTCTTATTTTGTTATGTGTTAGTATGTATGTATTCAACCCGTTTCCGTGTCCCCAATGCGAGGGGACTAGGCCATAGTCCACCACGCTGGCCAAGTGTGGATTTTGCGTGTATTCCGACAACAGACATGCAGGTTTCCTCACGATGTTTTTCTTCACCCTAAGGCAAATGGTAATCTTGTTGGAAATGATTCGCACATGAGATTATCAGAGGGTCGAGACCCGGGATTTGAACCCGCTACACTTGAAAAACATTTGTGATAATTAATATAATATATATTTTTAAAAAGGGCTAAAAATATAAATCGATCCAACTGTTCTCCATGATGCACTTACCAGCATACAGTAGTTCATTTTTGTTTATATATTTATATCTATAGTCCGCCAACCCGCACTTGTCCAGCGTGGTTGCCTATGGCCTGATCCCCCTCGTACTGAAGGGAGGCCCACCCCCAGCTGTGGGACTGTAATAAAAGGGCTGAATACATACATTTATATCTGACTGACTATTGACGACATGTTTGACTCAGTTTGTAGTTTACCTACTTGCTGTGCCAGCGGTCGCGGGTTCGAGTCCCGCTGAGGGCATTCATTTGTGTGATGAGCACAAATGCTTGTACTCTAGTCAAGGGTGTTTATATTTATAATATGTATGTATTTAAAGTTATATATATGTAGTGTATCAACTATCTAGTATCTATAACATAAGCCTCGTAGCTTACCATAGAACTAGATGGCGCTGTGTCTTAATGTCCCAACATATTTATATCTATAATTTTTTCAGGTATAAAGAATTTCAATTGCACAGAATGTGGATCGTCGTTTTATAGAAAAGCTGATTTAGATCGCCATGAGAAAATACACACTGGGGAAAAACCGTATCAATGCGAGATATGTTCGAAGAGTTTCACCCAAAAAAATAATTTAGTCATGCATTTTAAAATGCATATAGGGGATAAACCTCACGAGTGCGAAGTTTGCGGCAAGAGATTTTTAACTAGAAGCAAAATGGTTCTACATTCAAAGAAACACGAGAAAGAGAAGAAGAAAAAAGAGATATTGGGACATATTTAGGTGTTTGGTTGTAAATAAATGTTTTTTTTGGCTTGGTTTTTTTTATTGTACACTAGCGTTTTTCGTTAGTTTATTTACGTATATATATATATATATATATATATATATATATATATATATATATATATATATAAATATATATATCTTTATAAATTATGTGTTAACTTGATTTATAAGTTACCAGTGTAAAAAGTATTGTTGATCGAAGAGTTCGTCCCTAGCTTTCTTCCCAATACAAACTTTCATCCCTATTTTCACCCCCTTAAGGGAAGATTTCCGGGATAAACAGTATTCTATGTCCTTTCCAGAGTCTCAAACTATCTTCTTACCAAATTTCATCTAAATCGGTTTAGTAGATCCAGAGATTACCCCATACAACGTCACAAACTCACAAACTTACCTCTTTATAATATTAGTATAGACTAGCGGCTCACCCTCGCTTCAATCGCGCTAAAACTACAAAAAATTCTCTACTAAGGTAGCTTGATACAAACTTTCACCCTCTATAATATTTTACCCCTTTATAGGATGAATGTAAAAATAACGCTAAGACACATATTTATTTAATTTATTGAAGAGTATATATACCAAGTTTAAAGTAATTCTGATAATATTTTTTTTGGATTGTATTATAACGTGTTTTCCCGTGGGAATGATATAATCTCCCGCGATAAAAAGTAGCCTATGTCACTCTTCAACCCTCCAAGTAACTTCACACAAAAAATAACGCCAATCCGGTACTCCGTCTCGACGTGAAAGAAGGACAAACAAACACACTTTTACATTTATAATATTAGTATGGATTGTTCATACAAAAATATTACGAGTATAATCGCGATTAAAAATTTTCGATTTTCGACCAATAGGCGGACACTCGTTTTTATTAAAAAAAGTCAGTATTTATGATACTAATATTTATTTATTTATTTTGATAAACTTTCCACTCATTCGGCCACACGATTTGAGCGATCCAATCAAGGTATATAGACACATTAGTATACACGCCTGCGGCCTTTCCGCATCTAGGTCCATACGATACTACTCCTTCAATAATATATGAACAATTCAAATTGGAAAATAACGCCATCAAAGGTCCTCCACTGTCGCCCTGAAAAAATACAAAAAATATCTTGGGTTTTAGTAAAAAGTCGAGAACCAAAAATCAAAATAAATTTGCCGGATTACAGACACAATTTCATAAGTTTTTTTTTGCTAGCAATCTTAATTTTTCTTTCAAAACAAAAGTAACCTAAGTTAGGTACTTCGTATAATATCAGCTATCTGCCAGTGAAAGTCCTGTCAAAATCAGTACAGTCATTTCGGAGATTAGCCGGAACAAATCGACAGACAGACAAAAATAAAAAAATGTGTTTTTCCTATAAGTACCGTATATAATTTCATATGCATTTATCAAAAAGTTGTTATTTTGGCATTACAAACAGACAGTTAAATTTTATTTATTTGCGACTTACCCTCCCTTTGCTCGAGTTTGTCCTTAGGTATGTTTTAATTTTTTTGAGCGGAACCCAAATTCTTTTTTAAAAATAAAATAGTCTAATATGTTACTCCCTATAACATTAGCTATCTTCCAGTGAAAGTCCCGTCATAATCAGTCTAGTCATTTCGTAGATTAGCCGGAACAAACCGACAGACAGATAAAAATAAAGAATTTTATTTATCTGTATAGATTTTTTACCTTGCAAGCATCACTAGTGAAACTACCAACATTGCCTTTAGCACATATCATGGTGTCGGGGAAGAATGCACTCCGTTCAAATTTTTTCTCGCAATAGCTTTGATCTTCAATCACTGTTGTCTAAAACAGAAATGTATCATACTGTTATTTTCACGTGACTTTGTTAGCGCAGTTTCCTTATGTCTAAACATATATAGTAATTGATAAAGATCAAAATTGTAGGAAATTTGTTTATAAACAACTTTATTTATTACAATTTTTCGCGTAAAATTGCAAATAAACGAGTTATTCAATACACAAAAATCAACCTTAAATTCAAGATGGCGGATGACGCAACGGGTCTGGTACCCCGAAAATCTAAATTTAGACTTCCAATGACAACCCCCAAACCCCCAACCTTAAAAAAATTTCTGTTTGCCCCTTTTTTGAGCTAATTCGACATTTGTGTGAAAGATATTGAAGACTAACGTCTTGAAAATGAGTAAAATATTGCATTATTGCAATTTTAAAAAATGTTGAAAAAAAAATAACAAGTTTCTTTTTTCTATTACAGTGACAGTTGAATAGAAAATAAATATATTTATCAAATTATTCTTGAATGCTTTCAAGGTTCACGCGGGAAATTTTTTTGTCATTTAAACTAAAAATTTAAATTAATTGTTTATTTTAAAAATCAGTGAGCCACCTCAAAATGTTGCATAAATATTTATTTTTCAAAAAAAGATTTTTTTTTTTCTATACAAATTCTGCCCCCAAGCTAAGAAATTTTTTTTTCTCATCGCTCCACCCCAGCTACCATTTCCATTATAACAGTTATTATAAATCAATTTATCAATCTTACTGTGAGAAGTACATCAGAGGTTTTCCCTCTATCATCAATTTCTCCCCATCCAGCGATGATCCTCAGCACCTGCACCTCGCGGCCCGCCACCGGCAGGCACGCCGGACGGATGAACTCGTTGAACTTCACTCTACATTACATAGTAATAATATACACAGTACCAGCGGTAATAAATATGCGGTATAAGCAGTAAATAAAAAACAAACCTATCCCACGGGAACCGTATATTTTTCCGGGATAAAAAGTAGCCTATGTGTTATTCCAGACTATAATCTATCTCTGTGCTAAATTTCATCCAGATCCGTTCAGCCGTTCTGAATCAGAAAGAAAGATAGAGTAACAAACATCCATACTCACAAACTTTCACATTTTTATTATTTATACAGATTAAATAATAAATATGGATAATACTAGCTTACCGTAGCATCACTCGAGTACGCCTCTAGGTGTGTTTTGCTTTCATTTTATCCCCCCACACTCACTTCCCTCAATCGTCATTATAAAAAGTAGTTCTTGAGATTAGCGCGTTCATTCAAACAAACAAACGAACCAACAAACTTTGTCTCTTTATAATATTAGTATAGACTAGAATATATAAATCATATATTATTATGTCTCTAGAAAAAAAAAACATTAAACATAGAACTTTCAATCTTTCATTTCACACCCGTTAAGTTTTATTTTCGTGACATAAAATAGCGTTATATGTCCTTCTTCAAGGTTCCATCTATTTCTAAAGCAAAATTCACCAAAAATAGTTCAGCGTTAAACAGTCGGTGTTAAAACCTAACAGACAGGCAGAATTACTTTCACATATATCTATACTAATATTATAAAGAAGTAAAGTTTGTAAGTTTGTGACGTTGTAGGGGGTAATCTCTGGATATACTGAACCGATTTAGATGAAATTTGGCAAGAAGATAGTTTGAGACCCTGGGAAAGACATAGGTTCTTTTTATCCCAGTAATCATCGTATAATATAAATAGATTGGATTATATGTAGGTAGTTAAAAAATGACATAATTTTTTTACAGCTTTTTGCTATTCGTTAACGAACTTACCATAAACATACAACAAACTTTCTTTGTATTTGTGTACAGGTTTGCGAATCAGCTCCATCTATCGTCTATTTGAGCAAAAATAATCTGAAGAATGGTCCAAATTAGTAATGTCCATTTTCTCTATATGGTGTGGGGAGTCTGTCACATAGTGTTGTGTCATTTGTATTGCCGTTATAATTATAAATTAGAAATTTAAAACCCTCCACAAATTAATTGACATTTAACGATTACACTGGCACGCGTGAAGCACTTAATCAAGTAATCATACGCCAAAATGCCTTACATCATTTTGGAAAAGAGCTGATTCTCTTACACTGCTGGACGGATATTAACCAAACATAGCTAAGAACCACCGCAAGGAAACTGGCTTTCAAATGAAAAAACCGCATCGAAATCGGTCCATCGGTTTGAGAGCTACGATGTCACAGACAGACACACACACAGACAGACATCGACGTCAAACTTATAACACCCTCTTTTTGCGTCGGGGGTTAAAAAAGAAGGCCGCAACTTCTTCAAAATTGATTTTGAGAAAATGGAAGTTTTATCTTAGTATTTAGTAGTAATTTTGACGTAGTTACGATGAAAATGGTTATGGAATCTCCAAATTCATAAGACTTAGGTCATCGTGTTTCGGAAGTTCCGAGATCGTTTGCCCGCTGACACGGCTAACACGTCTGCGCTACGTGTTAAACAGTTATCTATACATATAATAAAATTGTAACTAAGTCAAATCTGTACATTACATATTTTTTGGAAAATCTAATTGAAATAGACATTATTATCAATACAGAGTCCGGATCTATAGTTTTTGAATTTTTGTCTGTCTGTCTGTCTGTCTGTTACCGCATCATGAGAAAACCACTGGAAAGATTTAGGTGACATTTGGTATGATGATAGCTGATTATCCGGGTCAACATATAAGATACTTTTTACCGCGGGAAAATATCTCATTTCTGAGAAAAATACAAAAACTGCACTGTAAGAGTATACTAATATGTAAAACCTAAGAATTTGGTTTTTGGTCATCTGAACGAGGGTGGAGCCGCGGGTAATGCTAGTTAATTATATATGTTAGTTTTAAGGATATACTATGGGCCTCTGTTTACATATTTAAGATCTTCTTGTAAATATTGCCTGAAATAAATGATAAATTAAAAAAAATAATAATAATATGAGTAACACTATCAAGTAGCATTTTTTTTGCTAATTCCACATCTAAATTTAGGTCATTTTGACCAAATTATTGTTGGTACCTTCTTTATTATGACGGCTCACCTTTCATTTAACTCCACCAATGCTATGTCATGTTTCTTCTCTCCCTTCACATACGCTTTATACGGTATAGTTCTTACAACATTGCAAAGTAGTCCAGATCTAATATCTGTCTTATTTAGAGTTCCCAATAACGCGTAACGCGTTAGACCACTGGAAAAATTAAATAATCTATACTATAATAAAACATAACAATAAAACATAAAACAGTAGAGGTCGGATGTCTGTACATAACAAAAAAACGCTAAAAACCAAGTCAGGTGGATGTAAGAAGATAAATAGAACAAATCCAGATTTTTTGTCAATTTTTTTGTTTCTCTGTCTGTTTGTAGTGACTTGCTGTGCCAGCGGTCGCGGGTTCGAGTCCCGCTGGGGGCGTTCATTTGTGTGTTGAGCACGAATGTTTGTACTCCAGTCATGGGTGTTTATATTTATAATATTTATGAATTTAAAACTTATATAATGTATCAACTATCTGGTATCCATAACACAAGCCTCGTAGCTTACCATGGAACTAGATAGTGCTGTGTTTTAATGTCCCAATTTATTTATTTATTATTATTATATTATTTATTTAAATCATAGTCTATTTGTTTGCAAAATTTTATCAAAATCCATCCAGCAGTTTTAACGTACCTAAAGAAGTAATAAACATACAGACAAACTTTGTGATTAATATTGTCAACTTACTAACGATTATCCACTAAAACATGTGCAGCAGTGAGTATAAACTTTTCACTTATAAGAGATCCTCCACCTGTCCATATAATATCGGCCTCCTCAGTGGAGACGGTGTTGTGGCAACCTAATACTGCCTGGAAAATGGAATGACTTATGATCTATATCTATACAAATAAATAAAAAATCCGGGCAAGTGCGAGTCGGACTCACCCACCGAGGGTTCCGTACAAATTTGTAGGAAATCTGGTTAACTTTAATTTTCAACTTTTCTTATCAACCGACTTCAAAAAGGAGGAGGTTCTCAATTCGACTGTATGTTTTTTTTTATGTTTGTTACCTCAGAACTCCGTCATTTATTAACCGATTTGGACAATTTTTGTTTTGTTTGAAAGGGTATACTTCCAGATTGGTCCCATTTAAATTTCAAAAAAAAATACCACCCCTAAGGGTGGAAAAACTAGTAATGATGAATTTAACCTACTTCTAATTGTCATATTGACTTGAAACTTTGCAAGTATTTCTATTTCCGTTGATAGTACAGTGGTTCGGTGTTGTTGACCTGATCTGATGGCAAGGCCAGAAGGTGGATAGGTGGAACTCTTCAACGGCTAATAGTAGATACTTTGAGTTTGGGCTTATTTTGTTTGATTTGACATGCCTAACACGTTAGAATCCTTACTATGCTACTACTGTCTACACTAAAAAGGGAAAAATAAAAACTTTTTAACAAAAAAATAAAAACCGACTTCAAACAAAAGCACTAAAAAGTAAAAAATAACTGATTGGTAGTTTTCATTTACTATACATACCTAATCAAATATTTTCGAAGTCGGTGTGCTTTGGCTAAGTAATTAAAGCCTACCTATTAAATACATACCTTATCAAATACTTTCGAAATCGGTGCCAGCCCATACAAAGCAAAGCACACCGACTTCGAAAATATTTGATTAGGTATGTATAGTAAATGAAAACTACCAATCAGTTATTTTTTACTTTTTAGTGCTTTTGTTTGAAGTCGGTTTTTATTTTTTTGTTAAAAAGTTTTTATTTTTCGGTTTTTTTTAATGGTATTCAGTGGCAAACAAGCAGACAGCCCACCTGATGGAAAGCAGTACCTGTCGCCCATAACACCTACGGTTCATGCACCGGTGTTTTATGTTACAGAAATGCAGAACCGCAGGTGCGCTGTCACTGTGAGGACTAAGATGATATGCCTCTTGCCTGTAACTGCGCTGGCTACCTTATCCTTCAAACCGGAACACAACAATGTAATCATTGTTGCTTGGTGGGAGAAATAGATAAGGGGGTGGTACCCATCCAGTAGGACTCCTCACGCTTGACAGAGTCCTACCACCGGTATTTTTTCTTTATTTGTGTTTTAAACCCTTGCTTTTTGGTAAATTTTGTGATTTTAGGTCACGAGAACTACCATATAGGCTTTCGACCTCAAACCTATAGGGTACTTCCGGTTCGTAGGTGTTATATTGTATGTTGAAAATTTCGCACATAAAAATATCAAAGGTGCGAGATCCGGTATTTGAACTCGCTTCACTCGGTTTCCCAAGCGAACGCGTTACCACTGGGCTACCACTGCGTAATGAATAAAAAAATACATATTTTACGATATACCTATTGATAAATTTTGTTTTACTTATGCTTATCTATACATATAATAAAATTCGAACTGAGCCAAATCTGTACATTAAATATTTTTTGGAAAATCTTATTGAAATAAACATTATTGTCGATGCAGAGGACGAATCTATAGTTTTTAGAATTTTTGTCTGTCTGTCTGTTACCGCATCACAGAAAACCACTGAAGGGATTTTGATAAAATTTGGTATGGTCATAGCTGATTATCCGGGTCAACATATAGGATACTTTTGACAGCGGGAAAATATCTCATTTCTGAGATAAAATACAAAAACTGTTATACAAATCTATCTTTGTCCACGTCGTTTTCTATGTATTTTTCTTTTATTACTTGTTAGTGCGATAAAGAATATATATAAAAAAACGAGCTGGTGTCAAAGTAGGATATCAAAACACGATGTTTTATAACAGTCGGACAGATTTTACCATATGAGGGAATTCCTTGGGCGATGCAGGGTTACCTCCTGATATCCTCGTTTGAGACATTGGACACGTATTGAATCTTCTATAGTTTTGTTCGCCAACTTCTATGCATACGTTGAAATATCGCTGATATTCGAGGCATTCTGCAAAATTTATATATAATTTTTTAAACTTTATCTATTATACATATAATAAAACTGTAACTAAGCCGAATCTGTACATTAAATATTTTTTGGAAAATCTTATTGAAATAGACTTTGTTGTCGATACGAAGGTCGAATCTGTATTGTTTAGAATTTTGGTCTGTCTGTCTGTTACCGCATCACGGAGGAACCACTGAAGGGATTTTGATGAAATTTGATATGATGATAGCTGGTTAGCTAGGTCAAGATATAGGATACTTTTTACCGCGAGCAAATATCTCCTTTCTGAGAAAAAATACAAAAACTGCAATGTAAGAGTACACTAATATATAAAACCAAAGAATTTGGTTTTTGGTCATCTAACGCGTAACGCGAGCGAAGCCGCGGGCAATGCTAGTTTAAAAGAAATTCCTCACTGCGTTAAAATCAACTAAAAAAAATAATAAAAAAAATTACTTGTAGAAATATATTATATATATTATATACATAGTATTGTCGGCACTTAAAATTGGTTAAGCCGTTTAGTAATTACGAGGGAACATAAGGTCGATGTATATCCATACAGATCAAACACATAACCCTCCTTTGGCCTTTGCAGCAGTCGGGTAAAAATAATTATCACCCGATTTATGTGTTTGACCTGTAAGTATAATACTCGTATAAGTACGTATGTTTGTATGTACAACCATATATTCCCTTATAATTACTAAACGGCTTAACTGATTTTGATGATTCATACGTCATTCGATTCGTCTTGATAACGCTCGTATCATAGGGTAAAAAATATAGATTAAAAATCAGAATGGCGGATCCTAAGCACTAATTTGTCTTGAAATGTTTTTTTTTTTCATAAAGGTTTAAAAACACAGGTTTTTCAAAGGCAATTACAAAAATATAATCAACTTATATATTCAAAAGTAATTTAGGAGAAGAAATTGTTAGTTTTTTACGTAGTCGGTATTTTTACTTTTGTAATAATTTTTTTTTACATTTATCTACATGAAAAAAAAAATTGCTTACTTGTCCAAGCGAAGTGCAATGGAGCTTTTAGCTTGGGTGCTGGTAAAGTGGGGCATCTTCTAGGTTCAGGAACAACAGCTAGGTCTGGAACGTTGTGGCAACACAAGAACGGCTGTTTGCCATCGTAGCGGCAAGTCTGGAACGGGGAGTCAAATATAATCGACGACACGCTTGGCTCAGTTTGTAGCTGCTTTCTGTGCCAGCGGTCGCGGGTTCGAGTCCCGCTGGGGGCATTCATTTGTGTGATGACGAATGTTTGTACTCCAGTCACGGGTGTTTACATTTATAATATGTATGTATTTAAAGTTATATATGTGTAGTGTATCAACTATCTGGTATCCATAACACAAGCCTCGTAGCTTACCATGGAACTAGATTGCGCTGTGTGTTAATGCCCCAACGTATTTTTTTTTATTTATAATCATTTTAATCATCTACAGTCAGTCACTGTTACTGTGTCAAGCGCTTTGGTTATACCTAATTGTGATTTTTAAATATATTACACTAGTTTTTGCCTGTGGTTTCGCTCGCGGTGTAAGTGAGGCGGCAATCAAAGGTAGCCTATATGTCCGTCTCCAGAATAGAATTGAAGCCATTGCAGAATTTTATCTAAATCTGTTCAGTAGTTTAAGTTAAAGACTATAGATATGAGACAGAGGTTCTTCCACATTTATAATATTAAGTACAAACAACTCACGTCGTCTTCGTCCCTTAGTACGCTTTCAACCGACTTCAAAAAGGAGGAGGTTCTCAATTCGACGGTTTTTTTTATGTTTGTTACCACATAACTTCGTCATTTATTAACCGATTTGGATAATTTTTGTTTTGTTTGAAAGGGTATACTTCCAGATTGGTCCCATTTAAATTTCAAAAAAAATATACTACCCTTAAGGGTGGAAAAATAGCTAATGATGAATTTAACCTACTTCTAATTGTCATATTGACTTGAAACTTTGCAAGTGTTTCTATTTCCGTTGATAGTACAGTGGTTCGGTATTGTTGACCTGATCTGATGGTAAGGCCAGAAGGTGGATAGGTGGAACTCTTCAACGACTAATAGTAGATACTTTGAGTTTGGGCTTATTTTGTTAGATTTGACAAGCCTAACACTTTAGAATTCTTACTTTGCTACTACTGTCTACACTAAAAAAGTAGATTAAAAAAGCACTAAAAAGTAAAAAATAACTGATTGGTAGTTTTCATTTACTATACATACCTAATCAAATATTTTCGAAGTCGGTGTGCTTTGGCTAAGTAATTAAAGCCTACCTATTAAATACATACATTTTTTTTTACGTTAGGAAATGCATTTACGCACGAGATGTGGGACTCACCGGCGTAATAAAGCCAGTACTACCCACTAAAACCCAACAAAACCTTCCCCCGTCTCAATGGGGCGTCGCAGGATCGCTTACGCATTCAACTACGACGCCCCGACGGCAGGTCTGCCGAAGCAGACCACCACAACCATGGGGTTGCTCCAAGGTCCACTCTGCTATCAGAGAAGTACCAGGAGCAACCCACATGGTACACCGCCCTCCGAAGAGGGCCGCCACCCACCGCCCACCGAAGTGGGCCACCTCTCTGTGCGTTTCTTGGCTTCGCGCCCGGTTGGGTTGCCGGGCACTACTGAGCCCCCCCACCACGACAAGGTGAACGCACGTTGGGGGGGATTAAATACATACCTAATCAAATATTTTCGAAGTCGGTGCCAGCCGCTACAAAGTAAAGCACACCGACTTCGAAAATATTTGATGGCATAATTTCATTTAAATTTAAAGTTATTAAAATTATTTGAAAAATTACTTGTCAACGTTATTTTGGGCCACCCTGTACATATATCTGTCTTGACATAAGTTAAAACCGAAGTGGTCATACAATCTTGTTCGATCAAGGTCGCAATAACTGGTTTTTTGTAAATGACGAGATAAATATTAAATTTATTATTGTGATTAAGGCACTTAAACCTCGGTCACATACAGCGAACTCGCTGCCAAGTACAAGTAGGTAAGCGGCTTGCAGCGAGAACTCGCTTTGTGTGGCTATTCGCTGCGAATATATTTATTCAGTGCGAGTTGAGTTTTCCACTTTTTGAATGGGGAATATGCGTGTAATTTAAATAAAGGTAAAATATTTTTTTTTGTAATCTTTATTGCTTCTGAATTGAGTCTATATTAATATTTTTAATATAATTTCTTTTTGATTAAGAAAATAATTATTAAAACGTGCAAATATATGTGGGAAATTCAAAGTAGTTGAAACGCACGCCATTGGTCAGACCGAATATAACGTCAGAGTATATCATAACAGAGCGTCATTTTTCCGTACCTATCATACTGTGACGTCACGCAATCGCGCGAAATCGCGGGCGCTTAAAGTATCTATATCGATATGATATTTAAAAAGAATCATACTAAATATTAGTTTTTTGGAGCTAGATATTTTTTACAACTATATAACGATGTAAGCTATTGTATAAAGAAATAAAAAAATAACGCATATTCTGCCATTATCGCCGCGAGAATTCGCTCTGTGTGACCGAGGGCTTTATACCAGCCATACTCAACCTTTTCTTTATAGGAGCCACAAACACGTTTCAGTCATGGTGTCGACGGCCGCAAGCAAAAATTATTTATGTCTTAATGAAAACTTAACTCCAAGTTAACGATGTAGTTACTTTTTTAACAAAGATATGTTATAATGCGATTTTTGATGCTGCCGCATGCGGCCCGCGGGCCGCAGGTTGAGTATAGCTGCTTTATACGATACGTACAAAAGTGTCTTAAGATTGAACCTGTGTATACTCGTAAACAACAAATCGGCTTTTGCCGAGTTTAAATCCAAATAAGATATTTAGCGCATTTTTAGGGCTCCGAGCCAAAAGACAAAAATTGAACCCTAACCTTAGGATTACTTAGAATTGCCCTATCTTAAGGGTACCTAACTTGAGCTAACTGCTGGGTTAAATTTTATTCGAGTAATTTGCCGGGTTGAATAGCTTCTAAAGTCGGAACCATTCTAAATAAATACGTTGGGACATTAACACACAGCACCATCTAGTTTCATGGTAAGCTACGAAGCTTGTGTTATGGATACCAGATAGTTGATACTCTACACATATATAATTTTAAATACATACATATTATAAATATAAACACCAAACACATGACTGGAGTACAAACCTTCGTAATCACACAAATGAATGCCCCCAGCGGGACTCGATCCCGCAACCGTTAGCACAGAAAGTAGGGTCACTACAAACTGAGCAAAACGTGTCGTCTAATTCTCGTCGTCCCTTTCTTACAAAATTTCGCGCGTTTGAGCAAAGCAACGGCACGTCTCAAATATTATAAACTTTCCATTGCTACTAGACTACCGAAAGAACTGTCTCGGTGGTCTAGTGGCTAGAATGTACGTTCGAAGATCCGAGGCCCTGGGTTCGAACCCGGGTCACTAGTACACTATAATATCTCCTGCGCAGATGGCTAGTCTCAATGAGATTGGCCGGAAACGGCCAGGAGGACATTCTTATGAAGCTTACCATATTCTCAGACCTTAAAACTCCTTCATTGGATCCCTCAAAGTATTTCTCGAAAACGCCCGTCCGGTAAAGTAGGTTTTGAGTGGGACAGCATACTATACGTAGAGTTTCTTTCCAAAAGCACATCTGAAGTAAAAAAAATATAATATTAGTTTTTCTCGCGACTCCGATCGCGTAGTCTATTTATATATAATTTTTTTGATCCTACAAGTCGCAGCTTGTTGTTAGCTTCCTCAAGAATTGTGCTATCAAATGCAAAAAATATTTTTAAATTCGACCGGTAGTTCCAGAAATTACCGCGTTAAACAAAAACACAAACAAACATCTTCAGCTTTATCTTCTTAATCTATACATATAATAAAATTCTATGTTGAATCTGTACATTAGATATTTTTTGGAAAATCTTATTGAAATAAGCATTATTATCGATACAGAGGCCGAATCTATAGCTTTTAGAATTTTTGTCTGTCTGTCTGTTACCGCATCACAGAAAAACCACTGGAGTGATTTTGATGAAATTTGGTATGGTGATAGCTGGTATGTGAATATTTTTTTTTGTTAAGGGTGTGTCAGGTGTGGTGTTAAAAGTTAAAGTTTAAATATAAATGTTAAAGTGTGTTTGTTTGTTTGTCCTTCTTTCACGTCGAGACAGAATGACTGGTTGGCGTGATTTTTTGTGTGAATTTTTTGTGGTGTTGGAGAGTGACATGGGCTACTTTTTACCGCGGGGGATCATCTCATAAATCGTAAAATAGGTATGTAACCTATCTTTTTAGAGTATTTTTTGTAGTTTTAGCACGAGCGATGCCGCGGGTTCTGCTAGTATATAATAATATACTTCTATTGACATATTCCTATGGGTTGATTTAATTGTTGCCTTCCTTTCAGCAAGAGATAACAATATTATTTTAAGCCGACTTCAAAAAGTACTAACTCGCTTGTATGAGTTTTTGTATGGTGAAAAAGCAATGAATTCGCCAAATGAAAATTGATTTTTAAGTATATTATGTATAACAGTTATACGAGGATAGCGATATCTTAACTGGCAAACCAGCTAACTCCATATTTCGCCAAAAAATATTTTCAACCGACTTCAAAAAGGAGGAGGTTCTCAATTCCACTGTATTTTTTTTTTATGTTTGTTACCTCAGAACTTCGTCATTTATTAACCGATTTGGACAATTTTTGTTTTGTTTGAAAGAGTATACTTCCAGATTGGTCCCATTTAAATTTCAAATAAAAAATACCACCCCTAAGGGTGGAAAAATTGCTAATAATGAATTTAACCTACTTCTAATTGTCATATTGACTTGAAACTTTGCAAGTGTTTCTATTTCCGTTGATAGTACAGTGGTTCGGTATTGTTGACCTGATCTGATGGTAAGGCCAGAAGGTGGATAGGTGGAACTCTTCAACGACTCATAGTAGATACTTTGAGTTTAGGCTTACTTTGTTGGTTTGACAAGCCTAACACTTTAGAATTCTTACTTTGCTACTACTGTCTACACTAAAAAGGGAAAAATAAAAACTTTTTACCAAAAAAATAAAAACCGACTTCAAACAAAAGCACTAAAAAGTAAAAAATAACTGATTGGTAGTTTTCATTTACTATACATACCTAATCAAATATTTTCGAAGTCGGTGTGCTTTGCTTTGTATGGGCTGGCACCGATTTTGAAAATATTTGATTAGGTATGTATTTAATAGGTAGGCTTTAATTACTTAGCCAAATATATATATATATATATATATATATATATATATATATATATATATATTTTAAATAAAACTATCTTTTCGTATTATTTCAAATTAAATGATTTATTCATAAGTCAAAGAGTTAAAACACTTACGGGAGGCTTTTTTTCATCATCATTGACAAGCTTGATTGCGTATGGACATTCTAATATACTTTTACATACGCCTGTTACATTTCCAACGTTGCAAGGACTACCTGTAAATACACATAAAACTACTATTTACTAAAACGGTTAAATATAATTTAAGATTAGATTAAGATACATTAAGAAGTAAAAAAGACATGAAAATCAATTCATATTAACACACACACATTTTTCCGCAGTAAAAAGTATCCTATATGTTATCCCGGATAACCAGCTATCACCATACAAAATTTCATCAAAATCCCTCCAGTGGTTTTTCCATGAAGCGGTAACAGACAGACAGACAATAATTCTAAAAACTATAGATTCGGCCTCTGTATCGATAATAATGACTATTTCAATAAGATTTTCCTAAAAATTAATGTACAGATTCGACTTAGTTGCAATTTTACTACATGTACTAGCAGTATCCGCGGCTTCGCCCGCGTCCATACTTCCGGTCGCTAACAAAATTATCACCCGCTGGGCTAATCTGTAGATTACCTGAAGATTAATCAAAATCGGTCCAGCTGTTTGGTTGCAAGGACCCTGACCTGACCACTCGGACATACACAAAAAATTTCATTAAAATCGTCCCTGCCGTTTAGTTGATGATCAGTGGCAAACCGACTGCAGCACCACCTATCGGGTCCATTTATGTTTTCAATCCATTCAGGAACCCATCGAAATATACACACAAAATTTCAAGTAAATCGATCCAATCGTTTGGGAGGAGTTATGTGACTAACAAACATACAGAAGAATATTATGTATAGGTAAGTATGTATTAACAAATAAGTATGTGTGTTTTAAATGAAACTATTTTTTCGGATTATTTCGTGGATTTATTTTGATTTTTGGTTCCCAACGTTTCGAATGCTTTACAGCAAACATGGTCACGGGAGAGACTGAGGTGTTACATATCTCAAAGGTATTATATAGTTGTTACAGACAGCCTACCCACAATTAACAAAATTGAAATAGTATAGGTAGGCTGTCTGTCACAACTATACCTTCGAGACATGTACCACCTCAGTCTCTCCCGTGACCATGTTTGCTGTAAAGCATTCGAAACGTCGGGAACCAAAAATCAAAATAAATCCGCGAAATAATCCGAAAAGATAGTTTTATTGAAAATGTCAAATATTCGCGCAAAATCTAAGGAAGTATTATATAGTATATATATATATATATATATATATATATATATATATATATATATATATATATATATATATATGTGTGTGTGTGTTTTTTATGAAAACTTTATTACTACTTACTCCTAGACACTAAAACGACTGTGGTAAAAATTAGCACACAGACAGTCTATATAATGCAGAGGCTACTGTTGCACAATTTGCCAAAAGGTGGTGCTAATTGTATATAATGAATGGAAAAGCCATCGTCTCCAAGCGAAGCGAGTTTATTGACACTAGTTAATTATAATCAAGCTCCAAATCGTGTATTTACTATTTTCTAGTTTTATACTGAATACTTATAGGTTGCTTCCCCATACAAACTTTCATCCCCATTTTAACCCACTTAAGGAATTATTTTTAGGATAAAAACTATCCTATATCCATTCCATAGTCTCAAACTATCTTCTTATCAAATTTTATCTAAATCGGTGCAGTAATTCCGGAGCCTATTCGGTACAAACAAACCAACAAACAAAGAAATGTTTCCTCTTTATAATATTAAAGTATAGATTATTAATTTGATAATATAAAAATCCTATTATAATCGGACCAGCTTTTCTCATAGAATGACAAAAAAGTATAGGTAGTTTATAAGCATAAAATAATAACCAATGTATCGTCCAAATGACCGTCAACTTTAGTAAGACTAAGTATTTCTTAAATTAACAAAAAGCATTGAGGAAAATAAAGAAACTGGTTACATACCTATTTCCAGACACAAAATATTACCGAAAAAGCACAAAAACACAAAAACACACAGCTTATACATATTTAACACAAATAAACACAAAATACACAACAAGTTCTTATTGATTTTTTAATAATATTTTACATACATTTTGATATGTTTTACTTAACGTCCGTACCTCTGAACGACAATTTGTGTTGTGCTTTGCGCTCATTTTATTCATATATTATACGTTACAATAATGGCCGCTGTCTGCATATGGAAGATATCTGAGAAAAACTATTATTGGGGGTCTGTATTAAGGCAATAGAATCCAAAACAATGATTTTTAGATTTTTTTTCTCTTTGTCTGTGCGTTTCTGCGCGTTAATCCGAAGGTTCCGTACAATTATGTAAGAAATCTATTTTAAAATTTTAATTTCCAACTTTTTTTTATTTTTTGGAATTTTTCCTTTATTTGTGCTGTAAGATCTTGCTTTTTGCCAAATTTCGTGATTCTAGGTCAACGGGAACTACCATATAGGTTTTCGACCCAAAACCTATAGGGTACTTCCGGTTGACCTAGAACAGTCAATTTTGGTTAAAATCAAGATCTTACAGCACAAGTAATGGGAAAATTCCGAAAAGTAAAAAAAGTTGAAAATTAAGGTACACTTTGGTACTTACAAGTTTTCGTGAAAATCTAAATTTACTCATATCTTTTTATCGTGTTGACTCAGGATCTTAATTTTTTATACACCTAATAGGGGCTATAGACTTTAGTATCTGGTATAAATTTCAACTTGCTAAGTCTACCCGTTCCTGAGAAAATCGGTGGTGACACACGGACAGACAGACGGACGAACGGACAAGAGAGTGATCTTATAAGGGTTTCTTTTTTTAGTTTTTCTGGTACGGAACCCTAATAAAGATAAAAAAATATTTTTTGTACTTTTAAAGCGAGAGAAGCCACGGGTTCTGCTAGCATATAATATATTGTAGACTTTATTGTTTTTTTTGTTCATACATCTACTAGGCGTTTTACAGTTACACACCTGAAACTAAATAAAAGCGTGTTAAAAAGAACAATTTTGTTGAAAATTAATTTTATATTGCTTGATAAGAGACAGTTTGTTATGAGTAAATCATCAAAATGACTCGTTTTAGTGTTTACACTTCGCTGTTCTAAATATATTCATGGAATAATTTATGTCCGTTTTTTCCTTATAGTGTAATTATTATGTGACTAATAAATATTATAGGTTCACTAGGTATACTATACCTATATGTACCTCATTAAAATCTATACTTAATATAATAAAGCTGTAAAGCTTTAAATTTGTTTATTTATTTGTTTGTTTGTTTGTTCATTCGTTCGTTTCTTCATTAGAACGCATTAATATCTGGAACTATCAATCGCATTTGAAAAATCTACCATTTAACATTACGCTAAGAAATATAGTTTTAATGCATAAATAAAGCCAGGTACAGTATAATTATACGTATAAATGCGAATTTTAGGTCTCCCTTTCGGATAGTCTATACTAACATTATAAAGAGGAAAGATTTGTTTGTTTGTAATGAATCTAGGCTCCGAAACTACTACGATTAAGATGAAATTTAGTAAGAAGATAGTTTGAGACCCTAGAAAGGACATAGGATAGTTTTTACCTTGGAAATCATCTCATAAGAGGGTGAAAATGGGGATGAAAATTTGTATGGGGAAGCAACCTAGGGACGAACCCGAGCGAAGCCAGGGTGAGTCGCTAGTAGATAAAATGTAAATACATCAAATATATATCAATCATCAATAAATACATCAAAATATCTGACTATTAGAAAATTGAGCAAAAAATATTCATATTCAAGAAAAAGGGAAGAATATGTCTCGTTTTCCTGAAAATATTTAGTAAGATGAGTGTTACAAACTAGTTTGTCACAGTTTTGATGATATTACTTTTATGATGCAACTGAGTTATATTAATAAAAAAACGTTGTTAAAATAAAAGATTTGAGACTTGAGAACCATTTTTTATTGGAATAAAGTGTAATGGGGAAGATTTCTCGAAAGGAGGGCGTCACACTTATAGCCTATTTACATTCAGTCTGAAGTTAAGCAGTTTATTGTGATATCTCTTGTATATCTGGTTTTTGCTTCTATTGTGTTCGCATCTTACCTGCGTAATATATTGTATCTGGAAGGAAGAATTGAAAAGGAGAGGTGCATCCTGTGGTGGTCCTGACTGAATAATGGATCAACACACAGCCTAAACCGCTGGCCGTAGAAACGTGAAATTTGGAGGACATATTCCTTATACAATGTAGATATCTGCTAAGAAAGGATTTTTAGAAATTCATCCCGTTAGTGGTTAAAATAGGGGATTAAAGATTGTATGAAACTGTCATTTTTAATATAAAATACACAAAAAGTGGTGACTTTAAGATAAAAAATAAGAAATACATTTTTTTTTCGAATATCATGGACTTTAAATCGGTAAAAGGGGGTAGTAAAGTTTATATGGGCAAATAATTATTTATGATCAGAATAACTTGAAACTTGTTGTTAATGCTCCTCAGTACAATTAAATGATTACGTTTTAAATAAAACTATCTTTTCGGATTTTCCGCGAATTTATTTTGATTTTTGGTTCCCGACGTTTCGAATGCTTTACAGCAATCATGGTCACGGGAGAGACTGAGGTGTTAGGTTTATAACTATACTCTTTGGGTGTTAGATGCCTCTAAGGTATTATATAGTTGTTACAGACAGCCTACCCACAAATAACAAAATGAATTCAAAAATTGAAAATTGGCATTAAAGTACCTTACAATATTTTAACTTTTAACTTTAAACATTTTTATATAATTTTATATTAAATAAATTCGCGAAAAAATCCGAAAAGATAGTTTTATTTAAAATGTCAAGTATTCGCGTAAATTTAAGAAAGTATTAAATGATTACGTGTTTTAGCATTTTTTGAAATTCAATTCCATAAAATGGGGGATGAAAGTTTGTATGAAACTTTGTAATTAATATGTAAAAAAGTACAAAAAAATAAAAAAAAGTTCACCTGTAGACGATTTAAGAGTTTTAAAATCAATTTCTTTAAAATGATGTCCACTTATCTTAAATATATAGATTGTGTCTTCGCCAATTTCAGTCGTCTTATTGCTTTAGCCTACAATTTCTTCAGTTTTCGTCTTTTGTCTTTTCAAATGATATCCATTTTGTTTGCATTCTGGCACTGCATAATTTGTTATTTTAATTAAATTAAATTTTAAATAAAATGAAAAAAATTCATCCACGCTAAAGAGCTTTACAATATACCGAGTGCTATAGTGATCGCGACATTTGACGGAAGAAAAAGGCAAAATTCTTCCCCATTAGTGCCAAAAGTATTATTTAAAAGTTTACAAAAAATAAATCCCTCTCTACGTTACTTTATATCACCACAACTTTTTGGGTTATAATTACCAAATTTTTTAAATTTATATAATTAATTATTATGATACTAATTTTCTACTGAGAAATATATCTTTTAACTTAAAATACATAGAAAAAGGTTATTTATAATTTTAATGTTTTACATATTATGTAGACTACGTTTATTGTTTATCTATATTCGTTCAAAATCAAAATCATATTGACAGTAAATGACATCTAAAAATGGCGACCATGGATGACAAATAAACCGCCTAACCTCTTCAACGTATTGTGTTTTCAAGCTTCTGCGTTTTTCATAATAAACTGTTAAAGAATTAAATAATTCGTATATTATTGTGTATTAAAACAAAAACAATTTGTGAGCATGGCGGATGCGGCTGCTAGGCAGCTGCAATACGAGTACAAAGCTGTAAGTATTATGTTTTGATATTTCTTCCAGTGGTGTAATTCAAAAAAGTTGAAAACCATATTGCTAAATCCTTTTAAATTTGCTTGTCTTATATGTATATCATGCAAAACTTGATGTAAGTAATAGTAATGCGATATAACATCACAAAAAAATATATGTTTTGTGCAATATATTTCATAACAAGATGCTTTATAATTTTTAATAATTTTAGAACTCAAACCTCGTATTACAAGCTGATGTTCGTCTTATTGAACGTCGTGGTCGCGATGAGGCGACCGGTGAAGTATTGTCATTATCTGGGAAGTTAACTGGGACGCGTATGGGAGATAGGGCGCAAAGAACAAAACCAGATAAAGCTGAAGAAAGGAAGGCTAAGTATGAAAAAAGCTTTAAACTTACAACATAGATAAGAATATAATCTAATACACATAATAAAACAGTAACTTAGCAAAATCGATGTGCGCATTTCAAGCAAAAAGTACTGAACCAATTTTGACTATATTGTTGTGTGTAGTGATAACTTATTATTCAGATTAACATTTAGGATACCTTTACTACAGGAACTTCTTTTATTCCCATGGGAAAACAATAATTGGTTCTTTCGTTTCATTCTTAGAAATTTACATGTCATTAGACAAACTTAAGACTAAAACTTAAAAGCTGGCTAAACCTTAAGAGATACATCAAAACAATGTACTAGAAAATTGTAGATCTTAATAAGACCTAAAGAAAAATCTGCAATAGCATAAGTCTTTCTCCCTAAGGTACACTCGCAATAAGAAATTAATATTCATATCTATTTAAAACATACATAGGGACACACCTGAGCGAAGCGAGGGTAAATCACTAGTCCATTCTAAAATTATAAATATGAAAATGGCTGTCTTTCTATTTGGTTTTCACACATAAACTGCTGAACTGATTTAACATTACATAAATACATTAGTAGAATAGGCTATGTTTTATCCCTGCCATCTAATTTTATTATAATATTAATTTCTTCACTTTAGACGTCAAAAGCGAGATGAAGCTTCCTATGAGTTATCCAAATCAAAGTCCAAAGTGGCATGGGCAGATGATACCCCAGCAGGTGTATTGTACAGACCAAGAGCCCAACACACCAGGCATGCATATGAACTGCTGTTATCATTCATGCAAGGATCGTTGGGTGATCAACCGAGAGATATATTGTGTGGAGCTTGTGATGAGGTTAGATGATTTTTTTTTTAAATACTTTAACATTTTATTTACATCTGGTTAATTAAATATTTCACAAACATTGATAAAAAAGTACTATTTGTTTATTTGTCTTTGTCAAAATATGTCCTCACCGAATGAATGCTCATTCAAACATTTGAGTGTGTTTTTAATTTTGTGAAAACAACTTTAAGCATTGCAATTAGGGTTCAATTTACATTGTCGTATATTTATTTCAACTAGAACAATTACCTAAACACAATTGGTGACAGTCTTAAGAAAACTTTTGCATATTATTGTGTATCTAGTACTTTTTTGTTCGATGTTCACATAAACCAATTTTAGTTAAAAAAAATTACCTACCAATCTCCATCGTGTCTTTTCAATTCTATGTGACATTGGCAATGTAATCTGTGCTCATCTGACGCTTTGAAGCCATTAACAAGTAAATTGAATTGAAATAGTAGTATTGATATGCTCATGGAACTCCATGGGTTTATTTTAAAAGTTTTGATTTAGGGTCATTCATATATTTCTGACAGATTGTATTGAATTATCAATTTTAAGTAATTCTATAAATTTTAATAGCTATTTCCTCATTATCAAAGAAATATGAGATAAGAAGTTATTCATTAGGTATATTTATTTGGGTGTGGTATAAAAAATATTTTTACACAAACAATCTATAATAATATGAGAGCAGTGTATGTATGTTGTATACTAAGGGGTATTGTAATTTTTATTTATTTAATAGTGACTCACCCTAGCGTTGCTCAGGCATGTTTTAATTTTTTTGACAGGAACCCTAATTCTTTTCCTAAAATAAAAGTACCCTATGTTACCTTCTAACATTCGCTATCTGCCAGTGAGAGTACCATCAAAATGGATCCAGTCGTTTTGGTACCGTAACCATAACAACCGACTAATAGACAAATAATAAATTATTTGTCTATTAGTTCCTTATCAGCACCATATATAATTTCATATGCATCTAGTAAAAAGCTGCTATTTTGACGTTACAAACAGACACTTCACTTTTATTTATCTGTATAGAAACACGTCTCGCACTTGACATGAGTGTGGATCTTTGCAAAAAACTAAATATTCATATTTTTCAACAGGTATTAGTGGTTCTCAAGAATGACAAACTAAAGGACCCTGAACGGAAGAAGGAAATTGAAATGCTCCTGGGACCCATTCCAGATGAAAGATTTGCATTATTAGTTAATTTAGGTAAGACTACTTATAAATGTTGCTAACTACAAGTGATATAAAGTTTTGTTTAGTTTTTTAGGGTTCCGTACCAGTAGGGTGCCAACGGAACCCTATTAGTAAGCTTCCGCTGTCCATCCGTCAGTCCGTCAGAGGGATCTGTATCTCATGAACCGTAATAGTTAGAGAATTGAAATTTTCACACAGTATGTATTTCTATTGCCGCTATAACAACAAATAATAAAAAAAAAACATGTAATAGATCATCGAAGTTAGTATAATATACTACATACATAAAAGTCATATTAATAAAAAGTAAATGTACGATGGTATGATACACTTCGTGTGCGAATTCGACTCGCACTTGACCGTTTTTTTTCTTCAAGTTATAGAGATAGAACTGTGCAACTTTTGGAAAATTAAATAATTAGATATTTTGCCAAGTAACTACTACGAATAGGTCTGATAACAGTCCCCCCCAACGTGCGTTCACCTTGTCGTGGTGGGGGGGCTCAGTAGTGCCCGGCAACCCAACCGGGCGCGAAACCAAGAAACGCACAGGGAGGTGGCCCACTTCGGTGGGCGGTGGGAGGTGGCCCTCTTCGGAGGGCGGTGTACCATGCGGGTTGCTCCTGGTACTTCTCTGATAGCAGAGTGGACCTTGGAGCAACCCCGTGGTTGTTGTGGTCTGCTTTGGCAGACCTGCCGTCGGGGCGTCGTAGTTGAATGCGTGAGCGATCCTGCGACGCCCCATTAAGACGGGGGAAGGCTTTGTTGGGTTTTAGTGGGTAGTACTGGCTTTGCCGGTGAGCCCCACACCTCGTGCGTAAATGCATTTCCCAACGTTAAAAAAAAAAAGGTCTGATAACAGTAGACCTCGCGTACACAAAATTGCATTTTAAACAGTTATTCCGGTCATCACGCCGAAGAAGCTCATCAGATCTTTACCAAATTTTTATGAGACCAACTTAATGTTACCTTTCATATCTCACAAAGCGGAGATATCCAGTATTATCATATATATCATACCAAATTTCATCAAAATCTATCTAGTGGGTTTCCCATCATGACAGACACACAGACAGACAAAAATTCTAAAAACTTTAGATTCGGCTTCTGAATTGATAATAAAGTCAATTTCAATAAGAATTTCCAAAAAAAAATATTTAATGTACAGATTCGGCTTAGTTACAATTTTATTATATGTATAAGTAATTTTTTTATTCTTCTTAAATTATATTTTGATTTAGTTTTTTAAAAATTTTTTATTCTATGTGCCTAGGTAAGAAAATTACAGACTTCACAATCAGTACATCGGGTGAAGGTAACAGTGAAATAGATGAGACATACGGCATCAATGTGCAGTTTGAAGAATCCTCTGAAGAAGATGATGAAGATGCGTATGGAGAGGTAAATATTTGTTTTTATGGTTCTGTACCTCAAAAGGAACAAAAAACCTTATAGTATCACTTTGTTGTCAATCTGTATGTCTGTCTGTTGAGATCCTTTTTCTCGGAAACGCGTGGTGTCAAGTTGAAATTAATATTAAATACTCATGTCTGCAATACCTTGGAGGTGTGGAGAAATCAAAAGATACGGCTATTTATGCCGCATATTTTGACACTCTCAAGGGAATCAAAACCTATAGGGTACTTGCCGTTGACCTAGAATTAGAAAATTTGGCGAAAAGCAATGTTCTATGGCAAAAGTAAAGGGAAAAATCCGAAAACCGTTCTCTCAGACGTGCAGGTTTCCTCACGATGTTTTCCTTCACCGTAAGACATGTGGTAATTAATCATTTTAGAAATGATTCACACACGAGTATATCAGAGGTGCGAGACCCGGGATTTGGACCCGCTTCACTCGGTTTCCCAAGCGAGAGCGTTACCACTGAGCTACCACTGCTGTCAATACTATACTATTTAACTCTTGCTATATTTAAATGTAATTTCTGTCAGGTCCATGACGAAGAGAAGGAAGATGGTGATGTGTCAGAGGCAGAAGGTGGAAAGGAGAGTTCCGGAGAGGACAGTGACGGAGAAGGGAAGAAGAATGCTATACATGCTAATGTGAGTTGTTATAAATGTCGTGTGACGTCACGACTATCTATTATATTATATTCTTACAAGCGAAAACTTTACGAGTCTCATAACTTTTTAATTTGTTGAGATATTTGCCACCCTTGACATATAAAATTATTATTACAAAAAAAAAAGTTTCTTAGATTTACGCGAATATTTGACAATTTAAATAAAACTCTTTATCTATAATTTTAAATGTAACTTCTATCTTCAATTTAAAGAAAATATCTAACTCTTGGGATTCGCAAAATCTGTTTTTTTTTTATTTTTTTTTTAAGAAAATGAAGGTTTATTTTAAGTTTATTTGCTTATAATTAATTTTATTGTCCTATTCAGTTATCAGAAGAGCAGTCGGCTATGAACAAGCGACGTGATACGGTTTTGCACGCGATGGACATAGATGCCTACTGGCTACAGAGGAGACTGTCCCGCCATTTTCCGGATGCGATGGTTTCTCAGGTATATGGCCTATATGTTGTTTTTTTTTTTTTTTTAATTTTGTTTAATTATATAGATATTGTTAATGATATTATTAGACACCTATCGATTAATTCGATAAAATAGTGACGGTGTCCTTTTTTTCATTTTCATTTGGTTCGATTCCCGGTTCGGGTTAGTTTAAAAATAAAATGCAGTTATTATTATTTTCAAAAATAATGAAATGTTTTCTTTGAGTAAATCTTGATAACTTCAATATTTAAAGTACTTTTCTTTCATGTCCGATAGATTTGGTCCAAAAAAACTTGTAAAAAAGTATAATATTTATAAAATTATTCGTTTATATATCAAGTAATTTTAATAGTATTTTAATTTTTTTCCAGGCAAAATCATCAGAAGTTCTAAAAGCATTAGCGGAGGCAGCGGATGACAGGGACCTGGAGAACAGGCTTGTGCTGCTGCTCGGCTATGACTGCTTTGACCTGGTGAAAGTTCTCAACAAGTATAGATATACTGGTGAGGTTTATATGTTATATTAATAGTTATTGTTTGTATGTTTATAATATTTGTCTCGGTGGTGTAGTGGTTAGCATGTACGGCCGCCGCAGGTCCCAAGTTTGAATCCCGGGTCAGGCCTATTTCGCTACTGAGTATTTTTGTTTAGGAAATCTAAGTAACAGCCCGGAGTTAGAATTTGGCTATGATTCATAACATTTTTATAAATGCGATAGTAGCTGTCTGTCTGTACTTTATTATATTACCTTTTCACGCTTGATCTGCTTCGAAAGCTTGGGAAGGATATAGGATAGATTTTCTTCCCAGAAATAATCCCTTAAGGGAGTGAAAATTTGTACGGGGACTCGGTCATTTCTCAAGTGAGGTATATAAAAGTCATCATACCTATTACCTACGTATATGTGTCGCGTGTCCACAGTGCTGTACTGCACGCGGCTGGCGGCGTCGCAGTCGGAGAGCGAGCGCGCCGCCATCCGCGAGGAGATGTCGCGCGCGCCGCGCCTGCAGCGCGTGCTGGCGCAGCTCGACACCGGCCGCGGCGACGACGACGCGCCCCCAGACGCGGTACACATCAAACATATTATAACCCAGGGGAAAGGGGAACCGACGCGTCCGTGAGATGGCTACAGTTTACTAATGACAGTTACCGGATATCCTTCCGCGATTCTAACAATCTATTTCACGTACACTACAGACATAACTCTGATTTTTTTTAAAAGAAATATTATAAATTTGAACCTACTACATCCAAATTTTATGACCGTCCATAAAAGCTATGATAGTAATGAGGTTTGTTGTAAAGCATCAAAAACATCGGGAACAAAAAACAACGTAAAATATGAATTAACAACCGTGCTCATCACACAAACGAACCCCCCCAGCAGAACTCGAACCCGCGATCGCTGGCCCAGCGAGTAGGGTCACTACAAATTGAGCCAAACGTGTCATCAAATGACTATGACTAGGACTTTTAGGCTCATGGGGACCGTAGTTTTTAATATCTAAATATCCCCAGCAGACGTCAGAACAGTCAGAACAACCCCGCAAGCGTCACAAGCCAGGTCAAGAGCAGCCCAACTGGGGTGGCAATGTCAGTGGCAACAGGAAGATGCTGCAGCTCGAGGAGCTGGTCTTCGCGGCAGGCTCGCACCTGATGGCCAACAAGCGGTGTCAGCTGCCTCCTGGCTCGTTCAGGAAACAGAGGAAAGGTATGTACATATATAAAGATATATATTTGTCTTTCTGTCATGTCTTTATTAATTGAATATACATATATTTTTTTATACTAATTGTTCATTTATATTTTAATTCCTTGATTTTAAAGAGGTTTTTTGTCTGAATGACTGGACAATTCTGCAGTCAAATAACGATAAATAATAAAATGGCGCTACATATTAACTCTCAGGAAAGTGACAGCTTAAGACATAATATTGCTGATATTTTTTGTCTATATGTATCCATACATACATACATACAAGTTGGGTTGTGCGTCGTTTAATTGTAAATGTTTTTAAATAAAAGTGTGTCTGTTTTCTTTAGGTCATTGTTGGTGTATTATATAATTATTAATTATATTATTATAATTTTATTTAAATTTGTTCAGCCATTTCAATGCGAAGGAGGGACAAACAGACACAAATACAAACTTTCGCATTTATTATATATTTAATATATCGATGATAAAGTACAGTAGAAAAAAGAAGATACACAATCAGTGACGAAAAATGTCCTCATCTAGTGATCAGCGAATGAGCGTTCATTTGAACATTTGCGCGCTTTTAATTTTTTTCTTTATAAAAACAACTTTAAGCATTGCATTTAAGGTTTACTTTACATTGTCGTATTTATATTTCAACTAGAACAATTGCCTAAACACAATTGGTGACAATTCTAAGAGAACTTTTGCATGGGATTGTGTATATAATATTTTTTTGATCGATGATTTAATAAATTATTATATTATTTCCAGGCTACGAAGAAGTGCACGTGCCTGCCCTCAAACCCAAGCCGTTCGAGGACAATGAGACATTAGTCCCTATAGAGAAGCTGCCCAAGTACGTGCAACCAGCTTTTGAGGGATTTAAGACTTTGAATAGGATTCAGGTATGAAATCTATACATATAATAAAATTCTAACTAAGTCGAATCTGTACATTAAATATTTTTTGAAAAATGTTATTGAAATAGACATTATTATCGATACGAGACCGAATCTATAGTTTTAAGAATTTATGTGTCTGTCTGTCTGTTACCGCATCACGGAAAAACCACTGGAGGGATTTTGATGAAATTTGGTATGGTGATAGCTGGTTATCCGGGTCAACATATAGTATACTTTTTACCGCGGGAAATATCTCATCTGAAAAAGATGCAAAAACAGCAATGTTATATATAATGTAAGAGTATAATAATAATATGTAAAATCTAAGAATTTGGTTTTTAGTCATCTGAACGCTAGCGGAGCCGCGGGTAACGCTAGTCTATAAATAATATTTATTCAAGAGTTTCTTTTAAGCTATTGCATAGCTTCTATCACGGGCCTTGAGCGTGGGGACCGAATCCAGAAATTCCGTAACGAAAAAAACCTGACACCCCCCACTCCGACAGGCACAGCGGTGATATTTTTTTTCCATCTATCGATAAATACCAGAACTTTTAATGACTTTTTGAAATATCACGCTTGTCTCTTTAGTTCAGCAACCCGCCTTTAGGTGGCATTGGTTGTATTGGAAAACTACCGTAATCAGCTGTTTGTGAGAAAGTATATAGGTGTATAGGTATTTATCATCTATGTACAACAGTGAATATCTGTACCCGTATAATTTCTGTACAAAGTGTTTTAAATATGAATAAACAAAGTGCATTTATTAATGAAGAAAGTCACGAAAAAATAGTGAAAGAAAATGAGTTAGTACTCTATATACATTCATTTTATTATTAGTACCTGGGCGACCGAGCCTTGCTCGGAGTGTTTGGCCAAAAAAAAACATTAAAAAAACAAACTAAGAATTTGAATAACTACAAAAAAAAAAAACAAAATTAAAAACTTTGTGTCCGACCGGGATACGAACCCAGACACCTGTGGTTGTCAAATTTGCGCATTGGCCGCTTGACCATGATGCTTATATCTGAGCATGCGAAATTATCGAACATAGTATTTTGCATGGAATTATTAATTATTAATTTATTGAAATAATGCAAAAGGAATCATAATAATAATAAAGCTCTATTTATTTATTCATTTTTTTGTTATAAAGGCTTACTAACTAAAGTTACATAAAAACATTTATTTAACATTATAAATTTACCTATCTGTATATAAATTTAATTTAAAAGTATGCACAGCTTTTTATAAAAGTATTCCATTAAAATTTTATTTGGTTAAGAGTATATAAGGAGCTATTTTAGTTGTACAATAAACAAAAGAAGAAAAAAAACTAATCTAAATTGAATTAATATCAAAGAAAAAAAAAACAAAGGAAAAATACTGCATTAATAAAATAAATAAATAAATATAATTGCATAAGTTGATAAAAAATAGCAATAGCTTTACCGTGGCAGTCTCCGAGTGCCACACGTCTTTTTATTTGTTTTTTTTTAATGTGTTCTAGAATTACAAATTTTTGGAATTACATATATATGTTTTTTAGTCTGTTTATTGAAGAAGTCTATTATCACGCTATTGTTCAGTTAAACAATTTTTTTTTCTACAATTTATTTTTTATTATAAGTTAATATTAATTTTCATTTTCATTCTCGCCATTTGCAATATTTTAAGAGTGTGAAACGCATATCTTGCCATATTGAACTCATTTGATTGGATAATTTAAAAAAAAAACACTCCATTTACCGGGTTAGGTTATTGCTTAGAATCATAAATCGGTACACAAAAAATCATCAAGATCGAACCGGTGGCTTAGAATGATAACAACGACAGACACATTCACTCTCACTCTGCAGAGCCGCATCTGCCCGGCGGCGCTGGAGTCGGACGAGAACCTGCTGGTGTGCGCGCCCACGGGCGCCGGCAAGACCAACGTGGCGCTGCTGTGCGCGCTGCGCGAGCTCGGCCGCCACGTCAACGCCGACGGCTCCGTCAACGCGCACGACTTCAAGATCATCTACGTGGCGCCCATGCGCTCGCTCGTGCAGGAGATGGTGAGTCTGCCGTTCCTTCTACTAATATATTATCATTAAAAGACGATTGGGTTGTAAGGTGTTTTGGTTTTATGCCGTTTTATCGTTTTGGTTTTTGTTTTGGTGAATAAATTTTGGGTTATGACCCTTTTGTTTTATGCCGCTTTATCACTTAAATTTGTTATGAAAAAAAAATCTAAATTATTTAAACAGATTTTATTTTCTAACGGTAATATTTATGCACATAAAAATGTATATTGTTAAAAATAACAAAAAAAAGAGTTTTATGATTTTAGTTTATGCCGCTATACCGTTTTCAATTTTTTTTGTTAAAAAACGCATCACAGCATCGTCCGCGTCGGTAAAAAAACTTGGGTTTCGGACTTTTTAATTTTGAACTTGGAAGCTAAGATTTTTTTTACCATATTTGAATCTTTCGATATGTCACACAATATAATTGACAGAATGTTAAAAAAAAATGCCACTCTAAAATTCATTCCTAAAATCATCAATTAAATTACTAAAGAAAAATGGTCTACGACAGACTTACGCATATACTATTTAAAAGCGTTCATATTTTAAACCAATTTGCTGAACCCTAATTATAATTTGTCATAACAAAAAAAAATTGAATAGAATTTAAAAAAAATATCTATAATCATAACTTACATGAAAATACATCCAAGTTATGTACCCCTTTTTAAAAAGTTGGTTATTTGAACGAATTTACTGTCCCTCCCGAACAGGTGGGCAACTTCAGCAAACGCCTGGCTGCCTACAACATTAAGGTGTCAGAGCTGACCGGAGACCACCAGCTCACCAGGGAACAGATTGATGCCACACAACTCATTGTGTGCACACCGGAGAAGTGGGATATTGTTACACGGAAAGGTATGTGAGATTATGGGTTGTATGTTCGATTCCCATGAGATTTTTTATGTGAAAAATTCTTAAGCCGCGTTAAGCGATTTAGTGGTAGTGGGAAAACTCATGGGTTCGCGTCACCGATACGCCACGTGTGAGATGTGACGTGCCGTGACGCAGCGTTATATGTTTTGATTAATAAATAAACTATGAAAATGTATATAATTATTGCTCGGAGTACCAATGGATTTCAACACCAGATTAACGATAATTTCAATAAAAAAAAACTGTTATTCCAAAGTCTATTAGAGACTGCCTATTTTATTATTATTTTTTTATTTTTTGAAGTTGATTAGTGTGGACAAATTTTTAATTGTATTTAAACTGCTGTCGCTAGCTCATTAGGTGTCTCAGTGTCCATATGTCAGAAGACTTATAGAAATAATTAAGGAAAAAATGATGATTTTTTTTCCAAAGTAGGGGCGCAGTATGTAGTTAGTATGTACTCGTAAGTATAGAGAATACGAAAACAGAAAAAAAACAATAATATAGGTGTCACTGTTCTGAGTTGTTTTGAAGTCGATGAAGATTATAGAACTATTACAAGAATAAAACTAAAAGTATATTAATATGTAATGCGTTCATTTTTAATTATTGCCATTGTTTTCATATAGAAGTTTTTATCTTTACAATTTCCACATATTACCATAGTTCTGATACTGGCTGGATGGCTTTTTAGTAGTTTGCTTCAAGTTTAGAAAAAAATAAGATAAAAATGTCGAGAGTTTGGTAATGTGACATAGGTTCTAACTTGTAACTTCCGCCAGGTGGCGAGAGGTCGTTCACGAACCTGGTGCGGCTCATCATCATCGACGAGATCCACCTCCTGCACGACGAGCGCGGGCCGGTGCTGGAGGCGCTGGTGGCGCGCACGCTGCGCACCGTCGAGCACACGCAGGAGCAGGTGCGTCGGTCGTTCGATCTTTCAATCGTTCGATCGATTAATAGTTCAATCAATTAATCATTTAATCGATCAATCAATCAATCGTTCAATCGGTCAATCAATCAATCGTTCAATCATCAAATGTAGTAGGTCTCCCGTGACCATGGATGCTGCAAAGCATTCGAAACGTCGGGAACCAAAAATCAAAATAAATCTGAGAATTTTTTTGAAAAGATAGTTGTATTCAAAACTAGCGAGCTAGCTAGGTTGCTTCCCCATAATTCGGCCCCAGTTTCACCCCCTTAAGGTATGATTTCCGGGATAAAAACTATCCTATGTCCTTCCCCCGGTCTCAAACTGTCTTTTTACCAAATTTCATCTAAATCTGTCCATTAGTTTAGAAACTTATTCAGTATAAACAAACAAACAAAAAAATCTTTCCTCTTTATAATATTAGTTTAGATATAGATGTCAATTATTCGCGTAAATCTAACAAAGTATTAACTTATAATATTATATTTTTTATATATATTATCTACAGGTGCGTCTGGTGGGACTCTCAGCTACACTCCCCAACTACACGGACGTGGCCGCCTTTTTGAGAGTCAAACCGGAGAAGGGACTGTTCTATTTCGATAACTCGTTCAGGTATGAAAAAATATATTTAAATAAATAAATACTTTGGCTGTTACATTATCGATGTGATTTTCGCATTTTGTTAAATTTATTTTATATGACGACACGTTTGGCCCAGTTTGTAGTGACCCTATTTGATGTGCCAGCTGTCGCGGGTTCGAGTCCCGCTGGGGGCATTCATTTGTGTGATGAGCACGAATGTTTGTATTCCAGTCATTTATATTTATAATATGTCTGTATTTAAAGTTATATATGTCTAGTGTATCAACTATCTGGTATCCATAACACAGGCTTCGTAGCTTACCATGGAACTAGATGGTGCTGTGTTGATGTCTCAACATATTTATATTTATTTATAAACTATAAAGCAATATTGAATATAATTTTTTCAAGTCTGACATAGTTTGCTTTCCTCTGTCAGTTTGTTGGTAATCCCTTTACAGGTCGTGTTTCACTACCGATCTGGACGAAACCATATATGTACCAACTAATAGGTTTTAAGAATTTATAGATTTTTTTTTGTCATCCTGGATATTTAATTAGAGGGGTACTTCGTTAAAGAGGCAAAAAGACGGCTAGTGGATATCTCCGCTTTATGAGATCCGATTTCGATGGTTTTTTTATATGAAAAGTAGTATTTTAAATAAAACTATCTTTTCGGATTTTTTCACGGATTTATGCGAACCATGAATGCTGTAAAGCATTTGAAACGTCGGGAACCAAAAATCCAAATAAATTTATTTATTTATTTATTTAAAATGTCAAATATTCGCGTAAATCTAAGAAAGTATTATGAAATGTAGTAACATTAAGTTGGTGCTCATAAAAATATGGTGAAAATCTGATGAGGATCTTCGGCGTGATGATCAGAATGTGTTTGTTTGTGTAGTTCGCAGAACTACCAGTATTAACAATAAATAAAATTAAAGATGTTTTAAATAAAAGTATCTTTTAGGTTTTTTCCCCGGATTTATTTTAATCTTTGGTTCCCGGCGTTTCGAATGCTTTACAGCAATCATTGTCACGGGGAGTCTTTCCCGTCCGAAAAGATAGTTTTATTTAAATTGTCAAATATTTGCGTAAATATAAGAAAGTATTATTAAATATGTTTTTTCATATCTTCAGACCGGTAGCCCTGGAGCAGCAGTATATAGGTGTGACGGAGAAGAAGGCGCTTAAGAGGTTCCAGGTGATGAACGACATCGTGTACGAGAAGGCGATGGAACATGCTGGAAGGAATCAGGTCATTGCACACAAATAATTGCTATGCAGTGGTAACCGAGTGAAGCGGGTTCAAATCCCGGGTGTCGCACCTCTGATATTCTCATGTGTGAATCATTTCCAACATGATTACCTGATGATCTCACGGTGAAGGGTACGAGGTTCTCGTGAGGAAACCTGCATGTTTGAGAGAACTTAGCAAGTTATCGAAAGACATGCTCAATCACATAGACATGGTGGATTATGGCCTGATCCCTCTCGTAGAGAAAGGAGATCCGTGCCCAGCAGTGGGACGTTAAAAGGGTCTGAATACATACATATAATTGATATTTACTTTTTATTATTTCATATGGAAAGCACACAGGTGTCAAACTCCCAAAATGTAGTGTAGTGTGTAGTATAGTAATATAAGCTTAAAACTTTTCAAATATTGATATATATCGCACCTATATTATATATTCAAACGTTTTCGAGTGAGCAGTTAGGTGTGTTTTAAGCATGGAAATGATTGCTACTTTTAAATCATTATCACGTGATGAAATTACAACAATTTTTCACGTGATTTCACCTGCTACTTTTCACGCATAGATTTTTGATTTCGACGGTCTGGTGTCACACTTTATATTATTTGCTATTAAAATGAAGTATGAAATGTCACCAATGGCGCTACTGATGTGATATGGAGCAGAGATATAGATCTGACGTAGTTGCATACGTACATGGTGCTTTGAATGAACCTATTTTCAAACAATGAACTTTCCCTCATACTTCTACAAGCTTGGGACTGACAATGTAAAATTAAATGAATTTTAAATATATCAGAGTAATCACACGGTAAAATTGTATTAAGCTAAGTTCCATAATTACATTGGCGTATTTAAAAGTTCATTGTTTTTATGTACAATAAGAATTTTTATAAAAGAATTTTATACACTTTTTTTGTTTTTCTTAATTTTTTTAATTTGTGTATAATCATTTTTTTTGCTTTTTGATTTTTTGATGATTGATTTTTTTATGAGATATCTATATACAATAGTCTTCATTGCTTTTTAAAAATACAAGTTCCGCTGTTCGTTTTCTGCTTAATCGTGCTCTTTTTTGGGTTGCAAAATTTCCCGCTTTTGAAAATACTCTCTCACACTCCACTGATGTCACCACGATGTGACAGTGCTCATGAAATATTTCCGCCAAATTGGGGTACATATAGGAGTGAGATTTCCACCAAACTAATGGCGAAGAATCGCGCGGAAGCACTGGTTCATTAATATTTCTAGCTCGTTCTCAGCGTTGGTGGTTATGTCTGTACGTATTACACATAATCATTCAGTAAAAATTATAAGTATTTGTTGGATAAAAAACTAAAAATGTGCTCTAAATTTAATTGTTGTTTCTAATTTAAAATTATTTCTAAACAATATTTCTAAGAATCCGAAATCATGCAACTCGAAATAAATAAACTCCCCAATTTACTGATCAACGGTATTAACTGAAAATTGTATTTTGTTGAATAAAAAATCAATAAAAACATCAGTACGAAAATGTATACGGAAAATGCGAGTAACGAAATGCATTCGTGAGTAACGTTTCGGTACTCGGTACTAGATGGCGTACCCGTTACTCAGTAACGAATACATACGGTTTGCTACAGCTCTAGATTTCACCAAGTTGTGATTTGTAGCAGCCACTATGAATTTAAGTAGCAGGTGTGACGTATGATTACGCATTTCACGTGATTTTTCACTTGCTACTCGTGAAATGTTCCATCCCTAGTGTGTTTGTGATTTTTTCACAGGGTTTCAACAAATATAACTTTTCAAAAAATAAGCGGCATTTTACTGAACTGCGGCGGAACTACAGAAAAAACGAAAAAATAAACAAAAAAACGTCAAAATTCACATATTTATGTATATTCCATATGGACTCCAAGACGGCTGGGGCGATTTTGATGAAATTTTCAGTCATCCTTCAGTTTAGCGGGTACTACTAGTTACATATAAAAAATAGTAATAAATATATAAAATTGTTAACAGATCTTGGTGTTCGTTCACTCCCGCAAGGAGACGGGCAAGACGGCGCGCGCCATACGCGACATGTGCCTCGAGAAGGACACGCTCGGACAGTTTTTGAGGTTAAATATTTATTTATCTTTGATATATATACTTAATTATTATTTATAGTTATGTATCTTATGCATATTTTTCTTCTTCCAAATTTTTTTTATTTGACAAAAAAGAAACACTTTTTTAGTCTATATGAGTTAGTATCATAATTAAAAAGTAAAAAATATTATTTTTCTATAAATAAATGTTCTAATTTTTAAAATAGATAATAAAGTATATATTTACGATTTATTTTCAATTTAAAAACATATATCCCAATGGACTTTAGCGCTATTTCGCTTAAATTTCAAGTTATTTTACATAATATATGTGACGAGAACATTTGATATGAACCACAAGTTTTTAGATTTGACTGTGACCATACATAACGATAAATGCTTTCTTGCATTTATGCTAATATTTGACATTTTAAAATAAAACTATCTTTTTGACTTTTTTTTGCGGTTTTATTTTTAACAGGAAAATTATTTTTTTTTTTTTAATTTTTACTTTTTGTATGAAACATAGGATGATAATATTGCTTATTATTTTAAATTATTTAAATATTAAAATAGCAACACTAAGCAAGTTTATTAATTAATATATTTTTTAAATCGTATTAAATATAATCATAGCGTAGATTTTTTTTTAAATAAAATTAATCAGAGCCATTTTTGTAATTTTGAAAATTGTTGTATAATTTTGTGGGTATGTGCTGTCTGTAATAACTACATAATAACCTTTGAGACAACTACACTGAATCTCTTCCGTGACTATGTAAAGCATTCGAAAAGTCGGGAACCGAAAATCTAAATAAATCTGCGAAAAAATCCCAAATGATAGTTTTATTTCAAACAAATCGATTCCTATTTAGGCGTTTATAACAACACAAACCCGTTTTCAATTCCAGAGAGGGCTCGGCTAGTGTAGAAGTGCTAAGAACAGAAGCGGAGCAGGTGAAGAACCCCGAGCTCCGGGAGCTGCTGCCGTACGGCTTCGCCATCCACCACGCCGGCATGAGCCGCGTGGACAGGACCCTGGTCGAGGACTTGTTCGCTGATAGGCATATACAGGTTTTTTATTGTTTTGTTATTAGGTTTTCCTTAGATATTATTTTAAGGGTCGTGTGGTAACCCTATTGCAATATAGTTTAAATATGTATATAGTAGGTGATGGTCTTCAATGATAACGGAAATTCTGACAAATGAAATGGTTGTCAAAAAATTACATAATTAATTAATTAAATTAAAAGTGACACACACCTATAAAGGATTATCCAAGGTTTGAATTTTTTTATGTAGGTATTAATACTGTAAAAGAATAAAACATATCAATTTCTTTAAAAATGATTTAATTGTAATTCAACTTTTTTATGGCAAAAGTAGTGGTAGCAAAAAAAATAAACAGGAAATTTAGCTACTTTGGCGGATTTCGTCTGCATAATTCTTTAGTCTGAGGTTTTAGTAGATTATGATTGTACAATGCTTAGCTCCTTCAAAGGGACGCTTTAGGGACACTTTTGTGTCTTGTTCTAGAAGGTTCTGTAGATATATTTCTTCATGTATTAATCTATACAGATAAATAAAATTGAAATGTCTGTAATGTTAAAGTAACAGCGTTTTACTAAATGTATATGAATTTATATACGATACTTATTGTAGGGGACGCGACCTACCACTAAATGCTTGATAAATTAAGTGCAGTTTGAGATCGTTGAACAGTTTACTGATTTAATTATATGCAATACTAATGATTGATACTAATTAATGATGTTAATAAATGATAATGAAAGCAGCCGGTTTGATTGCTGTCTGAACACGCACTGCTTTTTTTAGGCGTGTTTCGATGTATTTATAACACACCTACTAAGCCTTATTACTTAGGTGTTCGGTACAAACCTTTGGACCGAACACTTACATAAGAAAAACCACTTTTTTTTTAATTTTTGTCTTTCTGTTTGTTCCGTTTAATCTCTGAAACGGCTGGGCTGATTTCGCCGGGACTTTCAGTGGAAGATAGCTGATGTCATAGGGAGTAACGTAGGCTACTTTTGTTTTGGAAAAATAATTAGGGTTCCGCTCAAAAAAAAAAAAAATGAAAGCGTACCTAGGTCGGAATGAGTAGTGTGTGGCGTGTGCAGGTGCTGGTGTCGACGGCGACGCTGGCGTGGGGCGTGAACCTGCCGGCGCACACGGTGGTGGTGAAGGGCACGCAGGTGTACGCGCCCGAGCGCGGGCGCTGGGCGGAGCTGGGCGCGCTCGACGTGCTGCAGATGCTGGGCCGCGCCGGCCGCCCGCAGTACGACACCAAGGGGGAGGGTACGTACCTCTCCGATGCATCGACATATTATATTCTATTAAGTCATTTCATATAAATAGTGCAAAGACCAATGTGGGTCGAAATAGACTTACCTCAGAATCCACTCCATATGATGAATCGACTAATAATGTTAAATTTCATTTAGACGACACGTTTGGCTCGGTTTGTAGTGACCCTACTTGCTGTTCCAGCGGTCGCGGGATCGAGTCCCGCATTCATTTGTGTGATGAACACGAATGTTTGTACTCCAGTCATGGGTGTTTATATTTATAATACGTATGTATTGTATCAACTATCTGGTATCCATAACACAAGCCTCGTAGCTTACCATGGAACTAGATGGTGCTGTGTGTTCATATTCCAACATTTATTTTTGATATCTTTTCAAATTCATGGGAATGACTCCCGTGACCATGCTTACTGTAAAGCATTTGAAACATCTGTAACAAATATGTAAAATAAAAACATGACAATACCTGTAAAGATTCCTTTAAAATGTCAAACATTCGCGTAAATTTGAACAATGTCATATTTTCTATACATGTAATAAAATCATAACTAAGCCGAATCTGTACATTAAATATTTTTTCAAATATCTTATTGAAATGAATATTATTATCGATACAAAGGCCGAATCCATAGTTTTTAGAATTTTTGTCTGTCTGTTAGCGAGTCACGAGAAAACTACTCGACAGATTTTGATGAAATTTGGTATGGTGATAGCTGGTTATCCGTGTCAACATATAGAATACTTTTTACTGCGGGAAAATATCTCATTTCTGAGAAATCTATACTAAATGTTAAAACGCAGTTTTTAATAAACGCAGTTTTTAAATGAAATGATTTTACCTAATGTGTGTAAAAAACCCGAATGGTGTAAAATAAGCACTGTAACAATGTTCTATAACTTTCAGGTATCCTCATAACGAACCACTCCGAGCTGCAGTACTACCTCTCCCTCCTCAACCAGCAACTGCCCATAGAGTCCCAGCTCATTAGCAAGCTGCCGGACACTCTCAATGCGGAGATAGTCCTGGGTTCAGTGCAGAGTGTACGCGATGCTGTCACTTGGTTGGGTAAGTTGATAGAAAGTTAAGTGATGTTTTGTCATCTGTTGTGATTTGGATGGGTGACCGTTTTAATAATTGTATATGTACGGTTAAATTAGGTTTGCAATGATTTCCCGGGGGAGAAGCCAACTCCTACCGGGCGCGTCCCCAGGTGGCGGATAGGGGAATGCCACCCGCTTAGGGCGGCGGGTGGTACCGGAGAAATCCGGCGCGGACCAAATGGCTTGGGTGGGGCCGCTCGTCTAGGACTCGAGCCGAAGACGTTGCGGCCACCGGTGGTGGGACCGCTTGGTCCCACATCCGGATGATGGGTGCCGGTTGCGGGACTGTGGTCGCAGGCCCGCATCCGGCGGAGGAGTAGGCCGCGGCGGGAGAGGAGTGCCGGTATTTCGGTGCGCCGTTCTCCCTACCTTCCGCGGCCTAGACGGGGCCGCCACCGTTTGATGGCGGACGCGGTGGGGCTGCAGGGGAAGAGGAGTGTCGGTGTTTCGTTGCCGCTCTCCCTGTCCTCTGCAGCCGATTGGAGGTGGCCCACTTCGGTGGGCGGTGGTCAGGTTTAATGGGGCTGCTCCGGGTACCTCTCTGGCGTAGCAGAGTTGACTGTGGAGCAGCCCCATTGGTTTGGTGGTCTGCCTAGCGCTTAGGCGGACCTGCCGCCGGGGCGCCGTAGTAGTTATGCGCAAGCGATCCTGCGGCGTCCCATTAAGGCGGAGGGGAGGGGAATGTCGGGTTTTAGTGGGTAGTACCGGCTCTTCTAGCCGGTGAGCCCCACATCACCACCTGGGGGATCAGGTGGTATGCGTAAATGCATTTCCCGACATAAAAAAAAAAAAAAAAAAAAAGGTTTGCAATGATTTTTTTTTTATATTTGTTGTACATATTAAAGAAACAGAGGCTTAGTTCGTATATCTGTAATTTTTTAAATTTTTTTAAATAGGGTATTTTTATTGTAGTTGAATCCAAATGTAGAATTATAAATATTTTTTTTTAATGTTTAATGTTATATATACATATTTAAAAACCTAAAAAATTTTATAAAAATCAATATTATATCCAAAAATACAACGTGAGCTCTATATTCTTAGATGTTTATCTAGATGAATAAAATAATAAACACACTTACATATATAAATGTATACATATCTAATTCACAGGTTATACATATCTGTACATAAGGATGCTGCGTCAGCCAGCACTGTATGGAATTTCCCCGGAGAAGTTACAAGAGGACCCACTTTTGGAGCTGCATAGAGCTGATCTCGTCCATACTGCCGCGTGTTTGTTGGATAAGTAAGATAAAATTATCTTTATTTTTAAATATATAATTCGTATTTATTTTAGTAATAGCCTCATAAAAAATCCGATGTTTTTTTTTATTCAAGAAAAATTAAAGCTTAGGATCCGCCATTGTTATTTTTAATGATAAGACGAATCTAACGACGTATGAATTGTCAAATTCAGATAAGCCGTTTAGTAATTACGATAGAACATACAAATATACATACAGATCAAACACATGACCCTCCTTCGGGCTTCGTCGCAGTCGGATAAAACATAGTGTATAATACAATCCTCTAACAAACTCAGGGCGGGGCTCATCAAGTACGAGCGCAAGTCGGGGCACTTCCAGGCCACGGAGCTGGGCCGCATCGCGTCGCACTACTACTGCACGCACGAGACCATGCAGACCTACAACCAGCTGCTGAAGCCCACGCTGGCCGAGATCGAGCTGTTCCGCGTGTTCAGCCTCTCCTCCGAGTTCAAGCACATTGCCGTGCGCGACGAGGAGAAGCTGGAGCTGCACAAGCTCATGGAGAGGGTTGGTTTTGTTATGGCTTTGTTGGTGTCCTACGGGACGTTTAGGGTTCCGTATCTAAATAGGAGAAAAGGAACCTTTATGCGGTCACTTTGTTTGTCTGTCTCTCAGTCGAGATACTTTTTTTCAGAAACGCGTGGAGAGACACACACATGGATATTAGAAAACTATGTATTACATATAACAGTTTTATTATAGCCCTGTATTATTTAGGTTGTACTTACATATTATTTTTAGGGTTCCATACTCAAATAAAAAAGGAACCATTTAAGGATCACTTTATTGTTTGTCTGTCTGTCAAAATTCTTTTTCTGTGGAACGCGTGTAGGTATCAAATATGATGAAATTAATATTGATATAAGTCAATTTGTAGTTACATGACAAAAAAAATTCTTTTGCGATTAACTAACGAACGATTAACTAATTTTAATGTTTGATGCTACGGAACCCTCAGTGTACCCTAAGTCACACTCGCATATGTGCCATATTTTTTCTTGTAAATAATGAATGTCAAATTTGAAATTCATTTTGAATAATCTATAAAATAACTATTCCATTTTTACGTATTTTTATTTTTCATTTTTTTTTAGAATATAATATACAGTTGATTCTCCGCACAAACTTTCTTCCCCATTTTCATCCTCTTAAGGGATGTTTTCCGGAATAAAAAATATCCTACGTCCTTCCCAGGGTCTTAAACTATCATCTTACTAAATTTTATCTAAATCGGTCCAGTAGTTTTTTAGTGTATTCGTTGCAAACATACAAAAATACAAATCTTTCCTCTTTATAATAGTAGTGTACATGGAGACTATATATATATACTATACACTATCTATATACATATAATAAAATTGTAACGAAGCCGAATCTGTACATTAAATATTTTTAGGAAAATCTTATTGAAATAGACATTATTATCGATACAGAGGCCGAATCTATAGTTTTTAGAATTTTTGTCTGTCTGTCTGTCTGTTACCGCATCACAGAAACACCACTGGAGGGATTTTGATGAAATTTGGTATGTTGATAGTTGTTTATCCGGGTCAACATATAGGATTCTTTTTATCGCGAGAAAATATCTCATTTCTGAGAAAAAATACAAAAACTGCATTGTAAGAGTATACTAATATGTAAAACCTAAGAATTTGGTTTTTGGTCATCTGACCGCGGGCGGAGCCGCGGGCAGTGCTAGTACAGTAATAAAATTGATCTTACATTAACCAAACCCTAAACCTCTCACCAGGTGCCGATCCCAATAAAGGAGAGCATAGAGGAGCCCTCCGCGAAGATCAACGTGCTGCTGCAGGCGTACATCTCGCAGCTGAAGCTGGAGGGGTTCGCGCTGATGGCCGACATGGTGTACGTCACGCAGTCCGCCTGCCGGCTGCTCAGGGCTATATTCGAGATTGTTCTGCACAGGGGTGAGTTTGTATTATAGTCCATTCGCGTTAAGAAAATATTGGGTCATCAAGTGCAGCGGCAGGCAAAGAAAGGTGTATACAAAGTGAGAGTAAAAATTTAATTTAAATATATTTCATTGTATTCAAATATTCAATTAATATAATAAAATTGTAACTAAGCCGAATCTGTACATTAAATATTTTTTGGAAAATATTATTGAAATAGACATTATTATCGATACAGAGGCCGAATCTATAGTTTTTAGAATTTTTATCTGTCAGTCTGTTATCGCATCACAGAAAAGCCACTGAAGGGATTATGATGAAATTTGCTATGGTGATAGCTAGTTATCCGGGTCAAAATATAGGACACTTTTTACCGCGGGGAAATGTCTCATTACTGAGAAATAATACAAAAACTGAAATGTAAGAGTATTATAATATGTAAAACCTAAGAATTTGATTTTTGGTCATCTGAACAGTTTCATACAAACTTTCATCCCCTATATCCCCTTTATATGATATATCCCCTTATAGGATGAATTACGATAATGCTAAAACACGTATTTATTTAATTTTATTGAAGAGCATTAATACCAAGTTTCAAGTAATTCTGATCATAAATATTTTTTTGGATTGTATTAAAACGTGTTATCCCGTGGGAATTAGATGATCTCCCGCGGTAAAAAGAAGCCTATGTCACTCTCCAGCCCTCCAACTATCTCCACACAAAAAATCACACCAATTCGTCACTCCGTTTTGACGTGAAAGAAGGACAAACAAACAAACACACACATTTATAATAATAAATTAAGTATGGATGTTGATTTCTCACAGGCTGGGCTCAGCTAGTGGACAAAACGCTGGCGCTGTGCAAGATGGTGGACCGCCGCATGTGGCAGTCCATGTCGCCGTTGAGGCAGTTCAGAAAAATGCCGGAAGAGGTAATTTTGATTCATTTATTATTTTATTATTACAAAATATTTTTTGTAAAACGTTTGTATGCTTTTGTTTTTTTCTAGTTTGTGATTTTTGTTTACGTTGGTACTAAATTGTAACGCAATATTCAAAATGGTGAACTATTACGTGCGAAGTTTAAAAAAACTGACAATATATTGAAATAACAATCAAATTTTGAAGTCGACACGTTTGGCTCAGTTTGTAGTAACCCTACTTGCTGTGCCAGCGGTCGCGGGTTCGAGTCCCGCTGGGGGCGTTCATTTGTGAGATGAGCACGAATGTTTGCACTCCAGTCATGGGTGTTTATATTTATAATATGTATGTTTTTAAAGTTATATATGTGTACTAAATTTTAACGCTGTGTCCAAAATAGTAAAGTTGAAGACCACTTGATATTATATTGAAATAACAGTCAAATCAAAATATAATTTATTTATATAGACATTTTTAATTGTAAATTTTTATGTTGCATTTTTAAATTAAATGTCTATAATATATAGCTCGGAGTTAGTGATGAAGCTCGAAGTTTCGGTTATGGCAGTTTTGTTAAGAAGAACTCAAGAGGACCTCAACTGTTGCTCTATTGAAAAAATTTTGTACTTATTATAAGTGATGATTTTTCTGTTATCTAAATTGAATGTATATTTTTGTATGTGAATGTTGAAAGTTAATATATTTTTTTCCTCCACAGGTAATAAAGAAGCTGGAAAAGAAGAACTTCCCGTGGGAGAAGCTGTACGAGCTGGGGCCCAACGAGATCGGCGAGCTGGTGAGGGCCCCGAAGCTGGGCAAGATGATCCACAAGTACGTGCACCAGTTCCCCAAGCTGGAGCTCAGCACGCACATCCAGCCCGTCACGCGCTCCACGCTCCGCGTCGAGCTCACCATCACGCCCGACTTCCAGTGGGATGAGAAGGTGACGAATGATATCATTTTCTTAGATTTACGCGCACATTTGATATTTTTTAAAATAAAACTATCCTTTCGGATTTATTTTGATTTTTGGTTCGCGAAATTTTGAATGATATATAATGACCTTGGAGATGTCTAAATTATAATAATTTATTAAATAAATAATTTGTTAGTAATAATTTTTCATTTTCGTTTTTTTTTTCAACATGAAGTTGTTTTTTTATTATTACACCAAAACAGTGATTTAATCTTATATAATATAATAAATAAATTTAGTTACTAATATCAATATATATGCGGAACTGTATTTGTTTGTCACATCGCACCTCAAAACCTAAGTGATGATGGAATTAATTTTTTTTTGTATTCCAGGTCCACGGCCAATCAGAAGCCTTTTGGATTCTAGTGGAAGATGTCGACTCAGAGGTGATCCTCCACCACGAGTACTTCTTGCTGAAGCAGAAGTACTGCAGAGACGAGCACCATGTGAAGCTGTTCGTGCCGGTCTTCGAACCGCTGCCTCCTCAGTACTTCTTGAGAGTGGTCTCTGATAGGTGAGATAATATATACTATCTATACTTAATATTATAAATGTGAAAGTAACTCTGTTTGTCTATAACCTTTCCACGTTAAATCCGCTGAATCGATTTAGATGAAGTTTTTATCCCAAAAATCGTCCCAGGTGATGAAAAAGGGTACGGAAGTTGGTATCAATCATTTCTCAAATAAGGGATGTAAAACTCATCATACCCATATACTATTGTACATAGTCTATCTTTTCATTCCCTTTAGGGATAATTTCTAGGATAAAAACTATCATAAATTCTTTCCATGGTCTCAAACTATCTCGATACTTAATGTCATCTAAATCGATTCAGCAGATTAAGCGTGAAAAAGGAACGTATTAATAACTAGCGAGAACTTGCTTCCAAATACAAACTTTCATCCCCATTTTCACTCCCTTAAGGGATGATTTCCGGGATAAAAGTGTCCTATGTCCTAAATAAATATCCCAGGATCTCAAACTATCTTATTGCTAAATTTCATCTAAATCGGTTCAGTAGATTCCGTGATTTACCCCCTACAATCTCACAAACTCACAAAATTTACCTCTTTATAATATTAGTATAGATAATAGTCCGATAATATTTCGTAATATATCACAGATGGATAGCAGCAGAGACCCAGCTGCCGGTCTCGTTCAGACACCTGATCCTGCCGGAGAAGAACTTGCCGCCCACGGAACTCCTCGACCTCCAGCCCCTGCCAATATCGGCGCTGCGGAACGCCAAATACGAGGAGCTGTACGCCGATGTGTTCCCTCAGTTCAATCCAGTGCAGACGCAGGTGGGGTTTTGTTGTTTATCTTTATCACTACATAGTGCTGCTAAAATCTTTAAAACTACGCAACGGATTTTGATGCGGTTTTATTAATAGATAGAGTGATTTAAGAGGAAGGTTAAAGTATATAATTTCTTAAGTTTTTGTATACATTGGCTAAAATATAACGATATTTGTTGGAGGTGTCGGAAAAAATAAGACGTCTGGGACTTTCAACGAAAACGCTGCCTGAACCCTTTGAGATGTAACAAAATAATGTATGGTGGAATTGTGTATCTTATATAGGTCTACAGAAAAGTTGGCGATGGCATATGTCTATCTCTTAAGGATAACATACTATATACATTTTAATTTAAAACGTATCTAGGGACAAACCCGAGCGAAGCGAGGGTGAGTCGCTAGTATAAAATAAATAAATAATTCAGAAAGTACAGTGCATTGTAAATATTATAATTATAAATAGTTAATAAATTTTAAATATTGGCGAAGGTCTCCTCCAACTTTTGCCATTGAGACCTTTCCAGAGCCACTCTTGTCCAGCAAGAACCTAGTGTACCACGCAAGTCGTTCTCCCACCTTCTTTTTAGACGACCTCTTCTACGCTTACCGTCTCTGGGGTACCAGAGCGTCGCTCTTTTACTTGTTTATCTTTATGTATTATATATAATACTAGCACTGCCCGCGGCTCCGCCCGCGTTCAGATGACCAAAAACGGAATTCATAAATTTTACATGTTAGTATACTCTTACATTGCAGTTTATAAGGCAAAAGTATAAGGCTACCTTTTTTTTCTTAGATTTACGCGAATACTTGACATTTTAAATAAAATTATCTTTTCTGATTTTTTCGCGAATGGTCACGGGAGAGTCTCTCCCATGGATGCAGTAAAGCATTCGAAACGTCGGGAACCAAAAATCAAAATAAATTCGCGAAAAAATCCGAAAAGATAGTTTTATTTAAAGCGTACCTTTTTATTTCATATTAGCGAACCTTAACCTCATTTTGCTTGGGTGCGTCCCCTAGGTACGTTTTAATTTTTTTTTGAGCAGTACCCAAATTCTTTTTCTAAAATAAAAGTAGCCTAAGTTACTCTTTATAATATCATCTATCTGCCAGTGAAAGTCCCGTCAAAATCAGTCCAGTCGTTTCTGAGATTAGCCAGAACAAACGGACAGATAAAAAAATCTAAAATTGTGTTTTTTTTTCATATAATTGACTGCAGATAGAAGTGAAAACTTAAAACTACATATAAACAAACAGTTGTTATTTTCGGATATTCAAATTGTTTGATATTAAATTAAAATTTGTAAATTAAAACTGTTAACATTTATCCGGTTTCGACATCTACCGGCACTCTCGAGTGTTAGCGTTAACACGTCACGTGACCATGTCGATGACGACTCGCATGAATTTACTCCCCATCCAAACCTGCCTTTAGAAATTTTCACTTTAAAAAGAAATAAGTACCAATCCTGTGTGTTAATATGTATATATATCGTTGGCAGGTGTTCAACGCGGTGTACAACTCGGACGACAACGTGTTCGTGGGCGCGCCGGCGGGCTCGGGCAAGTCCGTGGTGGCGGAGCTGGCGCTGCTGCGGCTGCTGGCCACCGCCGGCGCCGCCGCGCGCGCCGTGTACGTGCTGCCCAAGGACGCGCTGGCCGACATCGTCTTCGCCGACTGGTACCATAAGTTTGGCACCAGGTTCAATTTGAAGGTACCTCGCTCTTGTTGGTCTACACTCTATATGAGGTCCCGGATTTGAGTCTGATGTTGCTCTTCCCGTCTGTGTGCTAAAGTTTTGTTGATCGAGCAAATGTCACGGCCCTCGCAAATTTTCTAAAGATATGTAAAGTCCGCCAACCCGCACTTGTCCAGCGCGGTGGACTATGGTCTGATCCTCCTCGTACTAAAGGGAGGCCCACCCCCAGCAGTGGGACTTTAAAAAGGCTGAATACGCGACCGCTGACACAGCATGTAGCGTCACTACAATCTGAGCCAAACGTGTCGTGTGTATATAAATATATCTATAAATAATAAACCTTACACCATCAGGTCGTGCAACTGACCGGTGAGACGGCAACAGACCACAAGCTTCTGAACAAGGGGCAGATCATCATCACGACGGCGGAGAAGTGGGATGTTCTTTCTAGAAGGTTAGTACGGATTGGATAGGAGAAAAGTGTGAGAGAGAAATGGAAGTTGTAAACATGTATGGGAAGGAAAGAGATGGAATGATTTGTAAATAATGAATTTTTGATTCTTTCTATGAAGTATTTTGTTTGTATATATGTAAAATACGTGAAATTTAAATATCAAATATAAAAAGTTATGGTGCTATTGAAAATAATACATAATTTTTAGGTTAATATTATTATAAAGTAGCGACTTTACCTCGCTTCGCTTGGGAGCGTTCCGTTGGTTTGATGTTTTAATTTTTGTTGAATGAAACCTAAATTCTTTTTTCTCGATAAAAGTAGCCTTTGTTACTCCTTATAACATCAGCTATCTGCCAGTGAAAATTCTGTTAAAATCAGTCCAGCAGTTTCAGAGATTAGCCAGAACAGACAGACATGAAAATTTTAAAAATTGTTTTTTTCCTTATAAATACCGTATATAATTTTATATGCATTCAGTAAAAGCTCTATTATTATTTTGACATTACAAACAGACACTTAAATTTTATTTATCTGTATAGTTTTTTTTAATGATACCCCTACTGAATACTCATATTTGGCACATGGCCCGTCGTCAGATGGAAGGTGCGCAAGAGCGTGCAGAGCGTGTCGCTGTTCATCGTGGACGCGCTGCAGCTGCTGGGCGGCGAGGAGGGGCCCGTGCTCGAGGTGGTGTGCTCGCGCATGCGCTACATCGCCTCGCAGATCGGTAGGTACACACACACGCACGCACACGCGCACGTACAGTCAAATGCATATATGCTGCTATATTTATTTTTATGTACCACAAAAAAAAACGTGTGTGTGCACTTATGTACGCACGTAAGCAGTTCAGAACAAAAATAGCTAAAGATTTCATCCCGTATGTCACAATTCTCTGTTTGTAAAAGACATGCAGCTAACTTCGTCGTGTCGCTTTTTGACTGTCGATGTGCGCGCGCATCGTTAATATTTTACTCTAATATATTTTTTCAAACGTCCCAAAAGAAAGAAAGAAAGAAAGAAATAAATAAATAAAATAAAAATATATTACATACTATAATATATTATATACAAAGAGTAAAAAATAATATTCTATCTCTTTCTAATTAGCTGGTTTCTTACATCTATCACATATACTCTAAAGGACGAACCTTCTTCGCGCTAGTTATAAATACGCAGGCATATTTGAAAACAAATTAGCAAATGTAGTAGTTTTTGAAGATAGCAATGATATATATATATATATATATATATATATAATATATATATATATATATATATATATATATATATATATCAATTTTTAAACATTAACAACGGTCACCATAGCAACTTAATGCAAGCGTCTCGGGCATAACGGGTTTTTTTGTATCGATTTCTGACACGTCCTTGAAGTTTTACTTCAATACATGACATATTATATATAATGACTAGCATTGCCCGCGGCTCCGCCCGCGTTCAGATGACCAAAATCCAAATTCAAAATCCAAATTCTTAGGTTTTACATATTAGTATACTTTTACATTGCAGTTTTTGTATTTTTTCTCAGAAATGAGACATTTTCCCGCTGTAAAACGTATTCTATATGTTGACCCGGATAACCAGCTATCACTATACCAAATTTCATCAAAATCCCTCTAGTGATTTTTTCTGTGATGCGGTAACAGACAGACAGACACAAAAATTCTAAAAACTATAGATTCGGCATCTGTATCGATAATAGAGGTTCTATCTAGAAGAATTGAAATAGAGGTTCTGTTTCAATAAGATTTTCCAAAAAATATTTAATGTACGGATTCGGCTTAGTTACAATTTTATTATATGTATAGATAGATACATATACAGTCGTATATATCGAACCTAGGACTATCTGCTATTACCATACCAACCCACGACACGAACAAGACAGTATCCAGTGTGTGTAACCCCCGCAGGGCGCCCCATCCGCATAGTGGCGCTGTCGCTGCCGCTGGCGGACGCGCGCGACGTGTGGCAGTGGCTCGGCTGCAACGCCAACTGCGCCTTCAACTTCCACCCGAGCGTGCGCCCCCTGCCGCTGGAGCTCCACGTGCAGGTGACGGCAGAACTACTACATACACAATCTCCGACAAAAAACGTCCTCACCGAATGAGCGCTCGTTAAAATAACTTTATATATTGCATTTGAGGTTCAATTTACATTGTTGTATATTTATTTCAACTAGAATAATTACGTAAACACAATCGGTGACAGTTTTAAGAGAACTTTTGCATTGGATTGTGTATCTAGTACTTTTATGATTGATGTTTCCTATGAACCTGTCTGAGATTGAGAAATGGTATTGGGTACATTTTAAGGGTCCCATAGCTTTGTGGTTATAATTAAACTTTTATGGCTTTATCACGTCTGTATGTCTATGTTAGAGGCGTTTTATTTGAAGGCTTTTATAGTTCGAATAATTTTTATTTTATTTTTAATGAACGCTAGCTATTTCGTGTGAGTTAGATAGGGCAAAACAAAATAGAGGCACAGATGTTTTTTAAATTGTCTATTTTAACCTATTTCAAGGAGAAGAGGAAAAATTTAGGATTTAGCATAAAAAAATTAAATTGGATTTACATAATTCTTGAGATTAATACGGTCACAACAAACAAACAAATAAATTCTGCCTCTTTATAATATTAGTATAGATAATATTTTTTTATCGTCTAATAATAATAATAATTCGATGTATCATTTTGTATATATATATATATATAATACGTCTTTGTTATTCGCGCCTCTTTATATCTCAGTACCAATATTTCTTTTCGTGCGTACAATAAAGAGTGATCGATCGATATCGTGACTCGGGCAGGGCTTCAACATCTCGCACGCGGCGTCGCGGCTGGCGGCCATGACGAAGCCCATCTACAGCGCGGTGGTGCGGCACGCGGGCGCGCGCCCCGCCGCCGTGTTCGTGCCGTCGCGCCGCCACGCGCGCCTGCTGGCCGCCGACCTGCTGGCGCTGGCCGCCGCCGCCGGCGCGCCCGCCCGCTTCCTGCGCGCCAAGCCGGACCACGTGCGCCCCTTCCTCGACAAGATACAGGACAAGGTGCGTCCTGTAGCTCCTTCGAACTTCTTTTAACTTTCCTTCCTGTGGTTACTTCGAAGAGTAACGGGAATTTGGGAAATATTCGCTCGGGTTCGTCCCTAGCTTAATTATATAACTTAAATATAGCTTAAATATATAACGTATATAAACTTTCATCCCTTGTTTTCACCCCATTAAGGAATGATTTCCGTGATAAAAAGTATCCTATATCTTTCCCAGAGTCTCAAACTATCTTCTTACAAAATTTCATGTAAATCGAATTATGTGTGGTGTGTGTGTGTGTGTGTGGCAGATGCTCCGCGAGACGCTGTCGCTGGGCGTGGCGTACCTGCACTCGGGCGTGGCGAGCGGCGACCGGCGCGCGGCGCAGCAGCTGCTGGAGTCGGGCGCGGCGCAGCTGTGCGTGGTGGCCGCCGAGCTGGCCTTCGCCTTCGCCGCGCACGTGCACACCGTCATCGTCGCCGACACACACGTGTCAGTATACTGCTCTGTGCTGCGCTACTCTGTGCTATGCGTTACACTGTACTGCACTACTCAGTGACTGGTGCAGTACCCTGTGCTGCACTACTCTTCGACTGTGTCATTACACTATGCTGCACTACTCTGTGACTGTGGTGCAGTACACTGTGCTGCACTACTCTGTGACTGTGTGCCATTACCCTGTGCTGCACTACTCTTCGACTGTGTCATTACACTATGCTGCACTACTCTGTGACTGTGGTGCAGTACACTGTGCTGCACTACTCTGTGACTGTGTGCCATTACCCTGTGCTGCACTACTCTTCGACTGTGTCATTACACTATGCTGCACTACTCTGTGACTGTGGTGCAGTACACTGTGCTGCACTACTCGGTGACTGTGTGCCATTACCCTGTGCTGCACTACTCTTTGACTGTGTCATTACACTGTACTGCACAACTCTGTAACTGTGTTGCATTACACTGTGTTGCAGTACTCTGTAACTGTGTTGTATTACACTGTGCTGCACTACTCTGTCCCTGACTTCTACGCTATATTTTTGTCTTTTTTTAAATTAGTGTTTTAAATGAAAAATAACTAATTAAGAAACAAAGAAATCAGAAAAAATATTTTAAAAATCGGTACATAAACGTGTTAAAACATAAATCAGTGTAGATATATGTATGTGTACCTGTGTGGTATGGTGCAGGTACAACGGCAAGCTGCACAGCTACGAGCAGTACCCGATCACGACGGTGCAGCAGATGCTGGGGCGCGCGTGCCGCCCGCTGCAGGACGAGCACGCCGTGGCCGTGCTCATGTGCGCGCAGCACCACAAGACCTTCTTCACCAAGCTGCTTAACGACTGTCTGCCGCTCGAGGTGTGTCACACACACACACACACACACACACACACGCACACACACACGCACACGTATACTATATAGGTGGCCCAAAAAAAATTGTTTTTTGCGAGTATCTTACGAAAATATGTTAGTTTATCGTGTTTTAAGAGTCCCCTCCAAAGAGCAGTTAATTTTTGTTTTAAGTGGTCGTTCAAAATTTTTTTTTTTTTTCCAGTGTCGTTCTAAAAACTTCTGAACATGAATAATATTCACGTTCAAAAGTTTATTAGTGAAAAATGGTCTCGCTTTTTTTGCATCTCTCTAGCTTTATTACTATCCTTTAGTACGTCAATTATAAAAATAAAAAATAAAAAAGTTGTTAATATTCATGTTCAAAAGTTGCTCGAAAAGGTCAAAGGTACTCTACTTGAAATTAAAAAAAATCTTGAGTGACCTTTGAATATTAATATATCGACTTGAAAATGTCAGAGTCCTAATTATTTTTATATTAGAAAATAGTGAAATAACGAGAAAAAATAAAAAGAAATCGGCTTTTAAAGATAGGCGAAATTTAAAACATTTTGAGTGAACTCTTAAATTTTTTTTCTAACTACCCTTTGAAAGGGCTCTTAAAACATGATAAACTAATATATTTTCGTACGAGACTCGAAAAAATTTTTTTTGTTGGGCCATCTTAATATACTCCCACATATGTATATACACAAGTATAAAATACAAGATATATGTAAGCTATCCAACCGCTAAAGTAGTTTTTATGTTAATTAAGAAGTAACACGCTACTCAAACACTCACTCAAAATCTTTTTAATATTATTTCGAGATGGAAAAAAGAATGAAAATGAATCAAGAGTGATAGAAGGAAAATAACTTACTAACTTCGGCTTACCTTCAAAATCACCAACCTATATCACGATAAAAATATAAACTAGCGACTGACACACCTTGCTTCGCTCGGGTTTGTCCCTAAGTTGCTTCCCCATACAATTTTTCACCCCCATTTTCACCACCTTAAAGGATGATTTCTGGCATAAAAATTATCCTATGACTTTCCCAGGGTCTCAAATTATCTTTGTACCAAATTTCAACTAAATCGGTTCTGTAGTTTCGGAACTTATTCGATACAAAGAAACAAAAAAATCTTTCCTCTTTATAATATTAGTATGTATAGATAAAATCAAAACGTTAATTTTAATAAATGCTTAAAAAAAATATAAATAATTAAAATAAATGGCCTAAATAAAATATTTTTTACCCATCTACAGAGTCACTTGGACCACCGTCTCCACGACCACATGAATGCAGAGATAGTGACCAAGACCATCGAGAACAAGCAGGATGCTGTGGACTATCTCACGTGGACCTTCCTCTACCGACGTCTGACACAGAACCCCAATTATTATAATCTGCAAGGCGTTACTCACAGGTATGGGGTATCTTTTCTCTTACTTCTTTATCTCTCTCTCTCTCCTGTTACAATCTCCCTCTCTATCTTCTCTTTTTTCTTCTCCCTTTCCCTTTTTTGTGTAATTTATTTATTCATTATTTTTGGTCGTAATTCATATGTATTTAGAAATATAGCCTGTATTTTTAAAAATAAAAATAAAACAATACGTCATCTCAGTGCTTATTTGTCCAAACGACCAATTTACCGAAAGAGTTTGTATTAGTATTAAATACACGTTTTACTTTAAAACGCCGAAAAGATGCATTTTATCTATTTATATATAAATTGATTTTGAAAATAAATAATTAATTTAAATCTTTGGTACGAATGATTTTTTTTCGACTGATCATCTTTGAAAACATTCAAAAATTGACGAATACAGTAATTTTCTACTCAACTTTCACTGTAAAGGAAAAAAAGTAACATGTTATTTTTTCATCAATTTTTATTAAATTGCAATAATGCAATATTACACGAGTTGGTATTACGAGGGCGCACCAGTAGATTTTTAACATCAATAACTCTCTACTGTAAAATACAACAAGTTAAAACAAATAAGCACTAAGGCGACTTAAAAATAAAAAAAATCAATCCTTTTATTTCGTGGCTTCCAGGGGTGACAGTTGGGCACAATTTACTTTGCCAATGTCACGTAGAATAAAAAATATATATTAAAGAGTGCGTGTATGAATGTGTACACGCGCAAGAAGTAAAACTTCTGTAGGTTATCGGTATTCTTTGTGAAATTCAATTTGTGTTTTAAATAATTAGGATAGGTGAGATACTAAAAATAACGCATATACATGTAACAATCATATATTTATAGAATTTATAGAATCATTTAAAGAAAGAATATAAAATTATATATCATTTGTCAGACAATAAAAACGGTTACCATGGCAACGAACGTTCGCCTCGCCCGATCACACTTTTCATAACGCTCTCGTCACGGATTCACCAGCTTACCCCCCAAGTCAAGCGTGCATAAAGAAGTTTTACTTTAAAACAATAATATGTTGTGAGTTTTTTTAATCTAAACACCTGTTCCAGACATCTGTCAGACCACCTGTCAGAGCTGGTGGAGACGACGCTGTCGGACCTGGAGCAGTCCAAGTGCATAGCCATAGAGGATGACATGGACGTGCAGCCCCTCAACTTGGGCATGATCGCCTCATACTACTACATCAACTATACTACTATTGGTGAGTGGTTTTATTTGCTTGTGTAATCATTTTTGACCGATTTTAAATGAAGGAGGGTTTGTAATTCGCACTTTTCTGTAATGTTTTTTTTTGCAGAATTATTCAGTTTATCATTGACATCAAAGACCAAGATCCGCGGTCTGCTGGAGATCATCTCGTCCGCTGCGGAGTACTCGGATCTCTGCATCAGGCATCGGGAGGAGAACATCATAAAGAATCTAGCAGCCAAGTGAGTGACTTACCATTACAATTATTGTCTAAGAATCCGAAAAGATACGTTTTATATAAAACTAGCAGAATCCGTGGATTCGTTCGCGCTTGAAACACAATTTAAAAAATATAGGTTTCATACAAACTTTCATCCCCTAATTTAGCCCTATTTATTTAATTGTATTGTAGGGTGTTAATATAAAGTTTCAAGTAATTCTGATCATAAATAATTTTTGGTTTATGTTATATTGTGTTTTCTTGTAATACAATCCTTGTAATACAATCATGGTGTGCCGCGCAGGGTGCCGCACAAGCCGACGTCGGCCAAGTTCAACGAGCCGCACGTGAAGGCGCACGTGCTGCTGCAGGCGCACCTGTCGCGCGCGCAGCTGCCCGCCGAGCTGCAGGCAGACACGCAGCTCGTGCTCACCAAGGTCTCTCGCTCGCTCGCTCACTCACTCACTCACTCACTCACTCACTCACTCACTCACTCACTCACTCACTCACACACACACACACACACACACACACACACACACACACACACACACACACACACACACACACACTGGCTCACCGAGTTTGGGAATCGGTTTTAGTCGTATTGATTTTAATCGGTTTTTGGGAATCGATTTCATTATAGTTTTAGTTGTATAGATTTTAATCGGGTTTTGGTAATCATATTTGATTTATTTAATTTGAAAAGAATCATATTTTTTTGGATTTCTTTTTCTTTTTTTTGGATATCTATTTTAACCTAGTATACGTATCGATTTGAAAGCTCGTGTCTTCACTTATTACACCTATTTAAGCGAATTTCGGGAATCGATTTAAATGTCAAATGGATTTTAAACTTTTTATTTGAAATATATATGATGTCGGAAGTTGTTTTTTTTTTATCAATTTAATTAATTTTATCTCTTTATTTTTTCTATCGATTATCCTGTGTGTGTATATATATATATATATATATATATATATATATATTATTTAACAACTGAACCCCCTCGTCCCCAGGCGATCCGGCTGATCCAGGCGTGCGTGGACGTGGTGTCGAGTAGCGGCTGGCTGTCGCCGGCCGTGGCGGCCATGGAGCTGGCGCAGATGGTGACGCAGGCCATGTGGGCCAAGGACTCGTACCTGCGCCAGCTGCCGCACTTTACGCCGGAACTGGTGCAGCGCTGCGCCGACAAGGTAATGCCACCGGGGCTTGATCAAACACGGTTTTAGGGTTCCGTTGTCAACGAAGTACCCTTAAAGTTTCGTCATGTCTGTCTGTCCGTTTAGCTCAGTGACTCTTAATACTAGAAAGCTGTTGGCTTGGATATACATATTAATCACGCCGACGATGTGGTAAAATAGAATGTTGATTTCCTAAATTAATAGCTACGGAACCCTACTATGCGCGTGACCCGACACACACTTGGCCAGTTTTTATTTGAAAGATCAAACATGACATATGATTTTGTACTAATTACAGTTAACAATAGACGACATCAAACGTTTCTTTACATTATAATTAACCATTAGCAAAGACTCGCCAAATATAAATAAATGTTAAAAAATTCTATTTGACCAGTTAATTTCTGTCATGAAACCTAAATTCGCCACAAACCGTTTTTTGGGTTTTAAAACCGGTTTAAAAAACGTAACCATAAATTTAAGCCGAAAAACCGGTTTAAAAATTGAAAGGATTACCAAACCCCAATGTGAACGAACACACATAATTGTATAGACAACGAAATTTGACGAAATTCTTTTTTACACCTATACTAAAATTAAAAATATTATTTTTTTTATTATTATATTAGAGATAATCTCTGGATCTACTGAACCAATTTAGATGAAATTTGGGTAAGAAGATAGTTTAAGATCCTGGGAAGGACATAGGGTATATTTATCCCGGAAATCATCCCTTAAAAGGGTAAAAATGGGTATGAAACTTTGTATGGGGGAATCGAGTAGTATCGCTAACACTGTACATAATCGTATGGCAATCCCAGGGCGTGGAGACGGTGTTCGACGTGATGGAGCTGGAGGACTCGGCGCGCGCCAAGCTGCTGCAGCTGTCGCCGGCGGAGATGGCGGACGTGGCCAGGTTCTGCAACCGGTACCCCAACGTGGAGCTCACTTATCAGGTGCATCTCTTTGTGTTCTTTTTAGTCGTATGGTCAATTAGCAATTAGGTTATTTTTTCATAATTTCATAGACTTTAATTTTTTATTGCGAAGAACCCTCATTCTTTTTCTAATATAATAGTATAGCCTAAGTTACTCCTTATAACATCAGCTATCTGCCAGTGAAAGTCCCGTCACAATCGGTCCAGCCGTTTTTAGATTAGGTGGAAGGGACAGACAAACAGGGAGACATATTTTTTTTTATTTATTAGATATTTCTTTTAATATCAATCAAAAAGTAATATGTATGTATGTATATATCAAAGGAATTCTTAATTTTAAATAAAAGTTATAAAATGTACGTATATATATGTATACCTACGAGTTACAAAAGGTATGTATGTATGGAAGATGACGAGAGATGTTTTAATTTTGTGTCAATAGATGGCGTTGATGGATGGGAAAAATAAACTTTTTGAAGTGAAACTTCTTTAGAATCGTTGTGATTTGAAACTCAATGAAATGTTAATGCGACAGTAAAAAGAGACAAACACATAAATATATAGGATTAAGCCGGCGAGAGAATGAGATAGAATACATTGCCATGTTGCCATGGTAACCGTTGTTTTTTGAGATAGAGGTTACACAGGAAGTGAAAAGTAATAAAATTAATTACTAAATAATATTTAATGTATATTTATGTCACATAAATGTAATATATATAATATATATTATAACATAAATAAACCTTACAATTTTCAGAAAATTGTAGTAGTAGTAGTCTATACTCATCTCATTCTCTCGTTGGTTTCTGATGTTTCACTTCTACCGTGTGTGACTTGCACACACACGCACTTTTTTTTTAATTAAAATCCATTTTGTTTTATTGAACACATCCTAATCTATACATTTTTAGATAAATATATTTTGCCATCTTTTGGATCAACGCCATCTATTGTCTAATTTGAGAAATATATGGCTCGAATTAGAGCCATCTTGCTTCTTTGTTTGGGATGGAACATCTATACTTATTTAATGTTATTTTATTATATAATATGACGACACGTTTGGCTCAGCTTGAAGTGACCCTACTTGCTGTGCCAGCGGTCGCGGGTTCGAGTCCCACTGGGGGCATTCATTTGTGTGATGAGCACGTATGTTTGTACTCCAGTCATGGGTGTTTATATTTATAATATGTATGTATTTAAAGTTATATATGTGTAGTGTATCAACTATCTGGTATCCATAACACAGGCCTCGTAGCTTATCATGGAACTAGATGGTACTGTGTGTTAATGTACCAACATATTTATTTATTTATTTATTATTAATCTGTAATTTTATTAACTTTAATGTATCTCGCAGGTGATGAACGAGCGCCGCCTGCGCGCCGGCAAGCCCATCGTGGTGGAGGTGTCCCTCGAGAGGGAGGACGAGATCGTGGGACCCGTCATCGCGCCATTTTTCCCGCAGGTAAAGTTATACATGCCCTTGTCTATGGATTTTAAAATGGAGAGAGTATTGTCTATGATTTTTTATTCAACTAAATATGTTGTTTTTTACTAGTAATATCTAGTTGTTTTTATCGACAATTTCAGGTTCCGTATCCATAAGACAAAAACGGAATTTATTATTCTGTCTGATTGTCTGTTTGTATGTCAGTAATTTCACTCGGAGACTGTTTTATATTTGTTACTCTTTCTGATATTGATAGTTTTGTTTGGATTTATTTTTCTAATCTTAGATCTAACAATTAGTATATAATAAATAATAATATTAATCCACAGAAACGCGAAGAAGGCTGGTGGGTGGTCATCGGAGACCCAAAAACCAACACACTCCTATCAATCAAGCGGGTTTCCCTAGGAAGGTCAGCCAAAGTCCGGCTGGATTTCGTCTGCGGGTCTCCTGGAAGGCACACCTACACCCTCTACTTCATGTCAGACGCATACCTCGGCGCTGATCAGGAGTACAAGTTCAACGTGGAAGTTGAAGAAGCTGCCTCCGAGTCAAGTGACTCGGACTGAAGTTTTGTATGTGCTAGTGTTATGTGGAGTGGTTTTCATATTGTCATGATGGTTTCTAAGTGGATATATTAGGTAAAATAATCTATACTAATATTATAAAGAGATTTTTTGTATATTTGTTTGTAATGAATAAACTAAAAAACTGCTGGATAAATTAAAAAAAATCTTTCACATATCCATTCATTCATCATTAGACATCTAACACCTCAGTCTCTCCCGTGACCATGATTGCTGTAAAGCTTTCGAAACGTCGGGAACCAAAAATCTAAATAAATCCTCGAAATAATACGAAAAGATACTTTTATTTAAAATGTCAAATATTCGCGTAAATCTAAGAAAGTTTTTGATATATTTACTTAGAAACTATCAGTTTTTTCTTTAGAAATGGACCATTATTAGAAATGCTTCATTCATTGTGTAATAAGAATATTTAATATTAAAATAAACAGTATGCTGTTTGTTCAAAGAATTTGATTTAGTTTTATTGTTTTATATCCTACCCTAATATTATAAACGCGAAAGCTTGTAAGAATGTATGTATATTTGTTACTCTTTCACCCAAAAACTACTGAATGGATTTTGATGAAACTTTAGAATAATATAGCTAATACATCAGAATAACACAGACTATTTTTTTATTCCGGAAAAATGTACGGTTCCCGTGGAATAGATTTGTTTTTGTTTTTCTAGTGGCGAAGCTGAGAGAAGCGAGGGTGAGCCGCTAGTATTTTATAGATAAATGTATTAACTTATAATAAAAAACGTGTGTGTGTACTGTATGTACGCACGTAAGAAGTTATACTTCTTTAGCGTAACGGAACAAAAATAGCTAAAGATTTCATCCCGTATGGCACAACTCTCTGTTTGTAAAAGTAATGCAGCTAACTTCATCATGTCGCATTTTGGCTGTCGGTGTGCGCGCGCATCGTAAAAATTTTAGTTACATTTTTTTCCAAAATCCCAAAAGGAGTATAACTTCATAAAACGTGTTAAAATAAATAATTATTGATACCAAGTTTAAAAATTATTTTACATTTTATTCACATAATATACATGCATACAAACTATACATACATAATAATAAAATTGTAACTAAGTTGAATCTGTACATTAGATATTTTTTTGAAAATTTTATTGAAATAAACATTATTATCGATGCAGAGGCCGAATCTATAGTTTTTAGAACTTTTGTCTGTCTGTCTGTTACCGTATCACAGTAAACCCACTAGAGGGATTTTGATGAAACTTGATATGATGATAGCTGGTTATCCGGGTCAACATATAGGATACTTTTTACCGCGGGAATATATCTCATCTCTGAGAAATCAATTATCAATAGACTCCAAATTTTAACAGAAGAAAATACAAAAAAACACTATAATGTACTCTATCTCATTCTTTCGCACGTTAAATATTGCTCTCAATATTATGCCGTCTCTAAAAATAAATATCGATAAATTAAAAATTTGTTCCGGTCTGCTTACATTCAATACAAACTCTTTGTGCGGAAATCGAAACAACTATAAAAAACAGCCATCAGGATGTAAAACCGGCATCTAACATTGATCCAAGTACAGAAATTTTAGTATAAATCTGTATAATGCTTGTGACTCGTCCATTACTAACAATTTTAAAGACTGATATTTACTTATAACGAGAGAGAAAATTGCTTCATTTTTTTTGTTGGTACATTAACACACGGCACCATCTAGTTCCATGGTAAGCTACGAGGCTTGTGTTATGGATACCGGATAGTTGATACACTACACATATATATAACTTTAAATATAAACAATATACATATTATAATTAAATTAAGTGTAATTGAATTCGTGTATTTGTTAGTTTATCGTTCTTTTCAGCAATAACTTAGCACCTAATTGGCGTGTTTTATATAAAAATTTTAGACGAGAAAGCGACATAGACTATTTCTCATCTCAAAAGACAAAAAGATTTCTATACGAAAAGTTACTTTAAATATCTAATAATAAAGACCAGTCTGAAAAAAACAATGGCGGACCACATAATATTTGACACAGAAAATCCACCCGCCGGATTCGAACCAACAATCAATGGCGGCTTAAACAAACCTCGTAACAAGCTATGATGCCTGATCGCTTAAATATTTATCTATACATATAATAAAATTGTAACTAAGTCGAATCTGTACATTAAATATTTTTTGGAAAATCTTATTGAAATAAACATTATCGATACAGAGGCCGAATCTATAGTTTTTAGAATTTTTGTCTGTCAGTCTGTCTGTTACCGCATCATGAGAAAACCACTGGACAGATTTTGATGAAATTTGATATGATTATAGCTGGTTATCCGGGTCAACATGTAGGATACTTTTTACCGCGGGAAAATATCTAATTTCTGAGAAAAAATACAAAAACTGCAATTTAAGAGTATACTAATATGTAAAGCCTAAGAATTTGGTTTTTGGTCATCTGAACGCGGGCGGAGCTGCGGGCAATGCTAGTTTTAATAATATTATTAGTTACCTTAGCCCGAGGACAATGAGACTGTACATTGTACACGTCGTAGGTCAGACGCGTTATCTGTCACGTAAATGCGGATAACGTCAATCCATCAGTGGATCCCGATAGAAACAAAGAAATAAGGAAATCTATATTAATACTAATAATATTATAAATGTGAAAGTGTGTTTGTTTGTTTGTCTTTCTTTCACGTTGAAACGGAGCGACGGATTGGCGTGATTTTTTGTGTGTAGATTATCTAATTCCCACGGGAATACACTTTATAATACAATCCAAAAGAGATTGTGGTTAGATTTACTTGAAACTTGGTATTATTGTTCTTCAATAAAATTAAATGTGTTTTATCATTTTTCAAAATTCATCCTATAAGGGGGTAGAATAGGGGATGAAAGTACCTTTTTAGAGTTTTTTTTTGTAGTTTAGAAGCCGCGGGTTCTGATAGTAAAAATATATATCTCTCAAGATTATAGCTGTGAGATAAATTTTGATGTATGAGTAATTTTGAAATGTTACTTTAAGTTGAGAAATTATTCAGGGTTAATGACCTTTTGAAGGTTTTTTTTTTAAGTGAAAACTTGTATAGGCTTGTTTGTTTGGATGTTTGTACATCGGGCGGCACACGGACTTATGAATTAAAATTATGAATTAGGCAACATAATGCATACTGTGGCAGAAAAGGTAATGAATTGCTCCTGCTTGCCTATACACGTCACAATTTAGGTGGCAATTTAGGATCATCCCACTTTTACACCCTAGATTGCCCTGCGGCAGGTGTGTGAGTAGCCCTCCCCCCCAACGTGCGTTCCCCTTGTCGTGGTGGGGGGGCTCAGTAGTGTACTCGCGAAGCCAAGAAACGCACAGGGAGGTGGCCCGCTTCGGTGGGCGGTGGGAGGCGGCCTTCTTCGGAGGGCGGTGTACCATGTGGGTTGCTCCTGGTACTTCTCTGATAGCAGAGTGGACCGTGGAGCGACCCCATGGTTGTTGTGGTCTGCTTCGGCAGACCTGCCGTCGGGGCGTCGTAGTTGAATGCGTGAGCGATCCTGCGACGCCCCATTAAGACGGGGGAAGGTTTTGTTGGGTTTTAGTGGGTAGTACTGGCTTCGCCGGTTCGCATTTCCCAACGTTAAAAAAAAAAAAAAGGTGTGAGTAGCCCGCTTTAGTAGCTGTGGGCGTTACTAGCTTTCTTATATTCAGGGTATATAGAGTCAATGAAAGTAAACAACACATTATATTATTATATTTTATTAATTATTAAGTTTTTTACTTTTTAAGGGTTGTTCCTTAAACTATAAGTATTTTTGCGTAGGGGATTTTTAAATTTTTTTAATTTATAATTATTATATGTAATACTTACCCATAGTATTATATGAGCTGTGGTAATACATAGGTACCTGCTACTTAATTTTACTTTTTAATTTCAATTTTATTAATAAACCTATACATATAATAAAATTCTAACTAAGTCGAATCTGTACATGTAATATTTTTTAGAAAATTTTATTGAAATAAACATTATTATCGATATAGAGGCCGAATCTATAGTTTTTAGTATCTTTGTCCGCCTGTCTGTCTGTTACCGCATCACAGAAAAACCACTGGAGGGATTTTGATGAAATTTGGTATGGTGACAGCTGGTTATCCGGGTCAACATATATGATACTTTTTATCGCTGGAAAATATCTCATTTCTGAGAAAAAATGCAAAAAGTGCAATGTAATAGTATACTAATCTGTAAAAACTAAGAATTTAGTTTTTGGTCATCTGAACGCGGGAGGAGCCGCGGCAATGCTAGTTTCTTATAAAAAAGGTGATAAGGTAAATAAAAGATATAAAACGGTGGTTATTAATTTTTATTTCAAAGTTGAAATTTCTACCCTTAACTAAATAGACTTAAAATACAATTTCCATTAAAAAAATCACATTCTAACAGCCTATTACAAATTTGAACTCAAAATCTTATTTGTATTCGAAAACGCTAAACATTTTCTTTTATAGGCATAAATTAAATTAATTTTTATTTCAATGAAAAAAATATAGATTCAAATATATTTTTTATTCATAATATTGATCATTTATACATAAAAACATTACATAATGAAGGATACCACTATAATATATTAATTACAATTTCTACTAAAATGGTAGATTTTTTATTAGATTATAGTAGAAATTGGTAGAATTTGTGATTTAGACGACTTTCTGTAGGTATTCGTCGAAGAGGTAGAGGGAGAGGGATAGATCCTTTCCGTCTTCCTTGGTGATGAACTGCTTGAGGTCGGTGGTGTATCCCGCGAGGTCTCGCACCAACTTGGCGTGGTCTTCGATGAACTCTTCCTCCAGATATTGTGCGATCTGTTGATGTAAAATTAAATTTAGTAATTAACTAGCGACTCACTCTCGCTCTGCTCGGGTTTGTCCCTACTTACGTTTTAAAGTTTAGTACAGATTTCTCAGAGATGAGATTTTTTCCCGCAGTAAAAAGTATCCTATATGTTGACCCGGATAACCAGCTATCAACATACCAAATTTCATCAAAATCTGTCCAGTAGTTTTCTCGTGATGCGGTAACAGACAGACAGACATAAAAATTCTAAAAAACTATAGATTCGGTCAATGTATCGATAATAATCACTATTTCAATATGATTTTCCAAAAAATATTTAATGTACAGATTCGACTTAGAATTTTATTATAAAACCTTTGTAAAACTGTTTAAGCATTCACTTTCAAGAAATTTACAAACATACAACCATAAAAATACCATTTACATACAAATACCATATTAAAACAAATATATAAAAATAATTCTCACCTCGGCATCATGAGTCTTATGGTTGTTCCTGGTCGCTTCCTGGTGAATGAAGAAAGCTCTTTCTGCCATCTCCTTCTCCACATCCAGGGCATGAGCGAGAGACTCCAGCTCTTGGAGCTCAATGGTACCGTTCTTACCGTCCACCTCCTGGGAGCTGCGTGCACGGAAGTCCATGGTACCACCTGTGAGATGGTGGAAGGATTCGGTTAAAAAAAACTTTATTTCTCATTATGAACAAGTCTTTTACATGAGAAACTTATAGCTAGACGAAATTATTGGATTTATTCAGTAGAACTGTAAACATTAGTAAGAGTATAACATATTTTTGTTTTATATAGAACATACTAGCATTGCCCGCGGCTCCGTCCGCGTTCAGAAGACTTAAAACCAAATTCTTAGGTTTTACATATTAGTATACTCTTACAATGCACTTTTTGTATTTTTAAAAAGTATCCTATATGTTGACTCGGATAACCAGCTACCATCATACCAAATTTCATCAAAATCCCTCCAGTGGTTTTTCCGTGATACAGTAACAGACAGACAGACAGGAATTTAAAAAACTATAGATTCGACCTCTTTATCGATAATAATGTCTATTTCAATAAGAAAATTACATACACCAATTAAATTTTCAGTTTACAAATTCTTCTCACCCTTCCTTCACTCGGGTTCTTGCCTAACGTGCATCCCAATACAAACTTTCATCCCCATTTTCACCTCCTTAAGGATTGTTTATCGGGATAAAAGTATCCTATGTCCTTCCCAGGGTCTCAAGCTATCTTCTTACCAAAATTCCATCTAAATCGGTTCTGTAGATCCAGAAATTACCCCCTACAACGTCACAAACTCACAAACCTTACCTCTTTATAATATTAGTATAGAAGTATAGATATAAACACCATGCGTATACTTAATTATTCTACTTCACTTACCTCTCATCGTGACATGTTTGATGAGATCAATGGTCTTCGCCCACGCATCATCAGACAGCTTCCTGAAGAGTTTGCTGAAGCCAGCGCGGTTTGTTTGGTAATTGTTGTAATAAGAAGCAGATAGAAGGTATTCGTATGATCTGCGCAGATGTAGATTGGCGTATGCCTGTAGTTCATTCGCCACGTTTCCTTGGCGGCCGAAGTTGCCATACACTGCATTACAACTCGGCAGGGCTGAGGGCAAAGTGTTTTTATATAGGTCATGGTTTTTTTTAAATGCATATATGACACTAGCGACTCACCCTTGCTTCGCTAGTGTTCGTTCGTAGGTACGTTTTAACTGTTAGTGTGAAATATAAATCTTTGAATTTCTCGGCTTTTCTGCACTATAATATGCATGTATTATACATACTAGCATTACCCGTGGCTTCGCCCGCGTTCAGATGACACAAAACCAAATTCTTAGGTTTTACATATTAGTATACTCTTACATTGCAGTTTTTGTATTTTTTCTCAGAAATGAGATATTTTCCCGCGGTAAAAAGTATCCTATATGTTGACCCGGATAACCAGCTATCATCATACCAAATTTCATCAAAATCTGTCCAGTGGTTTTCTCGTGATACGGTAACAGACAAACAGACAGAGAGACAGACAAAAAATCTAAAAACTATAGATTCGGACTCCGTATCGATAATAATGTCTATTTCAATTAGATTTTCCAAAAAATATTTAATGTACAGATTCCACTTAGTTACAATTTTATTATATGTATATATAAAGCTTCCACTCGAATCACTCTTTCTATTAAAAACCGCATCAAAATCCGTTGCGTAGTTATAAAGATCTAAACATACATAGGGACAGACAGACAGACAGCGGGAAGCGACTTGGTTTTATACTATGTAGTGATGCATGGAACAGCATTGTAAGTTAGTATTGTAATTTTGAATTTGGACCTTATTATGTTTAGACTTATGACCTGATATTGCTTGCATTCATTTTTGAACTGTGGGATGTCGAAAGGAGTTGAATTAAACTATTTAAATACATTGCAAATTAACTTATATCATATTAAATAATATTTTCAAAGACAAAAATATAAAAAAATGTTAACAACGTGTTAAACTAAGTAATTATCGCAATTATTAAAATACAACAAACAAACAAACAAATAAACAAACTCGTTGACGCTTTAATAATTGTAGTTATGTTGTAATTTCATCGTATCTTTTGCATAGATCATAAATTTGGTTTACGTTTTTTTTTAAATTTAAATATGACACCTGCATGAAACTGCATTGCAACTTATAATTGCATCAATTTTGAATTTGTAATACATTTATGTAAAACTAACGACATTTTTTTTAACATTTTCCCGCAGTAAAAAGTATCTTATATGGTGACCTGGATAACTAGCTACCATCATACCAAATCTCATCAAAATCCCTCCAGCGGTTTTTCTGTGATGCGGTAACAGACAGACAGACAAAAATTCTAAAAACTATAGATTCGGCCTCTGTATCGATAATAATGTCTATTTCAATAACATTTTCCAAAATATATTAAATGTACAGATTCGGTTAGTTACAATTTTATTATATGTATGTATAGATTAAATTCCATTTTCAAATTATTCCAATATTAAACTACAAAAAAAATGTTTATTTCATATGTACATATAATAAAATTGTAACTAAGCCGAATCTGTACATTAAATAATTTTTTGAAAATCTTATTGTAATAAAATATTTTATTTCTTCCGAGAATAAAAAAAACTAAAATAAAAATCGAAAATATACGGAAAAATAGTTTTATTAGAATAGAAGTTACTGCGTAAACAAACCGCCAGAAATACGCGACTGTTTAATATTATATAGAAATAACAAACAACATATTATCGTGCCAACTGTCTTACGAGTTGAGTATCTTTTATCTTATCTAGGTAACAGATTCTAAAAGCATCTAGAAACTTATGGAACGGGCACGTTCCGTTCCGTTCATAGTACGTGACCCATTTTTTACAACTTTCAGTGAACGCATGATATGCCAAGATAAGAAGGAAGTATTGCCACTTACAATAAAAAAAAACCGACTTCCAGACAATAAAATGTAAAAAATAACTAAACGGAGGTTTCCATTTAAAGTAGATACCTAATCAGATATTTTCGAAGTCGGTGCCAGCCGACGTAAAGCAAATCTAATATATTTCGATAAGTAAATACATATTAGATATTCCTATCTTAAAATATTGTCGGCTGGCACCGACTTCGAAAATATCTGATTAGGTATTTATTCTGTCTGTTACCGCATCACGAGAAAACTACTGGACAGATTTTGATGAAATTTAGTATGATGATAGCTGGTTATCCGGGTCAACATATAGGATACTTTTTACCGCGGGAAAATATCTCTATTCTGAGAAAAAATACAAAAACTGCATTGTAAGATTAGACTAATATGTAAAATCTAAGAATTTGCTTTTTGGTCATACGAACGCGGGCGGAGCCGCGGACAATGCTAATTAAAAAATAAAAGAAAGTATTTCGACTGCGTTCATGGCTTACAGAAACGATACAATGTATTTACACAAGCGTTCATTTGATAAGTACATATTATAATTGAACTTGGCTGTACACGTGTCTGTCGTAGGCTATAATAAAATATCTAAATATAAAACAAATCGATATTTATTTTAGTTAGTAATTTATTTAACAATAGCTTTCCTTTACTCGGAGACAATGAAAGATCAGACATTTTACGAAATATATAATCATATATAGGTACGTATAAGGCATTGGTAGCCCACTCACAGCGTGCTCACTTGGGAAACCGAATGAAGTGGGTTCAAATCTCGAATCTCGCACCTCTGATACTTTCATGTACGAATCATTTCCAACATGATTACGTGGAAGGAAAAAATCGTGAGGAAACCAACTAGTTTGAGAGAACTTTAAAAGTTTTCGAAAGACATGTGAAGTCCGCCAACCCGCACTTGGCCAGCGTGGTGGACTATGGCCTGATCCTCCTCGTATTGAAGGGAGACCCGTGCCCAGCAGTGGGACGTTAAAAAAGGCTGAATACAAAGAAAAAATTACAATTTTTTAATCCTTTTATAATATCCTAAAAGATCAGGAAAGTTTTAGTAAGTTCTGATAAGCAGTATTATTTTAGTATATCAGTGGAATGCAAATATGCTGTAGACTGTACATTACTCAAAATAACTGATGAAAATCCAAATAGAAAGTGCTTAGAAGCAGAAGGAAGATTTTGCCTAAATAAAAATCCATATAGAATGCCTACAAGAATTTGTTTCATTATTATTTCTAACTAACCTATCACTTTATCATAATTTTTTCCTTTTTACCCTCCTTTTTTTAGATATAGCCATTTTGTCACTTAATATTTATAATACTAAATAATTAGAAATGAATATTTAATACTAGCGACTCACCCCCGCTTCGCTCGGGTTCGTCACTAGGCACGTTTTAAATTAAAATGGATATAGTATTTTATCCTTAAGAGATAGACATATGCCATCGCGGACTTTTCTGTAGACCTATAAAAAAAGATACACAATTCCACCATACATTATTTTGTTATATCTCAAAGGGTTTAGGCAGCGGTTTGGTTGAAAGCTCCCAGACGTCTTATTTTTTCCGACACCTCCAACAAATATCGTTATACTTTAGCCAATGTATACATAAACTTAACAAATTATATACTAAGACCTTCCTCTTGAATCACTCTATCTATTAAAAAAAACCGCATCAAAATCCGTTGATTAGTATTAAATATCTAAGCATACATATGGACAGACAGACAGCGGAAAGCGACTTTGTTTTTTACTATGTAGTGATCAAAAATATTTTATGATAACCCTAATTCATATAGATAAATAAAATTGAAATGTCTGTGTGTAATGTCAAAATAACAGCTTTTTAATAAATGCATATGAAATTATAAACGGTACTTTTATGGAAAATAAAAATTTTATTTTTTTTGTTCCTGTTTGTTTGTTTCGGCTTATCTCCGAAACGGCTGGACTGATTTTGACGGGACTTTTACTAGCAGATAGCTGATATTATAAGGAGTGACTTAGGCTACTTTTATTTTAGAAAAAGAATTAGGGTTCCGCTCAAAAAAATTAAAATTTACCTAAGGACGCACTCAAGTGAAGCGCTAGCCATTTTACTAATGTAGTTCATAGCCTGCATCCCGCAGGCGTCTAATATAGGTTAAATAACAACAAATATTGATCTATGATAGTACAAAGCTATGCGGAAATCACTTTGTTATTGCTCTATTTATGTTACAACTAAAATCAATACATATAATAAAATTCTAACTAAGTCGAATCTGTACATTAAATATTTTTTGGGAAATCTTATTGAAAAAGACATTATTATCGATACAGAGGCCGAATCTATAATTTTTAGAATTTTTGTCTGTCTGTCTGTTACCGCATCACAGAAAAACCACTGGAGGGATTTTGATGAAATTTGGTATGATGATAGGTGATTATCCGTGTCAACATATAGGATACTTTTTACCGCAGGAAAACATCTCATTTTTGAGAAAAAATACAAAAACTGCAATACTAATATGTAAAACCTAAGAGTTTGGTTTTTGGTCATCTGCAATGCTAGTTGTTTATACTTTTTTTTGTTCGTTGGTACTTGGCAGTGTATTCTAACTACAGGGTTTACTAGAATCTTCGCTCAGGTGCGTCCCCAGGTGATTTTTTTTTTGAGCGGAACCCTATATCTTTTTTAATTAATTAATTTCAAAATAAGTGAAAGTGCCAGTGAAAATCCCGTCATAATCAGTCTAGCTGTTTCGGATATTAGCCGGAACAAACAGAGAGACGAAAATTCTAAAAACTGTGTTTTTCTTATAAGTACCGTATATAATATCATATAGGTTTAGTGAAAAGTTATTTTGAAATTACAAACAGACACTCAAAACAGGATATTTATCATGTTTAGCGCTTACTTTATAGTTTCCGATACTTGGCACTCTTACAAGCACCGTGGATATTAACTATAACTGTAATCTATACTAATATTATAAAGATGTAAAGTTTGTGAGTTTGTAACGTTCTAGGGGGGTAATATCTGGATCTACTGAACCGATTTAGATGAATTTTGGTAAGAAGATAGCTTGAGACCCTGGGAAGGACATAGGATACTATTCATCCCGTAAATCATCCCTTAAGGGGGTGAAAATAAGGATGACAGTGTGTATTGGGAATCAAGCTAGGGACGTAGCCGAGCGAAGCTAGGGTGAGTCATAAGTATCCCATATGACATCATATTAATTCAAATTCAAATTTAAAATATTATATTCAGCATTAAATTATTACAATTTTCTACTGAACGTCACGAGTCTACTACCAGCTCGGAAAGAAGTATTAATATTGTCAGTGAACCACCAACTTGAAAGATTTTTTTTGTGATCTCTAAAACGAAACAATTTAGACTGAGTTACAATGACATAACACCTCGTCTTATCGCGTCTACTGGTGAGAGGAGAGCTGGTGCATTTTTCACCCAAACAATCGGCATTGCCATTCAGCGGGGGAATGCGGCTAGCATTCTTGCCACTATTCCACGCGGACATTTGTTTTGTATATATAATTAAGTATATTTGAAAGATAATATTATGAACTACATATTACGGCACTGATTATATATATTTGTAGTATAAGAAATTTTATCTATTAAAATAATTGTGAAAGTTAAGCAAAATTTATGTTACTGAATAACAGCTGTAAACAGCCCTTTTTAACGTCCCACTGCTGGGGGTGGGCCTCCCTTCAGTACGAGGGGGATCAGGCCATTGTCCACCACGCTGGCCAAGTAGCCAAGCTGGACATGCAGCTTCTTTACAATGTTTTCATTCACCGTAAGACAAGTAAGATTCATTTCAGTAATGATAAAGTGGTCTCATTTGCCACACTTGGTCGCATTTGATCCGTAAGTCAGAAATGATGATTCGCACATGAAAATATCAGAGATACCCAAAATTTGAATCAGCTTCACTTTGTAGTAAAATATTTTGACAGATAAAATTTTCTCTAAGAAGTTTTAGTCAAATATTGAAAAACTTACCTAAGCTATTAGTATCCCGGCCACATTCCATGGATACTTCATTGTAACAAACGTCTGCGGATACAGAGGACAGTGCCAGGAGGCAGGTAAAAGCAATCACAGCCTTCATTTTGCTAAAAAACAAACATACATCAAAAAGAGGATATGATCAGTGTAAAACAAAACAATGAACTGTTAAAGACGACTTGAACAACTTGTTTATTATTTTTTGTTTTATTGGGACAGCATAAATGCTAGCCTAAAGGCTTACCACCTTTTTTTTTTTTAAAGAAATACCATTTTTTTCAAAAACTTACAAAAATATAGTATTTTTGTAAAATTTAGGGAACAAAAATAGTACAGTTATTTCTAAACATTTATTTTTCCTTGGCCATCAAGATTTTATTATTTTTAAAATAATTATAGGAATGTGACCAATTTAGATTCATATTAAAAGAAATAAACAATTCATTCATTTTTTGTACTATATTATTTTTCTTAAATATATAGTACAACTTACTATTATTACTGTACTAAAGTATACATAGTATTAATGGCAAGCCTAATACTCTATCAACAAGTATAATATAAAAGACAATACAAGTCATATATTTAAACAATGATAAAATATAATTAATCACATATCGTATAATCAAATATCGTAAACTTTAATCATTTATATTAGAATGTTATTGACAAAATTTAAATGTAATTTATGTCAATGACAAAAGAGCAATCTCATTCCAAAACCTTACACATTGCTTTAGAAAATTAACAATAAATTACAATAAATAAATATTAGGCAAACCAAATGAGAATGTGTATTAATATTCATCCTCCCCTTGGCATTAATCACAAAGTGATCAAAGCAATACATGTCTAATTAATCTTTATTGATGTTAAAACTGTGATTTATTGGGTATTAGCTTGATAATCATAAATTGCTGATAGCAAAAGATTACATAAATAAAAAAAATGTTAAAAAGATGGGTAGTTATAAAGTATAGTTTAATTTAATTACTTACCAAAAAAAATATTGCGACGTAATTATTTTGTATAAAGCTTGGTTATTGGAAATAGATCCGCTGAAAGTGCAGCCTTTACACTCACTGGCGCAGAAGGCGACTTCCAACAAAGACCGTAACGATAAACCCTGTGTCGCGATTCTCGAACAGCAAAACAAAATATATATTGAATTATCACTGTTTTTCCGCGTAGTATTATGAGTGACAGCAAGTAGCAACCAATTCAAAGGTAAAATATAAATTTTATCTGATGTTCACTTCAGTGTGACCAGGTTATTAATTTTCATTACCCAAATTATCACGTTTTTTTATCCAAATATGAGTGTTAAAAATTATATAGTATGTAAAATAGTTTTTAATGTAGAGTGAAAATATTTTATTTATATATTTTCGTAATTAATCGTACGTTTGTGTGTGATATGTGATAAAAAAATTCCCAAATTATAGGAAAAACAGACAAGACTGGTAATTTAATACTACCCCTCCCCTTTCCAAGCAATGACGTTTATCTTGCAGCTGTATCGTTGAGGTTTTGTGTTCCAAATGCTTTCATCATATAATTAAAAATCATCTTCGAGATGATTTCATGTCTTCCTTTTATGAATACAAAAAAAATGAAATTGAAAACGAGTTAAAAATTGAAAAAAAGTTGCCAAAACTGCCTCAATAACCGGTTTAAAGGAAAAAAATATTCCATGTAACTCTCGAAACTCAAAACCTCAGTTGTTCTTTCTCACTCACTCTTACATAACAACCTCTATAAACCTAACTCGCTCGCTCTTTTAACAAAGTCATTGAAAGTTGGAACACAAACACTACGTACGTACTCATCGAGATGCTCTTGTTATCGCTGCGTAGTTCAATATAATCGTGTATTTAAAGTGTGGTACTCATTCATTTTTGTCTAAAACTTTATTTATATTGATAAGTTGCCTTCTGCACCAGTGAGTGTAAAGGCACTTTTCAATAGGACGTTAGTCGTTACTGTGAAATCATTAAATTCCTAAAATATACCCTCGTCAAAGTATCTGTGATTTTATTATAGAAACATGAAGACCTTTCTGCCCTTCCTTGTAATCCTGGCTGTTTGTGCTTCAGCATTCGGCACACAATGTGAGTATTTTTTTTTAATTATTAATTTTTCCGTACACAGGATAGGGTCATTGGCCATTAATGTTTCTGTCAATAGAATATCAACCTAATTAGAATACAATAGAACTCATTTCATTTAGTTTATGCGCAAATCGCAACGGTAATGATATTTGTATTTTTAATAAAAATGTCGATACAATGTAAATTTAATTTTGTTGTTTCAATTTTCATTGTTATGCGTAATAGTGTGGGAGTGTTTTGGTATTAATTATAATTTTAGAAACTCTAAACTGTTATAAATTCTCTATGAAATCTATTTAAGTAATAAAAATAATTCACACAAGTAGTTAAAAATCAGAATTATTTTAAAATATATGAGAATCTTTACCTTTCATTTATCAATTTATACATGTAATATTATTATAATGAAGTCGAGTTAATATTTTGAATTCTTAGTTGACCCAGTATTACTTTAATTAATGTAAAATATAAATATACTGAAATCTATAATTTCAAAACTATCAATATATAATATATTTGACAAGTATTATCAATTATTTTTATTAATAATTGTTAAGTTTCACATAATGGAAGAATATAACAAAAAACTAAATTCAATATGGAGATTGAGATGTCTTTTGAGTATATATTATAAGAAACATTTTAAATATGTAATAATATGTGATAGACACCTTGAACATCTATTGGAGTAACAATTTATATGCTGGACATCTTTAATTGCCATTATATTTATTTGTTGTGATTTACGAACAGTCACAAAGCTATTTAATAGAGAGTTGTCTGCTGTAATCAATGAGGTTACTTATATATAAAACATCATTGGTATTAATAATTAATTTTTAAGTGTCATGATAGTTGTAATATTCTATAATCTACACCAATTATTATTGAATAAAATGGTGCAAAAATTATCACAAAGCCAAATATGAGTCATCACAAAATAACAATGAATTGGCTTTTACATAAATAAACAATATGGAAGTATGCTGATAAAAAGAAGTGTTGCTTTATCCATACCTTTTGTGTTTATTGCTGTCATCTTCAAGTTAAAGCTATTAACTTGTTACTTTATTATAATATATATACTAGCGACTCACCCTCGCTCCGCTCGGGTTCGTCCCAGGGGTGGGGTATAAAATGATATATATATATATATATATATATATATAGTTATAAAAAGATATATATATATATATATATATCTTTTTATAACTATTTAATAAAAAAACTCATAAGAAATCTAAGAGGAATGGTTTTTTTAAGTATACAGTATTATATACTTAAATTATAAGTAAATTCTTTATCCATTGTTTATAATTTTGTTTTTATTTAGTAATTGATGTTGCTAGTGTATTATCAAACAATTTTCTGATTTATTATATACTAATACTAGCGGCTCACCCTCGCTTCGCTCGGGTTCGTCGCTAGGTACGTTTTAAATAGATATAAATAGTTATTAGCCAGCGTTAGCCATACAAAATTTTTTTTTCGTAAATTTTTCTGATGTTTTAATATTTATTATCCTATTCCGGACTAACTAAGAAATCCAAAAATTCAAATATCTATAGCCGTTCTTGAGTTTTATGTCACGTCACAACGGACACGCAATCGAACGGGATAAAAAGTATCCTATATCCGTCTCCTGGTTCTAAACTACCTCCCCACTAATTTTCAGCCAAATCGGTTCAGCAGTTCTTGAGTTATAAATAGTGTAACTAACACGACTTTCTTTTATATATATAGATTAGAATAGTGTTTTATTTAGTGTGCTTTAACCACTTTCTTTAATTAATAGATATTTGAAGTATTATTTATAATGAAATAAATATATACCTTAGGCTTAAACCTTGCTTCACTTGGGTGCGTTCCTAGGTACATTTATTTATTTTAACCGGGACCCTAATTCATTTTCTAAAATAAAAGCAGTCTAAGTTACTCCTTATAACATCAACTATGTGTCAGTGAAAGTCCCATCAAAATCAGTCCAGCCGTTTCGGAGATTAGCTGCAACAAACACAGATAAAGCCAGATAAATTTTAAAAATTCTGTTTTTCTTATAAGTACCATATATAATTCCGTATGCATTTAGTAAGAAGCTGTTATTTGGACATTACAAACAAACACTGCAATTTTATTTGTTATGTATTTTGTAAATATTTATAAGTATAATATTACTTCCTATAGAGACACAATCTAATAGATTAAATAGTTTTTTTTAACCTAATTAGATAAAATTTAATTATCATTTAATTAGGTAAAATGAATATAATTTATTTTTTAAATGAATGTTTAGTAGTCACAGCCCGCATGTTATTAAAATTTTATTCAATTTTTATTCCAGATTGAACTTATTATTTTGTATTTGAATGCCATTTTTAGATTACATATGTATATTATTAATATCTGTTTTTGGATTTGTACAATAACAACTATCCGCCCCCTTTTTTTTAATGTTGAGAAATGCGCTTACGCATACCACCTACATACATACAGGAAGTTATGTGGGACTAATTAAGCCAATTCTACCCACTTAAATCAAACAGAACTACGGAATCCTGATCCTAACGGAATCCTTATATTTTTTTTACGTTGGGAAATGCATTTACGCACGAGGTGTGGGACTCACCGGCAAAGCCAGTACTACCCACTAAAACCCAACAAAACCTGCCCCGTCTTAATGGGGCGTCGCAGGATCGCTTACGCATTCAACTACGACGCCCCGACGGCAGGTCTGCCGAAGCAGACCACAACAACCACGGGGTTGCTCCAAGGTCCACTCTGCTATCAGAGAAGTACCAGGAGCAACCCGCATGGTACACCGCCCTCCGAAGAGGGCCACCTCTCTGTGCGTTTCTAGGCTTCGCGCCCGGCTGGATTGCCGGGCACTACTGAGCCCCCCCACCACGACAAGGTGGAACGCACATTGGGGGGGATCCTAACGGAATCCTGGCTCAACTTAGGCAAATTTCATTTTACAAAAATTAAAAATAGGACTTATCGATTTCCAATATCTATTCTATACATGGATAATATAAATAGCGGCTCACCCTAGCTTCGCTCGGGTTTACCTCTTGGAAAACAAAAACAGACCTATCCCACGGGAACCGTACATTTTTCCGGGTTAAAAAGTAGCCTATGTATTATTCCAGGCTATAATCTATCTCTGTGCCTAAATTCATCCAGATCCGTGCAGCCGTACTGGCGTGAAACATGAAACGTAGCAAACATCCATACATGCTCACAAACTTTTACATTGTTTACATATTTATACATTAAATTGTAACCGATCGCAGTCTGTACATGGAAGATATTTAAGAAATGGCCTAAACGATCAATTTAAAAAATCACCTAGGGACGAAACTGAGTGAAGCGAGACGGAATCGCTATTTCGTTTTTATGTAACTAACTATATCTACAAGTATTACTTAACTAATAAGTGTGAAATTTATTCATATCTTTAAAAAGTAATAGAATATATTATATGTCGATATATTGAAATGTTATAATGAGAAACGCATAAGATGAAAAAATTGTTATGATGCAGACAAGCGGCTGTCTCTCTCTCGCCTATCTAGAATTTTCTGCGCATGCCCGAAAGTGGTAAAAATTGAATATGTTCACGTTCAATTTTTGTGTGTTCGTTACAATATCTATACATATAATAAAATTGTAACTAAGCCGAATCTGTACATAAAATATTTGTTGAAAAATCTTATTAAAATATACATTATTATCGATACAGAGGTCGAATCTAGTTTTTAGAATTTTTATCTGTCTGTTACCGCATCACAGAAAACTTTTGATGAAATTTTGTATGGTGATAGCTGGTTATCCGGGTCAACATATAGTCTACTTTATACCGCGGCAAAATATCTCACTTCTGAGAAAAAATAACAAAAACTGCAATGTAAGATGCAATGTAAGTATACTAATATGTAAAATCTAAGAATTTGGTTTGTTCTCATTAGAACGCGGGCGGAGCCGCGGGCAATGCTAGTTGTTATACTAAAACTCAAAATACACAATTAGTCTCTTAAAGTATATTCAAATAGAATAACTAATCCTCTGCTGTCCGTTTGTAATAGCGGGCTGTATTTATTTATTTATTTTTTTGGTGCCGAGGTCGGCCCTAGCTACGTCGACCAGTTATGGTCCATTGTAGCTCCCTTAGCGGGCTGTATCTCGTGAACCGTAATAGATAGAGAGTTGAAATTTTCACATAGTATGTATTTCTACTGTCGCTAATTTAAATGGTGTAAAGGCCAGTTTTGATCTAGATTAAGTGCTTAAATTGTCTTAACATAATTAGTTAAAGATTAACACCATGCCAGTAAAAATGCTTTCGCTCATAATATTTATATTTTATACCAACTAGCGACTCGCCCTCGCTCCGCTCGGGTTCGTCACAACTTACTACGTTTTAAGGTTAGTATAGATTTCTCAGAGATGAGATATTTTCCCGCAGTAAAAAGTATCCTATATATTGACCCGGACAACCAGCTATCATCATACCAAATTTCATCAAAATCCCTCCAATGGTTTTTCTGTGATGCGGTAACAGACAGACAGCAAGGTATGAAATAATCAAGATAAATATATCTTTTGATAATTATCAGATAATTATCCGATAATTATCAAACAGATATAAACTTAGCAATCCTTGTGTAGGTATTGGTATTTGATTACTTGCCTATCATAATTTACGTTAGAATAAATTATACACTTTTAACCATCAAGGTAATCTTTTATTGTTATTATTTTTTCATTATTTTGACACATTCACACTTGGAAATAAAAACCGAATAAATTTAACCAACTATATAGACACTATTTAATTAAATTAAAGGTCTCTGCTCACTATACCGTCGTATACCATGACCGTGCTAGGACCGTGTCAGGCAAAAAAATATCCTTTGTATTGAAAAGTATGAGACTATGATTACTAAACCGTTCCATCACCGACCAAGACCTTACCGTCACCAACCAACACCGTCGCGTGC